CTTGGTTTGATTTTAGGTACCTATGTTGCTTTAAAATGGGAATTTCCCCAATCTCAAAGAAGACATAGATTTAAATATTAACTAAACATCAAAATGCTCACATACATCTACACACTATGTCTTTGCTTCAGAATACAAACAGTGGTTAGCTAAGATGGTGGGGAGATGTAAATATTTTGCTTATTCGTTCCTGGAACTATTACAACTTAGAATTGTCATTGCTTTTTCATACATAGCTTAGTTAAAATGACAAGGTTGCTTGGGAGCTGAGCGGCAGAACAGCAAGGATTGCCAGAGACTAGAATGATTTGGCATTTTTGTGACTGTAAATCATATTATTCTGGTGGTTTGCATGGATGAAGCTATCTATCTCACTGTCACCCGGCAGCCAACAGCAATGTAAACACCTAATAAAGGAAGTGTAATGATGTCCCAGTTTTTGGCAACTGTTCGTCCCCTTTGTGGAACCTGCGGTGCCAATTTTCAGCTGATCTTACAGTACTTAAGCAAGATTATTGTGCCAAGAAAGAAAAACACACACATTTTTCTGTTTATGAACTGTTGTCTGACCCTGTAAGCTCTTCTGTATGAAGAGCGATTTATAGCTTCAGGTACTGTAACAAATATCATTCCAAGAAAATGTCTAGAAGTGAGAGGACAGCACCATCTCAGACAAACATAGTCATATATTTGTTTGAATACAACTGATAACCTAAAAGGTTTTTCAAGGTGTCTTATTCTACCACCACCTGGCTTCCTGAAGGAGCGTCTCCACCCCCATCATTCAGCCTGGACACTGAGGTCCAGCTCCAAGGGTCTTCTGGCAGTTCCCTCACTGTGAGGTTACAGGGAACCAAGCAGAAGGTCTTCTCAGTAGTGGTGCCCACCCTGTATACCCTCCCATCAGATGTCATCTGAATGCTTGATGTTTTATTGTGTTTTTATATTTTGCTGGAAGCTGCCTGGAGTGGGTGGGGGCAGCCCTGTCAGATGGGCAGCATAATTTATTATTATTATTATTATTATTATTATTATTATTATTATTTCATCATCTCCATTTTTTGGCTACTGGTGTTGTGAGGGAAGTGCTAATTTGTAATGATTTGTCAGTTGCATACTATCCCATTTTATTCACCTTCAGGTTGACTTTCTTAGCTGCTCAATTTTTTAAATGGGGTTTTAGATTATGTAGATCGATTTGCTGCTTTTGCAATCCCCATTTTATAAAGATATTTAAAAACTGATCCTGTGGATCTGCTTTACTTGCAGCAGCAGAAAAGCAGTGATTTATATTATTATAAAGTCATCCTATTTCTGTCAAGAAGAGTGGAGTCAGTCAATGCTGTAGAAATAGCCAGAGGGGACTCATCTATCTCTCTGCTCTGCTCCTGGCTGAGTGGTGTTGCTATAAGAAAACAGAGTTTGTCCCATGTTGATGCCAGGTGTAGTGACTTGTTATTTTGCAATGCTCTTCGGATCCTAATGCCCAATCCTATAAACTGTCTTGCTCACTTTATTGCATGCTGTTTATTAGCTGCTCAGCTGTAGTATCTGTTACAACATTTTCAGTAAGCCCTGTGGGAAAATAACTTCTTGGGCAACTGGAACACCATACTTTAGAAATAGACACTTAATAACAAATAAAACAGGATAACAACTAAAACCGCCCCACTCCTGCCAATAAAAGATGTGATAATGTTACTATGTTTGAGTGCCAGGGTAGCTGGTAGACTCTCTTTGAGCAAATGAAGTGATAATGAGCCTTTCAAGTTTGTTTGTGACGAATTAGCCCAGAAGTTAAAGAATGAGGAAAATAAGCAGAGACTGTAAGCTTCTTTTAGTTTCTTCAATTAGTTTCCCGCTTCATGCTGGCAGATTAAATGGCAACATTTCTTTGCAAAATTGTTTGCTAATTAAAAAGCTGAAGGTTGCATTTCAGCTAGCTGAAGACCACTTGTTGAAAGATTGCTTCAGACTAATTTTGATTGTGTGAAGTGATGCCCTACAGCCATGCAGTGTCACGGTGTGCACTAGCGCCACCCCCGCCGTACTGCTGCCATATTGAATCTCTTCCTCTATCTGGTCTCTGAACTGGTGGAACCTCAGTTGCTCCTCTGCTCCCAAGATCTGCGTGAAGTGTGAGAAGAAGAAAGACCTGTTCCACCAATGTTATTAAACAGCAGCATCTGTGTTGCAAAAGATAAACCAGAGGCGGCAGCAAAGCTAGCCACTTGGACGCATGGGGGGGCGGACGGAGCGAGATGCCCACAGGAGCAAGGCAGGGTGTGCTAGAATCCCAGTGCCTGAGCCCCGTCCCGCTCTGGCACTCTGCAGGCCCGCACTGCTTTTTGGGGCAGCATGGAGCCTACAGGCGCTTGACTCCCAGGAGAGACGCATGGCTTGGACGCTGTAAGTGCCACCCCCCGCGGTGTGGGGCCCAGTGCCCCCTGCCCCCCCCCAGCTACGCCTCTGACCAGAGGGCAACATACAAGAATATAGAAGTGGCTATTAGGCTATTTTAAGCATGGACAAGATTAAGATTGTCTTGCAGACTTGTCAAAACAGTATTGCCCCAGGGCAATCTGAGACACCTGGCAATATCGTTTCACTAATCAATTTACAGTGGTACCTCGGGTTACATACACTTCAGGTTACATACGCTTCAGGTTACAGACTCTGCTAACCCAGAAATATTACCTCGGGTTAAGAACTTTGCTTCAGGATGAGAACAGATTTGTGCAGCGGCGGCACAGTGGCAGCAGGAGCCCCCATCGGCTAAAGTGGTGCTTCAGGTTAAGAACAGTTTCAGGTTAAGAACAGACCTCTGGAACGAATTAAGTACTTAGCCCGAGGTACCACTGTATGCTTATCACAGAGTCCTGGCGCTGGAAGATACTGGAAAAAACTTTGTCCTACCCTTCATTATAAACTGGAATAGAATTGCCAACTTTTGTTACACTCCCCTTGGCTCAGCAACAACTTGCTGGGCACACATGAGCAGGTGATAATGCTTATCTCCATGCTGTAAAAAGGTTTTACCTGCTGATTACTGCATTCCAGGCTGCTGTTAAAGGAAAGGAGAAACCTAGGCTGGGTTTTTTCCAGGCCAGATAGCAGCAATTCTAAACTAGTATAAGACTCCAAAGGACAACATCAAACATAGGCAGCAGCACACTTTTATAAGGATACTACACTTCTCCCAGAAGAGAAAACATGCTGTTTGCTCACTTGCACATTGACTAAAATTGAAATTGAGGTAAACTACCCTCAGCCTGGCAAAGAAAACTCAAGCAGGGTAATTTATCCTAGCGGCTGCCATTTTATTTACCCACGATACCTCAAACACGGCATCATTCCATTGTGAATAAAATGGCACTTGCTGGTGAGAATGCCATTTTTAAAGGCATCTATATACTGCTTAATTACCAAAGTCTCTATGGAGCATAAATAAAAATTACATTTTAAAAAATGATAAAAACTGGAGAGTTAAAGAGCAACGCAGCACTGTTTACAAAAGAGCTTTCAAGCAGCCATGTTTACAGTCTTTGAATGGGTGAAGTGATCTTGATTTCAGGTGACTGGGGGGGTTAACTTTTTCCACCGTGTTCTTCCTCCTTTCTCTCTCAGCACATGAGTGTGCACACACAGTCCCCTTCATACAGGTGTTCAAGATAGAATAATGAGCCAGGCTATCGAATAGGCTCCTGGTGAAGGGCATCGCTGGGCAAAGTGACCTAGCCTCTCAGCTTACAAGGTGGTTTTATATTTCTTGTGAAAAATACTGCTGACTATTGAGATCACTCTGAATGTACTTTGTAGCAAAGGCCTTGGGAGGACAATGGACACCTAGAAGCATTATAATTGCTATGGGCCAGCTCCCCCAAGCTGTAAAATAGCAAGGGAGGCAGGGAAATGCATAATCAGACCCGTTACTGGACTGTGAATACCGTGTACTTTCACACATAACGCACAAGGTCCCTTTGGAGCCTCCACGGAGGTAAATCAAACATGTTCAGAGACAATATAGCAGGTCAGGAGTGGGTATTTTATTACATTTCTCTGTAAAAAATATAGAGCGACTTTAACCATCTGTCCACCACTTGACAGTTCACCTGCAACATGTTTGATAAATTTATACAATTCATAAATTCATACAATGGAACTGATTCTGTAGGTTCTTCTGTTATCATAAAGGACCTGGTTTTGTGACACTGGGTAGTATGTTACTAAGGGCTCAATTAAACTTCCCTTTGTCCTGTGGCTTGTCCTGCTGTTTCTAGCCACAGGTTCAAAATAGCACAGGTTCATTTTCCCAGGAAAGCGGTGGGACAGAATAAAAAAACCTCCTGAACCTGTGCCTAGAAATCACAGGAAGAACAGAAGTGTGGGTGAGTCCTACAATAAAGTTGGCAAAGCTATACTTTACAGTGGGGGATATACCTATCTGTAAGGGCATGCTTCCAGGTTTCATAGAATCCTCAGGCATAATTACCAAATTTCCTTTACTAGCCCTGCTTCCTGGGCCTTTAAAAACAGGTAGACAGATGGAAATGTAGCAAGTGAAACATTTCCTGGCATGCTGTTATTTAAACCATTTTTACCCCCAACTTTCAACCAACTTTCTCAAATTGGATCACACCAAAGGTTAAACAGCATTGGTGGTATAGTTCAAGCGGGTGGTGCTGTGGTCTAAACCACTGAGCCTCTTGTGCTTGCCAATCAGAAGGTCAGCGATTGGAATCCCCGCGATGGGGTGAGCTCCCGTTGCAATTTGAAAGCACACCAGTGCAAGTAAATTGGTACCGCTGTGGCGGGAAGGTAAACGGCATTTCCGTGTGGTCTGGTTTCCGTCACGGTGTTCTGTTGCGCCAGAAGCGGTTTAGTAATGTTGGCCACCTGACCAGGAACAAACACCTGACCGGTGGACAAACACCGGCTCCCTCAGCCTGAAAGTGAGGTGAGCGCCACAACCCCATTGTCACCTTTGACTGGACTTAACAGTCCAGGGGTCCTTTACCTTTTTTATAGCTTAAGAACAAATACTAAAAAAAACCAAACAAACCCACAGCCACTGTGAAAATAAAACAGCAGCAGGATCAAGTTTAATCATGGAATGCCCTAGTTAATAAAAAGATTGTAACAAGCACTCCTAGCTACTGGGGCCACCAGGGCTTCAGGTGACAAAGCTATATCCAGGAGCAACCCCCAGACTAGATACCTTTCTTTCACCCTACCAAAAGGAGGCAATTTGCCAAGTATGTAGATTTGGAAACAACCCTCTTGCAGTGCCTCCGTCTTGCCAGGATTCAGAGTCAGTTTGTTGGCCTTTCTCCAGTCTACCACCAAGTCCAGGCACTGGTCCAAGGCTTGCATGGCCTCCCTTGTGTCAGATTTCACAGAGAAATAGAGCTGGGTATCATCAGCATACTGATGACACCTCGCCCCAAATTTCCTGTTAGCTGCTCCCAACCATGTCATGTAGATGTTACACAGCACTGCGGACGGGATGATATCCTGTGGCACCTCACAGCACAACGGCCAGGGAGCCAAATGACCACCATCCAATGCTATTTTCTGAAACTGACCATGGAGATAGGATCAGAACCACAGTAAAACAGTGCCTCCGTTTCCCAGCCTGCTAAGACGTGGCAGATGGATACCATGGTCAATGGTATAATGGAGAGATCAGTTAAGAATAGGAGGGTTGCACTCCTCTGCTTTCTCCTGCTAAAGGTCAGGACAACCAAGGCCAATTCATTCCCATCACCTGGACTGAACTCAGAAGGAACCCAACCAACCAAAGTCCCCAACCTCATAGAATAGCATTCCCAAACCTCTGATAGCTGCAGGCATATTCTCTCCTCACCTTGAATTAAAATTAGAGGTGCATTTCATTCACTTCTAGACTGTCATGTTGTAAGCCCAGCAACAACAACCCCTTGAGTGTGGACGTTGAGTCACTGTTCCGGGTGTGCCTCTTTATTGGAGTGAGACTAGCTGAAAGGAGTGACTCATGCGGCAGGACACAGCAGGCAGCCTATTTTGTGGGTGTGCACAGTTGTAAGATGGAGGGGGGAGGGACAGGAAAGGGATAATGGGCAGACCTGCTGGACAGGTTAACCTAGCAAATGTCTTTTGTTAGGGAAACCAAGGTTGCCATGGGAGCTAAATAGTTAGCAGTTTGCTTCTTCATACAGCAGTGTTCACCAAACTGGCGCACTCCACACAATAACAATAACAATTTATTATTTCTATCCCGCCCATCTGGCTGAGTTTCCCCAGCCACTCTGGGCGGCTCCCAATCAAATGTTAAAAACAATACAGCATTAAATATTTAAAAACTTCCCTAAACAGGGCTGCCTTCAGATGTCTTTTAAAGATAAGATAGCTACTTATTTCCTTTACATCCGAAAGGAGGGCATTCCACAGGGTGGGCGCCACTACTGAGAAGGCCCTCTGCCTGGTTCCCTGTAACCTCACTTCTCGCAATGAGAGAACCGCCAGAAGGCCCTCTGCACTGGATCTCAGTGTCCAGGCTGAACGATGGTGGTGGAGACACTCCTTCATGTATACATGTTTGGAACTATAACTCCCATCAGCCCCAATGGTCCATGAGAATGGGAGCTGGGTCCAACTGTATACGGAGAATGTTAGGCTGTGATATGGCATCTTTTTGAGATTGTTCTGAGATAGCCATTTTGACAAAAGGACACCACCACTAACCAAGGGGAGGGGACTAATTGCCTGTGCAAAAGGATAAGACTGCAGTCACGCTAAGGCTCCATCAGTTCAGATACTTGTGCTCATTGCACAAAGACTAGGGAGAGAGGTTACTTCATGCATTCCTGAAGAGGACATCTTAATAGGGCTAGAAACAGTGAAGAGAGCTGAGTTTGGGGGTTCTGGAAACATTTCAGGGTGCTAGCTGTCCCACTAGAGATCTGTTGTGGACTTTGCCTTTCTGTTGGGAGTGCTTAAGCTGCATCCCCACCTGCAGATTTGTAAATAAGCACCAATATTACAAAACATCAATAAACCTCTGGTGGCCTCCTTCTAAACGGTACACCAAACATCTGCTAATCACTGTACCCCCTGGAGTGTCACTGCTTGGAGAAGTAGAGTGTGTGTTAACAGTACTTTTAAGTTCCCCAGAGCCAAAAATGATTTTACTTATTTATTTCTCACAACAACACACTAGGTTTATCTCCTTTCCACACATTTAGGAAAAGCCCTACCTGTTGGACTTCTGCCACAGCAGGATTACAGATGCAGTTTTGCAGCTACATTACAAGGGAGCTATCGTTAGATTAGGATGTACTTAATTATCTTTAAAAAGGAGATAGCTGCTATCCTTCTCAAGTGATTAAAATCAAAAAGGTAATAAGGCGGTTAAGTGCTCAATTAAAGAGATTGGGATATGTGATCCTAGACAGGTAGCGGAAGCTCATCAACATAGTATCATTGTTTCACAGTAAGATCATTCATTTTAATGAAGACCTAACAAAAAGGTTTTATTATTGGTTGGTGTGTTCATATCCTCCTGACCTTACAAATTCATGTTCGCATCCTCAAACCAACAGGGGAAATGTCAGGAGGTGCATGGAAGTTGAACCAGCAATACTTGTTCTTTTGTCATGCGACAATCAAATGCTGCAACTACAGCTACCTACATTTGAGTACATCTGAAATCTTACCAGAAAGTTGGCGTGCATTTATTCTCAAATGTCACCATAAGTTTATTTGCAGATGTTCTTAAGATTTATCCAGTGCCTGAGAAGACAATGTGGGCTGCACATGCTCAGTGTGCCTACTGATAAACATTGCCAGCAGCTTGATGATCCTTCACAAACCGCCTGTAGCTCATGGATGGATCCTGGAACCTGCCCATTCATACTGAGCAACAGTACTTTTAAAACGAGCTCTTTATTCTCTTTCTTTAGAGAGATTAATTTGGAAGTGTTTATTATTCCCAATCCTCAAGCAAAACTACATTGCAGCTGCAGATTTATTGTTCCTTACACATCTCACAAGCACCACCCTTCTCACTAAGCACATGATAAAATATTCAGGCTTTTACTGTACAATATTGATTATCTTAGCATTTGAATACATAAACACAATGCAACCACTTTGGGCAGGAAGATCCAACTGCACCCACACAACCCAGAAGTGGTTTTTGTACTCTGTAAGGTACTTGGGGGGGGGATGGGGGACAAAGGCCTACCTTTTTACTTGTTAGTCTGTAAAGAGTAAACTCTACGGTGCCATGTAGGTAACTATAACATATTAAAACATATCTCCAAAGTTCTCCAGTTAGCTGAAACTTCATATGACTACATGCATCCCAAGTGGTGAGAGATTTTAGCACATAGCTCTGGTTTGGTTTCCTTTGAAAGAAAGTCACTGGAAAGATGGACAGCATTAACAGACTTGTACCCCCCTTCCCACTTTAGACTCAGCACAGAGAGCAAGCCTCTGTGTCTTCCACGCTAAGACTGGCCCCCACACTATTATTCTCTTGCACTTACAATGACATTGCCTCCAGCCAGGTGAGGGGGCTGAAAGCATCACTAGCTAGTTGTTTCTAGGCAACACACCTGTCCTTCACCAGCTAATTAGTCACACTAATTAGGGACATGAGTGGCGATGTGTCTAAACCATTGAGCCTCTTGGGCTTGCTGATCAGGGGTGAGCTCCTGTTGCTCTGTCCCAGCTCCTGCCAACCTAGCAGTTCAAAAGTACACCAGTGGAAGTAAATAGGTACCACTGTGGCGGGAAGGTAAACAGCTTCTGTGTGCTCTGGTTTCCGTCACTGTGTCCCGTTGTGCCAGAAGCAGTTTAGTCGTACTGGCCACATGACCCAGAAAAGCTGTCTGTGAACAAACACTGGCTTCCTTAGCCTGAAAGCGAAATGAGCGCTTCGCCCCAGTCACCTTTGACTGGACTTAACCGTCCAGGGGTCCTTTACCTTTATTGTCACACCAATAAATGCTTAACAGGCCGACATTGGGTGAAAGATTCCTGCATTGCAGAGGGTTGGACTAGATGATCCTCATGGTCACCTCTAACTATGATTTTATGACTTGGCTTAAGGCCCCTGATTTGACCACTTAAGCAGCGTCTTCCACTAAAGCAGTAAGAATCCCATTTTACAGATACAAAACCACAGGCTTGAAAGGGACCCAGTGTGGGTATTCAGAACAATACTTAATCTGTTGTAGCTACTGTACAGCTAAACAATGTACTCCTATCCAGCAGAATTTGAAACTGAAGGTATAAGTAATAAGACAGCATACAAGTTGTCAGAGGGAGGAAGTGCATGCCCTGCCTTCAGCACTGCTGGTATTTCATCAGCCCACACATTTCCTGTTGGCCAGCAGCTGCCAATGAATCTGGAAAAAAAATGTAAAACTCAATTCTACTGCTGTCAGAACCATGAAATCCGTCTAGTTGTCAATTTAAGAAGAACACAGTGCAAGAGACCAAATACTGTGATGTTTAGTCTCTGTGTGTAGGAATCAGCACAATGAAATAGATGAGAGAAGATCAAAATAAGCTTTGTTCTTGGCTGTGTGCACATTACATGTATAAGCATGCAGAGGACTGTGCTAAACATTTGGTTGACAGAATTTAGATTCAGATGACAGCTTCGCCCATGAGATGTAACTCTATGAGAATCCTCTGAGAATCATCACCACTTTTTTTCCAGGTATCAGAAATAAATGTTTAATCCTCAGATCTATCTTCTACCCCAGCTGCAGTAGGAAAATATCCTTCACCTGTCCTTGCTCAGCAAGAGAGAGGGAAAAATAGATTGAAGATTGTTTCCTGTCAAGAGATAAGAAGGGTTACATGAGTTAAAACGAAAATAAAACAAAGATGGGAGAGGAGTAAAAGAGACCTTTGCAAAATGATAAAAATGAAAGGGGGGCGGTAATTAGAAGTAAACAATAAAAATAATTACATTTCCTACACAAATTAATTTGTGAGGATGTATCCCCCCTACCAGCCAATGTACCAAAACAACCACCATGTTTTCCAGCACTGCAAGGGCATCATGTGACATTGAAGGCAGACATGTTGGCTCAAACATTTAATATGAGGGTTTAAAGGAAGATTTTAGGTAATGGAATGAGAGAGAACCACCAGAGGAAGAATGAGCAACAAGCCCATAATAATCTCTAACCAAGCATGTTCATTCAACTCTCATATTACAAATGGGGATTTTTAAATATATGCTATTTGTATGGAAAATAAATAGACATGAGAAAAAGAAGCCATTTGGCAAAAGAAAGCTTCTTTTCAAAGTAACAATAATAAATGTTGACTTTCTTGACATTAATGTAAATATTGCTTCCTTAGACTCTTCTAGCTATAATCTTGTTGAGGCACTGATTTTTAATGAAAGTGAAATGGTTCTGCCTTGGTATAATTTTTTATCTTATGAAATATTAAGATGACAGATAGGGCTAAATGGCTCTCGGCATTTTCCTTCCAAACAAAACAATTCTCTTAAAAATGAAACAAAACCCACCTCTCTCTTTTTAGTGTGCTTCAGAATTCTAAATCTTGCAACTAGTATAAACTTGGACATTTTATGCAAATTCTTCAGGGTATGTTTTAAAGTTCAAGTATGAACATTTTTAACACTGAAATCTAAATAATTAAACCTAGATTATTAAAATAAAGCAACAATAATGGGTTGCCTCCAATGATGACTTTGCCTAAGTAGAAAGTGCTTTTTTCATGCAAGTCTTCTGCCCTCCAAAAACTGTTTCTTAGGCTCTGGAACATATCAGGGTCTTATCAATGGTGGCAGTAGGTAGGTGCTTTAATGAAATTTGGGTACCTTGACTTGTTTGACAAGAAGTGCTTACCACTGAGGCAAAACCACAATTGGAGATAGGGAACTGTGTGTTATACAGGGGTTCAGCCTCACTGCCATTTAAAGTATGTCTTCTAACAACTTATAGAATCATATAATAGTCAAGTTCGAAGGGAATACACATTTAACAAATGCATGATCAATTTGCCGCTCTATTAATATGATTAATTGATGGTAAGAAGAGCTTCAGATTATTTTTTATCTGTATATGTAGGGTTTGGAATGGTTCTTCCAATGAGAAGCCTTTCATTACCAACCACACGGCAATCTCAATTATTTCAATTCATTGAACGCCCATCTGATATGCCACAGAAAATATAATTTGGTAAATAGATTGTATTCTTGAAAGATAAATAAGTACATGATGTGAATAGATGACATACATTTTAAATTACTGGGATTTACAAGCATGCCACCCAGTTCATGGATATGGCTCAAAGACCCTGTTCTGCTAATAAATATAGGTTCAATCCCTGGTATCTCTAGGTAGATCTGGGAAAGACCTGCTGTCTGAAAAGAGTTGGAAAGCTGCTGTCAGTCAGTGTGGAGACAGACCATACTGAGATAGATTGAACAATGGTCTGACTTCGTGTAAGGCAGAATTCTGTCATATTTTCCTAGGTACAACACAAGTATGTATCTTTTATTTCTGATAGTAGCAAACCAAAACAGAAGCCAAATTTATATTGACCTAAATGTGCAATGCAATCCTATGTATTTTAATTTGGAAGTAAGTCCCAATGAGTATTCAAATATGTATAGAATGTTGCCCTAGTGATTAGATGGATCACTGCCTGTCATGTGTGATCTAGTTGTGATTCCTGCACTGAAGGAATCTCTTCCAACTCTACAATTCTATGAAATTAACTTCAATAAAGACAAAGGTAAGGCTCTGCACTTAGGCGGAAATAACCAGCTGCACAAATATAAGATGGGAGACACCTGGCTTGCCAGTAGTATGTGTGAAAAGGGGTCTTCGTAGACCACAAGCCGAATATGAGTCAACTGTGTGAAGAAGCAGCAAAAAGGCTAATTCTAGCGAAGTATAGTGCCCAGATCAACAAATGTAATAGTACCGCTCTATTCTGCCTTGGTCAGACCACACCTGGAGTCCTGTGTCCAGTTCTAGGCACCACCATTCAAGAAGGATATTGCCAAGTTGGAACACAACATGTGCAGAGGAGGGCTACCAAATTGATCACAGAACTGTAGAGTTGCATGAGACCCTAAGGGCCACCTACTTCAGCCCCATGTAATTCAGGAATCTCAACACAGGGTCTGCCATCCCATTTGAAAGCATACCAGCTCATTTAGCTTTCCAAATGTGCTAGTAGTTTTATCGCTGCACCACTAGGAGGACCAAGGGTCTAGAAACAAAGTCTTAGGAGGAAAGGTTGAGTTGGGTATGTTTAGGCTGGGGGAAAAAAAAGAGACTGGAGAGGAGATATGAAAGTAATCTTCAAATATCTAAAGGGCTGTCACATGGAAGATGGAGCAAGCTCGTGTCCTCCTGCTCCACAGGGTAGGACTTGAACCAATGGCTTCAAGAAAGGAGATGACCCTTGTGGCCCTTCCAACTCTACATTCCTATGATTTGATAACCTCCCCCCCCCCCCCCGTGGACTCCACGTCCTAAAAGAGCTGGTGAAAGATGAGAAGCAAGCAAAAAAACAACGATGCTTTCTTTCTGGATGAGTGGCAGACAGCACCGGCCTTTCGTATGCTATGTATACTATGCCTGGCGAAGAGGAGTGTCAGCAGCACAGCCTCCTCGCTGGTCCACCGCTCTCTGCACAGATCTGTGTCTTTTCCTAGGCCAGCGCGGGCGCCTGTCTCTGCCGAAGCAGCCTCGCTGCTTATCTCCAGGATCAAAACAACCACAAAGCAGGGCCTGGCGGCGGGAGTCACGTGTCCAGCGGGGCTCTATCTCCCCCTCGCGCGCCGGAACCCTCCCGGCCTGAGCGCGGAGCGGCGACAGGGGCGGCAACAGCCGAAGGAGGCGGGCCCAGCCTCCGGGCGGCGGATGTGGTGCGCCGGGCGTGAGCGCGCTCCCGTCACTCTTCTTGGAATCTGGAGGGCTCGCTCGGCTTCTGTGGCCGCGGCGCGCCAAGCGGGGCAGGTCCCTTCGCCGCGCCTCGGAAACCCGGCGGCGAGCTGAGGGGAGGCGAGGCCTCCCTCCCTCCCCTCTCGGCGCTCTTCTCGCCCCCAGCATGGAGCTTTTCCAAGCCAAGGACCACTACATCCTGCAGCAAGGGGAGCGGGCGCTGTGGTGCAGCCGCGCCGACGGCAGCCTCCAGCTGCGTCCCGGTGAGTCGCGGGGACGGGCAGGCTGGGCAAGGAAAGGGGCGCGCCGCCGCCGCCGCCCGAGGGGCTTCAGTCTTCGGAGTACTGTAGCAATTCTCCTCAGGGGAGGAGAAGACTTAAGGTCGGCCGGGCGGAGGGAGCTTTGAGTCCGGGTAGCCCAAGGGCGGCGGGAGGGCGGCGCACCTGCTGCGAGGCGGGCGGGCGGGGGCAGATGCTGGGCGCGCGCTCAGGTGAGCGGGAGGCGCCAGGTGGAGGGACAGAGGGAGGCAGGCGGCCGAAGGTGAGGGGTCCTCCTGCCGGAGGCGGGTGTGTGTATGTGTGACAGGCCGGGAGGAAAGAGGGAATTGTGGACAGCGGAGCAGGGAAAAGAGGCGACTCTTGACATCGGATCCACTCGCTTGGTGACCACTTTCACCTTTGGGAGGTTGTGGCTTTCATTATTTGCACCACCTCCTGCCTGACTCGAAGCGGCTTGCAAATAAGAACACGCACAATCCCTCCCCTCCCCCCACAATATGCTCTCAAACGAACGATATCTATAATAGTTCTTCCTTTCCTCACCTTCCTTTCCTCACTCTGAGTCGGTGACTCAGAGCAAACAGTGAACTCTTCGTGGCCTGAATTGTGTAGGTTTGAATTTCTTTTCCTGGAAGACCAAAAGCACTCTTAAGTACACGGAGTGTTTTACAATGTAAGTTAGTAGGGAATCTGTGCCCAGCCATAGGTCTGACCCACGGAAAGCAACACACACCCTCCCCGCCCCCCCAAGATGGTAGAGTTTCACCAGTTTTGCATGCCCTTGCACTGCATGGAGTTCTTCTGTCGCCCTCAGGATGTATCCTGTGGCTTGCTGTGCCTGGCTGTCTGTGGATTAAAGCCATATGGAGATTTCTCTGTGGCTTGTGTAGCCCAGACCAGTGTATTACCTGCCTTTTTAAATGTCTGGGTGGGTCAGACAGTGACTGATGCCTCATTGTAAGAGGGGCTGATGCCCACCACATTAAAAGTGGTGGTGGTGCAAATGCTCCTTAAGGCCCTCTCTGGATCCAAAGGCACTGGACAACTGATGCAAATATTTCATTTTTTTTTAGGCAAGGTGATCAAAGTGGGTGGTGTTCAATTGCACTTGTTATTGGATGAAACCTATTTTCTAGACCCAGCCCAATCTGGCTTCTGACCTGAGTATGACATTGAGTTTGCCTTGCGGAGTATGCATTATTGGAAGAGAGAAGATGGGGGGTATGCTACCCTCTTTATTCTCACCGAACCCTCCATAGCTTTTGATATCACAGACCATGATATTGACCATGAATTGGGTGTTTTGGGCACTATACTACAGTGGTTCCATTCTTACTCTGTCAAAGAAAACAGCATTGGGAGACTTTTTCTTGTCCCAATGGTATTTTTGCTGTGGGGTGCCACATGTTTTTGTTTTGTCCCTGTTGCCGTTTAACTACTGGGAGGTGTCATCTGAATATTGGGATACTGATACCCAGTATTGTCTCCATTCCTTTTAAATGACAGGGGCTGTGCATATGCTCAACCAATGTCTCAAGGCTATGATGGGCAGGATGAGATCCAGTAAACTGAAGCTGAATCAGAGCAAAATGAAGGTGCTGTGGGTTCATGGTTCTTAGGCTCAAGAATATGGTCTGTTTTGGATAGGGCAGCACTCCCCTTGAAAGCGCAGGTTCATAGTCTGGGTGTGCTTCTGGATTCCAGGCTGTCACTGGATATGAAAGTGATGGTGCCTATTCCCACTTCTGGCTGATTTGCCAGCTGTGGATGTTCCTGAACCAGGAAGGCTTGTCCTTCGTTTTCATCACTCTAATAACCTCCTGTATAGACTACTGCAATGCCCTTTATGTGAGACTTCCCTTGAAAATGTTGCAGCTCAGTTGTTGTTGGGTGCGGCCCGACAGGATCATATGGCTCCAATCCTGAAGGCATTGTGCTGGCTGCCAGTATGTTACCAAGCCCAATTCAAGGTCTAAACAACCTGGGGCCTACATTCTTGTCAGAATATGTTTCCTGATGCCTGCCACCCTGAGCTTTAAGATTTGCTGGAGAGTCCCTGCTTATAGTCCTGCCAGCCAGTGGGGCAAGCAAGACAGTGACATGAGACAGGGAATTCTCAGAGGCATCACTCCATTTATGGAACTCTCCCCAAATTAAGATACAACAGGCACACACATATAGAGAAAGGCAAAAATGCATTTGTTTGTGAAGGCATTTGGAACCTTTCTGTTTGGTTCTGTATTTTATATTTTGTTATATTTTGTTGTAAGCTGCCTGCCCTATGCTCCAGTCTGGAGGAAGGGTGGAGTATGAAAACTTTGAAATAAATAAACAAGAGGCACATTGTAAACTTTTGAAAGGGCAGGCTGTTTAGATGGTTCAGTGAAGAGCCACGCTGACTGAGCTAAAATTTTGCTTAGCCAAATTGAGAAGGAGTGTGTGGGCTGAGGGTTTGCTGGAGTTAGCTAGGATAGAGATTTTTTAAAAGCAAGTTGATGGGAGTGCAGCACCTTCTGGAGAGGATAATATACCTGGGATTTGTGAAAGTACTGTATACTAATCCAGTTTTTGACAATTGGTGGTGGATAAGCTTGCTGAAGAAGGAAGTGTGTAGGAAGATGGTGATCTCATCTGGTGATGCACACAAGGTGGAGGATGGCTGGGGAAGCAGAACAAATGAATTATAGAATTATAGAGTTGGAAGGGACCGTGAGGGTCATCTAGTCCAACCCACTGCAATTCACCCTGTCAAGAGTAAGTAGGAGCATGTCAGATTTAGTATGAAAGTGCCCCCTCCCGCTTATTTAGAGCTCTTGGAACGTGCAAGCCTTAAAAAGTTAGATGTCTGGTAATGGATTTTTTTCCCCCTCCCTCTGTACTACACTTCAGATAGTTGAAACTCAAGTTGTCTCATGTTTTAAAGTGGAATCAATTACAGTTCACTGACACCACCTTCCAAATGCAATATGGTGCTTGGTATGTTGTAATTTCTCCTTTGTTTAGCACACTGTAGGAAATTAACATTTGCTTTTGAATGCTTTAGGAAGATTCAAAGTAGCTGCGTTGTGTGTGTTTGTAATACAACCTTCCCCAAACTGGTGCCCACCAGAAGTTTTGGGCTAAAACTCCACAATATGTCTGTTCTACCTGGGGCTAATGGAAGTTGTAAGCCAAAATATCGTGGTGGCACAACTTTGGGTAAGGCTGCTATAGGAAGACTTTACAGCTGATTTGCCAGGAATTTTTGACATTAGAGGGTGTAACTATAGCTTATATGGAAATGACTATGCACTTGTTTTTGTACTGCTCATGTGTAAAGAGATTTCTTGCTTCACTTGCAGTCTTTTCACATGTTTTGTTAACGCTCATTTGATTTGCTCAGTTTGTGCCCTAATGAACCTATTGAATGATACCAAAGTATTGTCATAGCGTTTTGTTTGCTCGGTGCATTTTTTAGAGCAAGGGTGGCAGAACCTTTTTTAGCCCAAGAGCAGCATACATTTGTGGAAACCGGGGTGGGATGGGGTGGGGGTGAGGGGCTGCATTCCATTGGTGGTTGAGGCAAAAATCAAAAGTGAGTGAGACAAAAAGCAAAATTGGGTTCTATCTTTGTTATAAAACACACACACACACACAGCATCTTAAATCCAACCAGACAAAAAACATGTTAATTTATTTCCCCCCCTCCTTGAACCCTCCCCCCGACAAAGTTCTTACTAATGTCCTTCTTTTTTCTAAAAGATGTGGAATGATCAGGGTGAGCACTTGTCAAGATTCCTCCAGATATTGCTACACTGACTGGCAATGTCTGTCCAGAGTTTCAGATACGTCTTTTCCGGCCCTATTTGGAGACACTAGGGATTGAACCTGGGACCTTCACACAAACCTTTGCTCCACTACTGAGCTATTATCTTTTCACTTACATGCCTAAGGGGCTTTTCCTGACATTGCACTGACCTTTATGGGAACCTCTAGAATAGCAATACTTTTTCAAGATCCTACACTTTTTGGGTAAACTAGAATTTGCTGTCACCAGGATACCCCCTCCACTCGTTCCTGACTTTGTACTGTAAAAGTTGGGGAGATAAAGTCTTTTAGTTTAGGTTTTTGAGGCCCCGGGTGTGGTTTGCTTGAGGATGATCCCTGCCTACCCATCCCTTCTGCAGCTCCAAGATTGAGAGGAAGTATGGGGCTTTTCATGCTCAAAAGAGGATAGCTTCACACTTGCCATGATGAGCAAACATGTAGAACCCTGTTCTACTTAACAGTTTTCTGAAGCGCAACACAAATGTTAAGTCACCATTCCATTCTGCAACTGAGATCTGGGAAAGAGAGCGATAGCCAACCTACTGCAGTCACTTTGAGACTTGAGCTCTGCATAGCATCAGATGAGACCTTGTCCTCACCATTGGGATGGTACCTGGAAGGGTTCTTTTCAGAAGCAATATTTGCTGGCTAGCCAGATTTGTGGAACTCTTGAATGAGAACAAAGGAATAATTTTTCCTGTATGCTTTTATGTTGCCTATCAAAGTACATGATGTTTTGAAAAAGAAATAGTGGAGATGATGAAGGATACATTCATTATCTTTCTTTGTCTCCCTTTTGCAAAGAACTAGTCTTGTGAGATGGCAATTAGAGTATCTTTCCCATTTATTATATAGAAAGTAACATGCTGGCCATGGGAAATTAGCAACCAACAGTTCTCATTGATTTGCAGTTTCATGAAGTTATGTATTCTGGTGCTACAAAGACTACTAATCAAATACAGGTGAAATTACGCAGTCTTATATGAGCTACTCCCATACAATCATGTAATTATTGAGTATTAAGCTATATATATAGTCAGCATTTGATTACAACTTAGCATTGATCACACTGAGATTGACCCTGGAATGAAAAGTAAACCACCGAGTATTCTGTACTAATCACATAACACAAGGAGAATACTATACCTAGTATGAAGAATACAGTTAAGACTATTAAGGTAATGGATATGTTAGTGTCTCAGTTGTTTGCTGTATCTTTGATGCCAGATGTGTGTGCTGCATCCATCCATAAGCAAAATGGCAGCTGTAAGAGTTTGTGTGAATCTTTTAATCATAAATATAGTCTTCTTTTCTTATATAATCTACAAGATGATGCATGTGCAAGTATAGACGTATAATAATGCATGTACGATATAGGCTTTTATGTTCCTGTGAGTTCCACCACTTTTACATTGTTTTCACTGCCATTGTTACCTGTAGCATTTCTAAGTTGAGGTGCTCTAAGCATTTTGTCAATGACTAAGTTGCTCTGCCATAATTTGAAAGAAAAATATTGTCTGCACCTGTTTCAGTCTGTGTTCAGGTTTTGTTTTGGGACGGAACCTGTCTTGGCCACTTTTATGGATGACCTCGAGGGAGTGCAGTTCTGCTACTTTTATTGGATCTCTCAGAAGATTCTGATACCATTGACCAAAGCATCCTTTTGGTCTAAGTATGTGGGATGTGAGTGAGAGGCACTCTGAAGGAGCCAGTGTTCAGTTTGGGGGTGTTCCTGGGTCATCTTTGTTTCTGGAAGCCCAAGTGGCAACAGTGACTGGAATTCCTTTTGTCAGTTTTGGCTGGTATGCTGGCTGCGACTGTTCCTGCACAGGCATAGCCTTTCCACAGTGACTCGTGCATGGTAACTTTTTGATCTAACTACTGTAATGCCTAGGGACGCTGGTGGCACTGTGGTCTAAGCCACAGAGCCTAGGGCTTGCCGATCAGAAGGTCGGTGGTTCGAATCCCCGTGACGGGGTGAGCTCCCGATGCTTGGTCCCTGCTCCTGCCAACCTAGCAGTTCGAAAGCACGTCATAGTGCAAGTAGATAAATAGATACCACAGAGGAAGGTAAACGGCGTTTCTGTGTGCGGCTCTGGTTTGCCAGAAGCAGCTTAGTCATGCTGGCCACATGACCCGGAAGCTGTATGCCAGCTTCCTCGGCCAGTAAAGTGAGATGAGCGCCGCAACCCCAGAGTTGTTTGTGACTGGACCTAAAGGTCAGGGGTCCTTTTACCTTTTTGGTGTAATGCCTTCTATGTGAGGTGGTCCTTGAGGCTGGTTTGGAGGCTGTGGCTGGTGCAACATGCGCTGGCTGGGGTTCCAACTGTGCACACATTATACTAGTTCTTAAATAATTGCACCAGCTGCCAATAAGCTACTGAGCAAGGTTCATGGAGCTGTAGCACAGTGTTAGAGCATCTGCTTTACATGCAGAAGTCCCTGGTATCTTCTGGCAAGGCCAGAAATGATTCCCATCTGAAACCCTGTAAAGCCACTGCCAGTCAGTGTAGACAGTACTGAGCTAGATGGACCAACGAATCTCAGGCACTATAAAGCAGCTTTCTGGTGCCACAACTAGTAGAGGTTCAACTGATGGGGAAGCATTTTCTGTAACAGCAGCCTTTCATGGAATAGCCTGCCTTTTGACCTTAGGCAGGAGCTATTTTTAATGTTATTTCAGTGCCTTCTTAAAAACATATTTATTTAACCAGGCTTTTGCTTCTGTTTAATTCCCATTTGGTTCTTTTCATTCTGCCTGACTTGCAGCTGGATTTGGTTATCATACTGTTGTATTGTGTTTTTAAATGTGTACACCACTCATCACCTCAAGACCTTGGTTAGAGGAGGTATACAAATGTAATAAATAGCAGATCATGTGGCAGAATTCCTCCTAAACTGTACCAATTCATATTGCAGGCTGTGATCACATTCTTAAATCACTGCCATGTAGAAATCCTCCCTGCCTTGCTGAAAACTGCACATTGGAGAGAGAATAGGATTAGGATAAAATTTCCCTCCTTGTGTGTAGTCTAAAATGGTACTTTGTTAAGATATTGCTGACTTTGTAGAATGGATCTCACTGTGCAGTCCCATGTATGCTTACTCCAAAGTAGGCCTCACTAAATTCATTGTGGCTTACTCTCAGGGAAGCATATAGGATTGCAGCTTTAGTTTCTATAGGGTGCAAAGTGATGTCTTCTTCTAGAATTGTCCACTAATATATTTCCCTGAGGGTATTGCTGGGCACAGTGTCATTGAGTCACATGACTTCTTGTATGTGTCCCTGACATCATTTAGGCCTAGTATTGGATTCTCGCCCCCCTCATTTTGTTGATTGTGATTTACTATATTCACAGTCATTATCCTTTGACCCTCTAACAGCATGCCTGGTGGACTGACTTTTCAGTGGATGTGATGAGAAGGACAATAGTTACTGCTGTATAAGGCTCTGATTTACAAAGATGATTCATTTAACTTAATATACCTGTTCAGATGGGGATATCTATCAATGGACTAATATTGTATTGTCTTCTGCATGCCTCCAAAAGCCTAAATTTGTAAAAGTATTGCTAGCCCTCTTTTTGTGTTGTGTTAAATGATGATACAGTGTTTGGCAAAACTGTAAGGAAAGAATATATGATGACTGTGCTTAGTAACATGCAAGGCTACTGTTATACGTAATTGTCAGAAACCCTATTTATGCTTAAGTGAGAGTCCAAATGGCTTATTGCATATAGGTGCCTGATATTATTTTGTTTATTGGGAGGTTCTTTTTTTAGCAATCTGACAGGTGTACAGCTTTTGCTGTTATGAAGCTTACATCTTTGATGACTGAATCTGTTTTGAGGCAAGTACAAATCTATTTGTGTCATGCTTACTCATCATCAAAGCTGTATGTCAAAAGAACAACTTGCAAAAGTTGGTAGGAAGGAATCCTGAAAAGATATTCTGAATTTGAGGAAGACAAACCCATTCTGTGATCTAAAAATTACCATGTACTGGAACATATGACTGGCTAGTTTCCCCTCTCAACTTTAAATTATTACTGTTTGCACATAATTATAATCTAGACTTGCTGGTTTATTGGGAATGAGAAGTGATAACTCCCACTGCACTCCTTCCCAGCACAAGCAGGGATAAACAAACCAGGAAGCATTGATTTCCCATTATGTCTGTACCAGGGATTATGATTTGTTGCTCCCTAACAAGCCAGAATTGCTATCCAACCTGATGCCATAGTTTTGTTATTGGATTGCTGATTGTGACTTGCAAGGGAGGAACAAGCCACAGTCCTTGGTTTGCATATAGTGGGAAACCAATGGCCCTTTTATTTATCATGTTTGAGTCAAGGTAGAGGAGTGCAGTGTGAGAAATCTGGCAGTGTACACATCACAGACAGAGAATCTGGCATATTGTTGCATCTGAAAGTGGCCTATGATTGTCTCACAGTTCCTGGGGCATGGAGTTGCACAATAGCCCTCTTAAGAGAAAATGACCTTGCACCCACTTTGGATATTGAAGATAGAATATTGAAGATGATAACAGTGAAGGCAACCTCACTTGGTGCTTACATGCATCTAGGAATGACATTAATTTATAGCATGATATCCTAAAACTTTGTCAACACTATCTTCTGTTCACAGTATTTCCCAAAAAAATAATAGCTTGAAATAATTGTTTTCAAATACAAATTGCTCCAATTTATATATTTTAACTTCCAAGAACAGTGTCTTGAATTATTTCAGAGACTTACTTTTACAGGATGATAAACTGTAGTAGAAAGTTAACTGCTGTGTATTCAAATATGGGAATGCCTTAAAATGTGGAGCACAAGTTTGGGGAAGGCTGATTTCAAAAAAAGCCTGTGGAGGGAATGTAGAGAATGGATAGATTCCCTCCCCCTACAATATTATAACTTGGTCAGCCATCAAAATGATTTGATAATCTGTTCAGGATAAGCAACATGACCTTATTCATACAACGAATAATTAGCTTAGGAACTTTCTGCCACAAGATAAGGAACTTGCAGCTGGATTAAATGACCATACAAATTCATGGAGGATAGGACCAAGCCATACTACAATAAAGTAGCCACCATCTACCAGGATAGAAGAGTTATGTTGTTCCCAGATACGTTGTGGTGTTCCACACATGTGTCAGCAGCATGCCAAGTTGGCGCCAGAGCATAGTTCATCACCTGCGCCGGAGACATCTTGTCAAGAGGTTTTGCTAGTCAAACCACTCTTAACATGTACACTGATCCTAAGGACAGTACTGAAAGCTAGTTCAGCGGCTTCCTCGGAAGCATCTCCTGGAAAAGTTGTTCTTTCTTAGACTGGGGAGGGTCTTCCCCACTTATCACCATAGGTGCCTAAAGTTCTTATGATGATTTGTGCCTTGAAATTATGCTGCAGGCCTCTGTGATGCACGTCTAGGAATGAGGGAAGGAAGGAAGGAAGGCATTTGAACTGTGTTTAGTTGAGGCTGTGCTGAGAGTAGCCCAAAGATCTCAGAAGAGGCGATCATTCATGTTTCCTGCCTTGTTTCTGCAGCTGGCCAATGGTAAGAGGCCTATTTCAGTCCTTGGCAGCAGATAAGACATTCAAGTTAACACCTCGGCATTCACAGGAGAGTCAAGGGATGGAGGAGGAAGCAAAGGCATGTTAGGTCCAACAAACCACAGTATCTTTGTTCTTATGCCAACTTGGTACTGGCTAGTTAAATTGTGGCTCAGTGTTGAGTCTGAGTGCAACTATCACGTTGAAGTGACTTGCAGCTTTGTTGTCCAGATCATTCTAATAGGTGGCAAAGTGCCAAGCCCTGCTTTGTTCCATTTCTTTGTTTATGAGCAAACCTAGCAATATCAACAGATCTATTCAGATTGTTTATAAATACAATAGGAATTCAGGGTAGCAAAGTGGCTGGCACCAGAAACATTTCCCAAATGGTGCTTAAACTGACAGTGTCTCTAGACAAAAGAGCATCAGCTTGGTCTGCACTTTTCACTCTTTAAACAATAGCTTTTAATCTTATTGTGAAATTGTTTTTCTTGGAATAGAACATTTCCCTATATAATATTTCTTTGAAATAAAGTTTAAAAATACATTTACTCTGAGTAGCAGTTTTACAAAAACCTTTGTCCGAACATCAACTTTAGTTTGTGTGCTTTCATTTTAAACCTAAACAGCACTGTTGGTTGTTCCTAAAACCTTGATGGAGTAATCCATTAAGAATAGATATTTTTGCATTCTTTTCTTTCCTTGAAATCAGAATTATTTGTGCCAGAATAACTAATTTCCAACCAGGGAGTTGCAGAAGTTTTATCCGTTGTTCTGATCCATCAAACTAGATATGAGCAGAAAGAAAAAAGAAAGAAAGTACAGCAGCAAGATCATATACTCTCATCAGAACTGGCATTACTGCCTCTGCAGTATTTGTTCTTCCTAGCTGGTTAACCTACTGTTAAAAGGATATACTGTCTGTAGCATGGGTGGTAGACAGCATTCTTTTGTTGGGGGAGCTGCATACAGGATGTGGACAGAGATCGAGCCAACGGTGGGCAGAGCAGAGATAAACATGTTCTGGATTTATTAATATGGAACAAGGACCACTCTTGTTTCAATTTTCACCATGACTACATTGGAACATTGGATTATAATTCCTAAATCCTATGCTTTTTGGAAAAACATCATATATACATCTAAGGGTGGCAGTCCATCAACACAAAGACTTTGGGCTGCACAATAGAATTTCCCCTCCCTCTCCCCTCCCTGTGTACCCCCTAAATTGGTTCTGGGGGTTCCTTACAACCCTCTGGAGGAGATTTGAGGAAGGCGTACGGAGAGAGAGGGGAAGAAGTTCTGGTGTGCATGGGTCAAAGTGCATGTGGCCTCATATTCCATACATAGTTTATGCCCTCACACATATCTGCTGTACACCTGTGTTATGTACTGAGTTGAATAGGATCCAAACTGCAGCAGTCTGATTGGTCCTAGAACAATAGGATCCAAACTGCAGCAGTCTGATTGGTCCTAGAACAATAGGGTTCAGAATGCAGCAGTCTGATTGGTCCTAGAACAATGCAGCAGTATGATTGGTTGGCAGGAACCACCCAATCATGCTCCAGATAGAAGTGAATCCACAACCTGATTGGCTTACAGTAGAATCCGGAATTAGCCAATCATGTGCAGCCCATTGTGTAAATAATGTATATAAAGCAGATACTTTCAGGGGACTTTCATTCATTCCTCCTCACCACTATGAGCTGAATAAAGAGCATGAAATCACTTTGCGACTCTGAGTATATTTCAACCTGAATAGGTGGTCTTGGAAAAAATGACCCTTACTGTACAAGTGCTCCTGGTGAGTAAGAATGTTAAGCACTCCAGAGATTGAACTGTAAATTCCATAGGCTATTTTGGAGTGTGGTTGTTCTGGTCTCAGGCATAGAAGCAATAGGGGAGTGCAGTGTTGGTCCTTTCAATGGCTACTTCTAAATTCCTTAAACTACTTTCTTACAGGAGAGTGAGAGCACTCTTGCCAAGTTTTCTTCAACTTGTTGAAACCATGAGTAGTATGTGAATAGAGTGGCATTCATACTTTAAGGGTGTGTCATCTATGCTCTGATTATGAACTCTAAATGAGTCATGTTTGTACAATTAAGTTACTGCAGAGAGCTATTTTCCAGTTATATAAACTGGAATGAACTTTGTAAAATTGTTTTTAACTCCTTGCTTAAAATAAAATTTGAAGAAAGCTTTTGGGCCTCTACAAGTAGGAATTCGGGTCTTGGAAGGTCACCCACCCTGATATTTCTTGCTGACTACAGCAAATGGGGCAGCTGGTGGTAGGAGGCTTTTTCTATCTAGTATATCTGCCTAGTCCTCACTTGGGGTATGAAGTAGGAGCAGTAGAACAGAAAACTGAGATGTTGCCTACAACCACTGGCTTGGGTTGCCTTGTAATTGGCACAGTAAACCTGACACTTAAAGATGAATTCTTTCTTTATGTCCCGGGGGGCAGATTTAAAAATGAATATGGTATCAGAATAATGGAGCCTTCACATATTCCAGTGGGAACCTGTTGAATCCGTAGAGAGCGTCCCATTTACAAAGTTATTAGCTAGAAAAATATGTGTTGAGATAACGTACTATAGGAATGAGCAACTAGAGGTCTTGCTGCCAAATCCATTGGAGAGGTAGGATCAAAACAAACAAACAAATAACCAGACTTGCTTTTAAATTGCTTACCACAGATTCTGATTTGCATTTTTGTTTGTCTAAAATTTCTCCCACAGCTACTGACCTGCTTTTGGCTTGGAATCCGATTTGTCTGGGCTTGATTGAGGGACTTATTGGAAAAGTTCAGCTTCACACAGGTATGAATAGTTAAATTCTTTATCTTACCAGATTGATGGTTAATGTTAAAATTGCTATGCCCTTTTGTGCTTGTAACTCCCCTGACAAGGCTTTGCTACCTATAATTGATAAAACTAAAGTGGGCTTTGTCAGCGCCTCTCAGACAGATTTGTCCGACACTTTCATTTGTTTCATGTCAGTGTCTGAATTGCAACACATAAATAACTGGTTCTATTTACATATACAGTGGTTCATGTATATTTTGTTGTGTTTTCTTGACCTGAGGAAAAGGTAATTGGGAGAGGGGGGAGGTGAAGAGTCAGCATCTTCCTGTAAATAGAATTTCATGAAGATACGGAGGTAAGTAAAATGTGATGCTTTAGTTCAGCTTGAGCATTATTCGCAAATATAAATGAAAAGTTCTTGTAGATATCAGTTTAATTTTGGCTTGTAAATAAAGGTGACTAATGGTTTCCTACAAATGACAGGGATATAAAAATGTTCAGGGGAAGATGCAGTTTTCTGGAGCATTGATTACTAACATTTTTTTAGGCTGGCTTTCTCATCTAGTTTCCTCAAACACCATCTGCTTCATGTTGATATAAGAAAAGCTAGACGAGCTTGATTCTATTAATGGAATAGTATTGGAAATCATGCCAAAGAAACAGCTCTCACACATTGAATATTTCAAAAGTGAGGTCAGCATGCTTCTTATTTGCTTCTGATCTAAAGTTGTTTAGCTGACCTTTAAATAATAAATACTGTTCACAAGAGGTATTTGTGAATTGATCTTTTGTAATAGAAATGGATTAAAAACCAATAGTTGCCACAAAACACTAAATTCGTGGTTAACAAGAAAAACCCACACATCTGATTTTCACATATGCTTGAAAAAACTTCCTCTAATACTAGATTTTATTTTAAAATAGAACCATGGTCTTACAAACATGGAACACAGATAGCGATGAGTGACCCCTATGCTCTTGCTGTGTACTGTTCAGATGTGACTTTAATATGGGCTCAACAAGACCCTAGAGATTCCATTCTGTGGACAGCCTGTGATTTATTACACACAAGAAAGAAGAGATTTCACAGAGGGGAAAAAAGGTTCACTCTTTCTTCAGTGATGCCCTCAAAGTTCTTTTAAGGCTCTATAGATTAAAAGAGAACAGTTATGTAACACAATAGTGCAACTGGTTAGAAGGAATCGCTCTTCTGAAATGATCAGATTATTTGTGGAGTTGGAGTCATTCTACACATTGTACAGAATTCATGTGACCTGTACTATTAGAGGTTGGGGAAATCATATTTCTTAGTAATAATAAAAAGAGAGATTTAGTGTAGTTAAGTTCTTCATTCAAGGAGTGCTTATGTGATGGAAATTCGTTTAAGACTATCAGCAGTCTTAAACAGACAAGACCAGAATTGTTTGCAGTATCTAGAATGACACTAATTTTCTGTCATGCCGCTGCACCAGCTATTGTCCTTCAACTTTGGATCCCTATCTAGAGGTTGTTGGACTGCATCTCCCATAATCCCTGGCCGTTGGCTAACCTTTTGGGGATGACGGGAGTTGTAGTCCGAACAACATCTGATGAGCTAACATTGAGGAACTCTGTGGCTAATTTCTTTTTTTACAAATTTAGTCTTGAGCTTTCATTCCTGTAGTTTGTGTTTGTTATTTCTCGGTTTTTAAAATCCGAGAAATGCCATTTGCTTCCGTTCCAATGCTCTCTAGGAGTCTAGGTACTAGTAATGACAACTGACATTGGTTGTTTAGATTTGTTTGTGATGTATGTAAGTATGTTCATTTCTGATCTCTTCAGTGTAGCTACAGAGAGACTATATAAAGTGATTTTCTGCTATTCGCAAGGCATCTTGGATGAAGCCTCTGTTTTCTGTGAATACTAAGCATATCTGTTAAGCACAGAATTTAGAGGATTAGGCTGTTAGTGCTGAAGAAACCAGAGTTATTGGTAGATATCTAGCTTTCCCTGGGTTAAATGTAGTATCTGATTAAAATTTTATAAGAAGGCTCTGTGTGATGTGTCCCAAGTTAACAAGAACACTGCATCACCATTCCCTTGAAAGCCAACTAGCAGTTATTGATTCTTTGAGGAGCTGAGCTGGAAACATTGCTTTATTTCCTTGCATTGTGGAGCTCTCTGGTAATGTTGTCATGGACAAGTTGTAGAGCTTTGATACCATGGTTGATTCATTGATTAAGAGCACAGGCCTTGAATAAATAAAAAGGCATCTTGGCAGCCTGGAAATGTGTTCGGTTTCCAGAACACTGAATACATTTTAATGGCTTTCATATTCATGGGTGCTTATTAGTAACTACATTAGTTCTGCAATTTTGCATGTTCTTTTATAACACTTGCGGGTCCTTTCTAAAAATAGCTGTGTATATATATATTTTTAATAGTTGACCATAGTTCTGCAGGCAGGTATGCACGCTCTTTTAAAACAATTGCTGGTCCTTTCTAAAAATAGCTGTGAATATAATTTTAAAAATAGTTGACCATGACCCAATTAAATACTAATGTGTACCTTGAGGCAAAGGAGCAAGTGAATACACTTAGCATTTTCCGTAGAGAGGATATCTTTATATTCTATGATCACAAAATGGAAAATCTATTAATTTTATTGCAGATATACTGACATTTTGCTTTTTCAAAGCAAATATCAGCTATATCTTATTTTTGTATATGCCAAGGGTATCATTAGAGAAGAAGGGAGGAAGAGAGCATGCTAGGATTGCAGGGATGACAAACTGTGTATTTTTAGGACCATACAGGAAAGCATGATTTCTCTTGGGCTCTGCAAATCTGTTGGGGGTTTCTCTCAAACCACTGGAATACTTTTAAGGGGGTACCTGGGGAGAGGAGAGGAATGGGAAGTTCAGTTGCTCAGCCCAGAGTGTCTGCTCTGTGTATAAATTAGTTGGATTCAACCATGATTCATGTTTTTCATTCTTTTTCTCCTAAAAAGGACGCTTGTTTTCTTAAAAAGCAAGGCAGGAAAAGGCTGAGGTGCACCCTTTGTGTCAATTTTTTGGAATAGCGCCACCACCATCACCACTTCCTCCTTTAAAACCACCTAGTTCTGGGCAAGGAAGAAACTCCAGGCAGGGACATTCATGATGTCCCAGCTTCCCTCTTCAGATGTACAGGGAAAATCCTGAGGCTACCAACTGTGTATGTTTCCTGTTAGCTAATATAGGGAATGTTTAGTGGGGGCAGCAGGGAGAGTCAGGTCTTTCATCTTGTGCTTTGATAGCATCCGTGTTTTCCGAGAGTGACAAATAAAATACATAATGCAATAGTTAACAGTGCCTTTGAGCAGGGTATGTAAACAATTGCTGTGTTAGTAAGAGCTTGCCTCATCTCGCCCAGCATGAGAACTGACTTGCAAGCTTTAATTGTTGACTCCTGCCACTGAAAGATGTGGCTACGCTTTGGCTGTTGCTGAAAGGAAAAGGAACACTGTTGGAATTATTATAGACTTGTCTATAATAGGCTGTATATTGCTATATAATAATGTGTATATTGAGGGAGGGAAAGTCCAGTTCTTTTACCATAATTTTCACATTGAAGAATGTGAAACTGTAAATAACTGGGGTTTGGGGGGTTGAGTAATAAAGAGTCCAATTTGAAAATTTATTACAGTAGCCCTGAAAAAGACCCTTCCTTTTTAAATAGAAAAGTGACATTTTTAAGATGGTAAGGGTCAGAAGGGTGGTTAGCAAAGAATATGTTCAATGAAGCTTTGGTATGTTTAGTGGCTTATAATTTTTTTTAATTATCAAGAATATCTGGATAGTTAGGCCTTCTCTCCCCACAGCATTGATTTTTTTTTTTTTTACATTGCGGAAATTTGTTGGTTTGTAAATGAATGCAAGAAATGTTTCTTCTGCTGCTCATATGCAGTCTGGCTTAAAGAATCTAATTTCACCTTGCATTAATCTTAGTGTAGCACATGAAATGGGGGTAGTGGCACACTTTTAATGAAATTTCCCTGTTTGTGTATGCTGTGGAATAAGTTGTCATACCATCTTAAAGCTAGGAACGGGTGATTGACAACCAGAGTCACACTCCCTTACAGACTTAACGGATCTATGAACTCATTAAGGCTAGAAGAAATGGGAACAGCACATATGGAGACATTGTAGTTTTTGGTTTGCTCATTAGTTGCTCTGTGCTTAGCGGCAATTGACCTGAAATATTTGACTAAGATTTGAATAAGACTAAAAGATACATCTCCAGATTACATTTGGTATTAACTCTTTGTTTATGTTCTGTTGCATCACTTAAGAAGTGCTGTTAGCCCCTGGTTCACTCAGGTCAAAATTAATTGTTTCTGCAGATGCAAGAAATATAATCACCATAGAAGCATAGCATATGTAATACATGTTTTGTTTTTGTTTCCCCCAGAGCCTTTTTGGCTTTACCATATATGGTGAGAGCAACAAGCACAAATGAACACAATTCTAGTTCTTATTTATGGAGCAGCTTTTTATTATATCAGGCCAGAGGTTATCTATTATTAAATCATTCAGGCTTTACATATAACTCTTCTTAAATATAAAATAAGGAAAATTCTTAGTGTATCATTCATACTAAGTTAAGATTGCACTGGAATGTTTTCTTGCACTTTCCAAGCTGTTTATGAACCTTTTGAATGCTGCTTAGAGATTTTTCAAATATTTAAGTGGTTTAGAACTGCTTTTAAATAAATAAAACAAAACTTTGAACCCTCATATAAATATATTTAAAACTCAACAAGTGGGGGATTTCAGTTCAGTAGGATCTCTTTGTGCATACTTCCTTTGTCATTTACACTTGAAAATGCAAATCAGTGAATTTGTTAGACGGCTGAATTTTTTTTAGAATTGTAGAGTTGGAAGTGACCATGATGATCATCTAGTCCAGCCCCCCTGCAGTTCAATGTAGGAATGTTTTGCCTAATATGCAGCTCAAACTAATGACCCAGATATTAAGAGTCTCATACTCTACTGACTGAGCTGTTATAGATATAGGAATTCAAAATTAAAAAGTGATCAAGACTGTAATGTCAGATATTTTAATAGTCTTGCCTGTCTTGGCCATCAAGTCCATATTTCACTGGAATATTTATGACAAGCATAAGCACTTGAACCTACATGGAATCCTGTTTAAGAGAACTCTCCTCTTGCTGTCCAGACATTCATTTTAATCTATGAAGGTTGCAGGTTCAATCCCTGTATGGCATGGCTACCTATTCATGCATTGCAAGGGGTTGGACTAGATGTTTCTCAGGTTCCCTTCCAACTCTACAATTCTATGTTGCATGATTACTATCACAATGAAGGATGGCTTAGAAGTACTTGTATGTGCTCTTTAGAACACTTTTACAGATTATTGAGTTCAGTCGTTGAGACAGAGTTCTGAATGCATCTATGCCACTGAACTTCAGTTCCTGTTTGCCTTGGTGCTTCCCAGGACAGAATGCTGCTTGCTTCTTGTGGCTGTGATCTGGATATATTTGATTGTATTAAAAGGAGGGCTGCCAACAGACCAGGAAAACAGTTGCTAGGCTAGTTTTGTTTACTTCCTGGGCATTGTTAGTGATGAGAGAGAGAAAGCGAGAGAACTGTTGTCTCCCATCCTTCTAATTCATTTAAAAATGATTCTCCCCTCATCCAACTGTGTCTTAAAAGCATGCTGTGAGGATGCTAGGCCCAGCAACAAAAATTGGTTTGAGCACCAGCTGTGAAAATTTAAAACGACTGTTGCCAGGGACTAGAGACAGCGGTGTCTGTTGCTGTGCTGGCCTGTACACACCCCACACAGCAGGTGGTGGTTGAGTGCTGCATAGTCAGCAAAAGCCACAGCAGGCTAAAGTGTGAACAATGACCTGGGTATTATCTGGGCTAGTGATGGAGGTGTCGGTCTTTAAGTTTTTATTTTTAGCTGCTGGCTTGTGTGTAGGAGGAGTCTTTGTTTCGTTTTGTTAGCGTGTTGCAAATGTTTTCTATCATAGTTTTGGGAGGCTGTTTCCCCACAACGTATTGTATGATACCATATAATCCCCCTTTCCTGTGGTATAATGTATTTATGTATACATATTTTTTAAATGTCAGTATTTGGAGACCCTTTGGTTCTTAAAATTAAAAACCAATTCTATGTTTCCATTCTCTTGAGGTTTGTACTGCTGCTTCTTTAATCTTGGTTTTGTAGAAATGACAGGTAGGGTGTTCATGATGGGCAGAATAGCACACCAAAGTTTCTATGCTATCTGTAAAGTGTCTTATGGAGGCGATGGTTATATAATGTCCCTAGAGAACAGCTTGCACTGAAGGTTTTCACGACAGATTTTGCTGTTAAAGCATTACTTTCTTTGTGACACCTTTTTAGTGTTCAAGCAGTTCTGTTTCAAATTGATGGAAGCTTGCCACCCTGCTGAAAATCTATATGTGTAACCTTACAACATCCCCCCCTTTAGAAGGAACCAAGAAACCTTCTGTTTCAGATTTGTTTTTGCAGACAAAATGCATTTTTTTATTAGCAAAGGAAGCCTTTGCATCATGACACACAATTCTAGAAAATTGTATGACTATTCTTTAGTTAGCGAAAACATTATTGCACAAACAGTTTCTATTTTGTTACCAATCTTATTACAGTATTCTATAGTTTTGTCAGCAAGAAATCTTTCCATTGAAATGGATTGTTTTCCTATATCTAACCTTGGGAGGAGGGGAAATTGTGAAGTCAAATGTTTGTAAATGGGGAAAAAAAATTATAAGTATTCATTTTCAACAATAGCCTTCTACAAGAGCCTTTGGTTTCTTCAAGCCACCATACATGGTGGTGGCAGATTCACTTGTTTAAATAAGGGTCTGCACACAGTCATGAATAGTAGTGCCTCTCTCCCTTTTCGCATAACTGAACAATGCTTTGAATAAAGGAAGTATTTGCATGAGTGTTTTGTGGCTGAAGAAAGCCACCAAATTTGTTGTGAAACCCTTGCTACTGTCTGTTATGGAAATGGTTTTGTTCCTGGGTTAGGGAGAGGGGACTACTGGATGGCGCTGCACTTCATGATAAGTGGCAGCTATCCTACCTTTTGTTGTTGCGTGGAGAAGAGCCACAGTTATGAATACTATATTCTGATGCCATTCTGCAGTTTGCAAGCATTGTTTTCAGACCCCCAGTACCAGACTGTTTGTATTGTGTTTTAACTGAGATGGCTCAATGGTGAGGAACATTAGTTTGAAGGGTTGCTGCCTAACTCTGTGGAAAATGCTCGGACAGAAGATCACCAGGTTGATGGACCATATGGATTGATAGAAAGGACTGGCAGAATCCGAGACCAGGGAGAAGAGACGGTGGAAGAAGTTTGGAAAAAAGTTTAAAATTTATTTATAGAAACATTGTAAAATTAATGAGCGTTAGAAAAATGTTGGAATGAAATTACACGGCTTTAGTAGAAATGTTATAAGGAGTTAAGTACAAATAAGTTTTAGGGTATTAATGGTAAGATAAGGTTAAAATAATTTATGACAATTATGTGACAGAAAATAGTGAAAGATGGAAAGGATTTGCTGAAATAATTAATAATTAGAACACAAAAAAGGGAGGTGCGAGGAGGTCGATGAAACAAGTTAATGAAAGACAAAGATATAGAAATATTGGATGTGTTTTTAATTGTTTTTGCTTTTGCTTTTGTTTTGATGTATTGTGTCTTTTGTTTTTTCTTTTTTATGTATAGTATTGATTTGTATTGTTTACTTTCCTTTCTTTCTTTCCTCTTTCTGTAATCTTTAAACTTTTAATAAATATTATTTTTTTTTAAAAAACTCTGTGGAAAATGGATGCGTGGAAATGGAAAATGCCATACTAATAGATTTGGATTTGTTTCAGATTTACCTTGGTGGTTGATTCTAATTCGCCAAAAAGTAGTGGTTGGCAAGCTTCCAGGAGATCATGAAATATGCAAAGTAACAAAGATTGCAGCAGTACCACTCTCTGAAGCAGAACCTCAGGATCTGGAACTGGAGGTAACTTTAACACTCGGAATACTTTGAAATCTAGCAGTTGATAAGATGAGTGCTTATATGCAAAACTAGGGCTTCACTTGTTATCCGAGGCTCTTAATTGGATGGTGTTTTTAAAAGTTTGTACTTTGGGATTTCTTCTGTTATCTGCTGCCTTGCTGAATTTGTATTTTTTATTTTATTGTTAATAACCTTCATTAGCTGCTTTGAAGCATACATGAAAATCTGCATATAAATATCCTGAAAATAGATAGATAGATAAGAATATGCACACATTCATACCTAAACCACATGCTTAAATAAAAGATAATTTATTTAACATTCATTTGATAGGACATATGTAATAGAATATTGTTTCTTTAAGCTTTATATTAACTTAATATTTTCTTTTCAGCTCTGTAAAAAACATCATTTTGGAATAAACAAACCAGAGAAGATTACCCAGTCTCCAGATGACTCTAAATTTCTGCTCAAGACCTTCACTCAGATTAAATCAAATGTTTCTGCTTCTAATAAAAAGAAGGTAGGGATTTCTGTGGGCTTTCAAAATGTTTTTTTCCTTGTAGAGTGCTATAAAAACTATTTGTATTTGTATGTATGTATGTATGTATATATGTATTCTGTACTTTTTCCGCAAAGTAGCTTTTTATGGTTTCCTGCCAATCAAATCTGCTACTCATTCTAAATAAGCATCGCTGGCCCCTCTGTTTTGCATTTCACCCTGCAGGTGATATCCAGTTATGGCATCCCACTTGTGCTTCTGCTCCTCTTCCTTTCTTTTCCAAAGCCTTTCTCTTCTCCTGTATTGTTCTTATTTATTTGACAACTTCACCATCCATCTGTTGATGGGGCACAATACCTTGGACATTTTTTATTTCTCTTTCCTTTGAGCATATTCAGTCCTTTACCGAGTCATATGGCATTGCAAACATTTCAAAAACATGTCTCTTTCATTTGGCCCCATCAGCAAAACTTTGGGCCATTCTGTTTGTGTCCAGCTTCCACTGCTGCAGTCTTCCCCTCTGTCTAGAACAGGAGTGGGGAACCCAGCATCCCCAGACAGCATGACCAGTGCTCAGGGATGATGGGTGTTGTAGTCCGGCAACATCTGGAAGACTGCAGGTTCTCTAGCCTAGAATTCTGCACCCACTATTCATCTTTCATCATTCATTCTATGACATAGTTCCTTACATCCTCATGCCAGCTTCCTGTCTGATTTCATATTCAGCACAATTTCGTTCCAGGTCTTTGGCACCTCATACGTCTTCATGCTCTTATTCCAGTATATCCATGCCAATGACCTTTTACTCATCCCAACTCCACCAGGCTTAGGTTTCCTTCTTGCTGGAATTGCTGTCTTTTCTTTGCTAGCAGCATTTATGCCTGTGACTTGTCCCAGCAGAACAAATATGTAATGTTCCCACTTTGTCAAAAGGACAACCGTAATGGCTAAAGCACAGCTTTCCAAACTTTTCATGTTGGTGACACACTTTTTAGACATGCATCAGTTTGTGACACTGATTCAGTTCTGCATAATTTTGCAACATGCTAATGCAGTTTTACTAGCAAACCGGACGTTAAACTCTTTTCTAGCCCCAGGAGGAGCATGGGGAGTGTTTGTGTGACACACATACAGACTGCAGCCAACACACTAACGTGTTTTGACACACAGTTTGGAAAGCTCTGGGTTAAAGGAACTAAAGCACTTTTTGTTCATAAAGAGGCTAAAACATTTGGAACTGTTTAGTTTTGGGATGGCAGAGGGACTAAGGAAGAACATAATAAAGATTTATTAAAAATTACTTGTGGTTTGGGGAAAGTGGATAGACATTTTTCCTATGCTGCCTCTTAGGCCTTGCCATCTGTGAAAGGTACACTCTGTACTGAACCCTTTGCTTTTTAGATGATAAAATCTCTCAGTAGAACATGAAGTGTTTTGTAACATATGATGTGGTCTGATCTTTTTACCTCCCTCCATGCATCAAAATAGAGGAATACAGTATATTGTGTATGGTGCCTGAGCAACTTCTGCTACATTGGAAAATGGGCAGTCACTTTGATAGGGAAGGCCTATCAAATACAGTAGCACCTCGGGTTACTTTATCCTCGGGTAACGTAAACTTCAGGTTGCGAAAGCAGCAAACCCAGAAGAATATGACCAGGTTTCACCATGTGCGCATGCGCAGAAGTGGTCTACTACCGCATGCATGCGTACAGCAGTGATCCTCGGGTTGCGAAAACCTCGGGATCTGGCCGGACCTCCAGAACGGATCTCATTCGCAACCGGAGGTACCAAAGTATTCTAAATATCTCTCCTGATTTGAAATCTAAAATGACATAATACCCTATATGTATCTTCCAATCTACGTGACCTGAAGAAGCAAGACCTTAAATTTGTAGTTAACTTCTATGGCTGACCCATTTGCTTGATGAGGACAAAGTCGAAGGGTGGAAGATCTTGCTGGGCTGAAGTTTGTAAAAGTTGTTTAATAGTATATATTTGGATATAAAATTAGTCAAAGTAACATTTCCCCAGTCAGCCTAATATTTTGCTGTTTCACAGGTTAAAGAAAGTAAAGAGAAAGAGAGACTGGAGAGGCGGCTGCTGGAAGAACTATTCAAAATGTTTATGGACTCGGATTCCTTTTATTACAGTTTGACTTATAACCTAACAAACTCCGTGCAAAGGCAAAGTGCATGTGAGAAGGCTAACTTGCCACTCTGGAAGAAGGTAAGGTTGTCTGTTGAAACATTATCAGTGTTTTGAACGAATACTTGGATTCCTGTGTGCATGTATCTGATCTTATTCATTTATCTGTAAAACCAAGAAACATGAATTGTTTCCTGTTGGCTTGTGTTCTGATAAGGGTGAGTTTGCATTGTTCTCTGGTTTTCGGATGGAAAATATTTACATTTTAATTTCATTTTCAGGTTGATGATAGATTTTTTTGGAACAAACACATGCTAGAAGACTTGATCAATATTGGTGTGAGTAATGTTTGCTATGAATATGTATTTTGTTTAGAACCTCTGCGTAGAAGGTAGAAAGCTGTTCTACTTGTTTTTAATACTTAGTCAAATTGATTAGTAAAGAGATTTGCCAGGCTTCATGGGTCTCATTCTAACTTATATATAATTCTGTAATAAAAATGTAGAAACCTAGTGTGGAAGGGGAAAATGCATAAAATGACACATTCATCAGACCATAGGAAGAGCCTACTTGTTCAGGCCAGTGGTCAGAGGTGCCATCTTCGGAAGAACATTGAGGGGGGGCACACACAATGTCCTGACGTCGCTCTGTTCTCGGCTCTGCATTTGGCTTGAACAATGCAGGGCCCCCTGGAGCTGGTGCCTTTGCCAGTGGCCCATCTACTCCATCATTCTGTTGTCACAGGGACCGATCTGATGCCTATAGGAAGCTTGCATGTAGAACCTGAGCATAAGAGCATGGTTCCCTCTTGCAGTTTCTAGCATCCAGAAGTGTGCTGCCTCTGATTACGGAGGCAGAGCATAGCCATCAAGGCCTGTAGCCATTGCTAGCTTTTACAGTGGTGCCCCGCAAGACGAACGCCTCGCAAGACGAAAAACCCGCTAGACGAAAGGGTTTTCCGTTTTGGAGGCGCTTCACAAAACGAATTTCCCTATGGGCTTGCTTCGCAAGACGAAAGCCCATAGGGAAATCTCGATCCGCTGAAGCCTGGGCGCGCTGATCTCAGCGCGCGCAGGCTCCGGCATGCCGGCAACTCTCCGCGAGCAGCGGCAGCGCTGCCGCTGCTCGCGGAGAGGTCCGCGGAGCCTGGGCGCGCTGATCTCAGCGCGCGCAGGCTTCGGCATGCCGGCAACTCTCCGCGAGCAGCGGCAGCGCTGCCGCTGCTCGCGGAGAGGTCCGCGGAGCCTGGGCGCGCTGATCTCAGCGCGCGCAGGCTTCGGCATGCCGGCAACTCTCCGCGAGCAGCGGCAGCGCTGCCGCTGCTCGCGGAGAGGTCCGCGAAGCCTGGGCGCGCTGATCTCAGCGCGCGCAGGCTTCGGCATGCCGGCAACTCTCCGCGAGCAGCGGCAGCGCTGCCGCTGCTCGCGGAGAGGTCCGCGAAGCCTGGGCGCGCTGATCTCAGCGCGCGCAGGCTTCGGCATGCCGGCAACTCTCCGCGAGCAGCGGCAGCGCTGCCGCTGCTCGCGGAGAGGTCCGCGAAGCCTGGGCGCGCTGATCTCAGCGCGCGCAGGCCGGCATGCCGGCAACTCTCCGCGAGCAGCGGCAGCGCTGCCGCTGCTCGCGGAGAGGTCCGCGAAGCCTGGGCGCGCTGATCTCAGCGCGCGCAGGCTCCGGCATGCCGGCAACTCTCCGCGAGCAGCGGTAGCGCTGCCGCTGCTCGCGGAGAGGTCCGCGAAGCCTGGGCGCGCTGATCTCAGCGCGCGCAGGCTTCGGCATGCCGGCAACTCTCTGCGAGCAGCGGCAGCGCTGCCGCTGCTCGCGGAGAGGTCCGCGAAGCCTGGGCGCGCTGATCTCAGCGCGCGCAGGCTTCGGCATGCCGGCAACTCTCCGCGAGCAGCGGCAGCGCTGCCGCTGCTCGCGGAGAGGTCCGCGAGCCTGGGCGCGCTGATCTCAGCGCGCGCAGGCTTCGGCATGCCGGCAACTCTCCGCAAGCAGCGGCAGCGCTGCCGCTGCTCGCGGAGAGGTCCGCGAAGCCTTGGCTGGACAGCTTTTGAAGGCAGGTGGGGGGCAAGACTTTCGCCCCCGCCAACCTTCAGAAGAGGTCCAGGACCTCTTCTGAAGGCTGGCGGGGGCAAAGTCTTTGTCCCCCTGCCTGCCTTCCCAGGGGCTTTAAATTGCCCCGGACAGCGGAGAAGTCCTCCGCTGTCCCGGGGCAATTTTAAATTTCCGCCCGCCAGCATTTTAAGATCGCCCCGGACAGCGGAGAAGCCCTCCGGGGTCCCGGGGTTTTTTAATATGCTGGGGGTGGGAGGAAAAGCCCTTGTCCCCCCCAGCCTTCAGAAGAGGTCGGGGACAGACTGTCCCCGGACCTGGTCTGAAGTCGGTTTCCCTAGGAACGCATTCATTGATTTTCAATGCATTCCTATGGGAAACCGTGCATCGCAAGACGAAAAACTCGCAAGAAGAAAAAACTTGCGGAACGAATTAATTTCGTCTTGCGAGGCACCACTGTACCTCCATTAATTTGCCTAAACGCATTTTAAAGCCATTCAATTTGGTGGCCATTATTACCGATTGTAGGAACGAGTGTGAAGAAGAACTTCCTTTTATTCACCCTAAATCCTTCCAACAATTAGTTTCACTGGAATTTCATGAGTTCTAGGGTTACGAGAGAGGGAGGAAATATATATCCACTTTCTCCATGCCTTATAAATTTCTATCATCTCACATTTTCTCCAAACCGGAAAAAAGTCCTAAATGCTGCAACCTTTCCTCCTAGGGGAGTTGCTCCATCCATTTGTACTTCCTTCATTTCTTTTTAACTTTGTAGAAATCTGAAGTGGATTTTTGGATTATCCCAGTCATCCAGGGATTTGTTCAGATTGAAGAGCTTGTAGTTAATTATAATGAAGCATCAGATGAAGAGAAAAGCAGTCCTGAGACACCACCTCAAGAGCCAGTCTGCGTGGATGATATTCACCCATGTTTTCTTGTGGCCCTTATCTCACGCCGAAGTCGCCACAGAGCTGGTAAAGTTGCTATGATAGCTTTCATGGACTGTTTAATAATAGAAAAATATTGATTGAATCAAGAACTTGAAAAAGTTGCACAAGATTCTTTTTTCAAAAACGCTGTTCAGCTGATAATCCATGCCTTCCCCCACCCCCCGGATGACTGTACCCAGAAAACGGTATTGCTCTCTTTTATTCCTTTCACCATGTAGTAGTTCTAATAATATTTACTTTGATGGGATTAAAGTTATGCATTTTTCACAGATTTGCTTTCCAATTACATTGATCCTGAATTACATTGACCATGGATACCTGCCTGATTTGGGATAATGATAAAAAACTACATTACTTTCATTCTTCTGTGCTAGTTTTTGTGTAAAGGGGAAAGAAAGACTTGAATCATAAGGCAAATTAACTGCAAGGACATTCATGGGAGGAAAACTTTCCTTTCTCCTCCACACTATCCTGTGCTACCCCCAAAGCCTTTTTTGCGGGGAGCACAGGGGAGAGGAGAGGATTGGAAACTTTCCTTATGTGGACATCCTTATTAACTTAACAAAGCTATTGGCTTGGATCCTAAAGTTATCAACAATTATTTAATATGCAGAAACATACACATTTCTAATTGAATTCTCTTACTGATAACCTGTGTGGCTGGCAAGAATAACTTTTCCAACTGCTTTGCAGGGCTTGCCATCGCCATATAAATCAGAAATGGTAATAAACACTGAGGGTGGAATTCATCATCATACTCTTCCAGTTGTTCCATCTGTGCAAGCATTGCCAGACAGAACAATCCTTCCTCTGTCCCACTGCATGCTATTCTGGGGGTTCCCTCCCATGAGCCAATTTCAAGGTATGAAGGGGGAGGAGTCGGGAGGAAGCCCCATTGTTCAGGTAGAAGACCTTGCACATGATTTCTGCTGATGGGGTTTGCTAGGTGAATCCCACCTTGAATATATGCCCCCCCCGCCCCCCCAAGGAATTAGTTTTCATCGCCCTGTGTATTCATTGTGAGGAAAATAAGCTGTTTTTAAAATAAAACTGGCTACATAAAATAAAATACATAAAATAAATAAACTACATAAGATTCCCTGTAGTCTTCTGAATTTACAAATTGATTTCAGCCATCTAATTCCCCCCACCCCCAAATATCTGCCGTAGGACTAATTTAATCTACTGATACCAGTTTGACTTTTGATTTGACATTTTTGATCTCTTCATTCTTTTGCTATAACGGAGTAGCATTTAACAGCTGGAAATTACTCTAGCAAATACATAGGCTTGCTATATCCTTCCTGAGAATTCTTTGTTGTTGTTTTTTAAAGGAATGCGTTACAAACGGAGAGGCGTTGATAAAAATGGGAATGTGGCAAATTATGTGGAGACAGAACAATTGATTCACGTCCATAACCACACCCTCTCTTTCGTTCAGACGAGAGGCTCAGTGCCTGTGTTCTGGAGTCAGGTTGGTTACAGATACAATCCCCGGCCACGACTGGACAAATGTAAGCGTTGGTACCTTATGAGTGATTTATGCTCTTATTACAGTGTTTGATGGACTTAAATATTTATAGCTATGTTTCAGGTCGTAGTAAAGGTAGTCACTTTTGTCCCTTCACATGTACCTGGAGTATTGTCATTGCTGTTATCTCCATACTCCAGGATATAGCAAGCTGCTGCTCGCATTATTTGACACTCGATTGGCAGAGGGACAATTCCCAAAGGCACAAGTGCCACTTGGATGTGTTGTGTGAACACTGTAAACCAAACTACACAGATGAACCTTTTTTGAGTTCTTAAGGGTGGCAGGGGAACAGTAATGTTCCAGGTACACATAAAGAATGGTATATTAATTTAATAACGTAAACCTACAACCCTTTGTTTGACATCCTTCTATGGAAGCAACCACTCTGCAAACTAAATTTCTGATGGCATCTTGAAACTTGCACAGATCACTTTATATGGAATCAGATCAAAAGCCTGAAAGTCTTGAATGTGGCTGTTAAGCTAGATCAGCTGAGAGCATGCTACTTGTAAATCCATAATCAAGTTGAGAATGCCAGAGATTGAACCTGAGTTGTACTCTACCGCAGAATGTTGCTTTACCACACCTTCCCCCTAAAGCACAGATTTTCAAGCAAAGTAAAGATGAAATTACATTCTTGCATTCACCTGACATTTGAGGAGGATAATACTTAAAATAGTGCCGAGTTTCAGTTTAAGTATTTCCAAATGTATTAGAAAGGTACATCTCCCCAGGAGTTTGTTTTAGTGAATTAGATGCACCTGTTCACCTGGTAGTGAAGATGGTTGGGATAATAGCAAGCTGCAGCGTTAGATGGGATATCAGGCTGCAGTTCTTTTCTGGAGTGGTACTGAACTGGAAGAAATAGTTCCTATGGAAAAATGCTCTGAAATTCATTTATTCTCCAGAATTGCCCACATTCGTCTCTTAGCGGTAATTTTCTCTTTCCTATGAATTTCTTTCCACAGACTCCTCCATGCACGTACTTCCAACGTGGCCCTGTTTGAATACTTTAAACGTGCCCATTTCATCCCCCAAGCTTCCTTAACAAGGTATTTTTTTTGCAGGTGAAAAAGAAACTGTTCCATATTTCCGTGCACATTTTGAAGAACAGTTGAAAATTTATACAAAACAGGTGGGTTTCCAAATTATTACAAGATCATATATTAAAAGTTTGGAACTATTGTAATGGTGATGTATATCTTTTAACTTATGAAGAATAGAACTAAATGGTTGCATTTCATATTGAAAGCTGTTCCTGTTGATGATGATGATGATGATGATATAATAATAATAATAATAATAATAATAAATACCCCGCCGATCTGGTTGGGTTTCGCCAGCCACTCTGGGCGGCTTCCAACAAAATATTAAAATACAGTAGTCTGTCAAACATTAAAAGCTTCCCTAAACAGGGCTGCCTTCAGATGTCTTCTAAAAGTCTGGTAGTTGTTGTTCTATTTGACATCTGGTGGGAGGGCGTTCCACAGGGTGGGTGCCACTACTGAGAAGGCCCTCCGCTTGGTTCCCTGTAACTTGGCTTCTCGCAGTTCCAACCATTGGAACAACAATTACAACCATATAAGGTGACATGCTTAGGACCAAACAGCAGCTGTATGCCAGAGAGCATCCTAACTATTGTTGCTGCCTTGGCAGGTTTCTGTGCATTTGTGTATGCAAACTCTTTTTATCCTAATCCTGAATGTTGGAGAGCTAGGAGAAAAGCAACTTTTCAACCATAATTAGCCCATAATGTTGGATTGCATGCAATTAATTGATGGCACTCTAAAGGACACAGTTTCTGAGGGAGCTTCTAGCACTTATTGAGAAAGCACACAGCAGTCACCTATAACTTCTGCTAGACTAGACATATTTGCCCCTTGTACATACTTGTTAGATTTCATTTGTCTTATGTACTTGTTTGCATTTTTATTTTGAAAACTTTTAACAGATTATCATTAACTTGGTGGACCAAGCTGGACGAGAAAAAATTATTGGTGATTCTTATCTTAAACAAGTTTTAATGTACAACAATCCAAGTCTTACATACGTTTCATTTGACTTCCATGAACACTGGTAAGTCTGTCAAAATGTCTTATAGCAATTTAATACAAAAATGCTAAATCATTCCATTCCATTCCATGTTTCTTGTAAGCTGGTATAGTATGGCAGGTGTTTTCCAGAGCTAGGTTATGCCTCTGTGAATGTTTTCAACATCTTTGTAAACTGTCATTTTGAAATATTGTCTTTATAAAAATGTTTAGGTGAGTATTTTCTTGTATGTGTTCATACATACTGATGTCAGAGAGTGAGTCAGGATTTTGGGCATGTGCATAGCTATTCAAGTTGATTTGTCTGTGACAGATATTAGAAGATGCTTTTAAAAAATCTCCATAAGGATTATTTTTTCCAGATTTCGTTTGATATAAAATATACAGTACTGCATTCCTCTAAGAGTAAAAATTCACTGGAAATTTTAATCTTACTCTTCAAACAATGACCTGCACAATTCCTTATCTGCATCTCCCATGGTCGTATTAAATTATGCGTTATGTTTAATACACCTATGTAGAATTGTACTGACCATTATTATATAAGCATCTGTCCGATGAATTTCCATGTTCTTGTGTTGAAAAAAAGAAAAAAGAAACCAGTAAGTTGTATTTTCTTTGTACTTTTTAGCCGTGGAATGAAGTTTGAAAATGTTCAAACATTGACAGATGCCATTTCGGACATAATCACTGATGTGAAGTGGTGCTGGTTAGTATTAGCATGTTAATTTCACTCTGAAACAGAAAATAAATTTTCCATAAATGATTGCATGCCACTTGCCCCCTTGTAATGATACACACGCTGCTTGATAGGGTAGATTATTTTGGCCGGTGATTTACAACTGGTCCAAGATGAGCTTGTATGTCGAAGTACCGAGTGTACACTTTGGCAGTTCTTCTGGGCTGGCTGCTAACTGGGAATGCTTGGTTAGTAGAAGTGGCCAGGGTGCTTTTTACCATCTTATGTTCACAACTGGTGTACAAGTCTATTTGGAGAGGATAAGCCTTTTCTCAGTTATCATTGCACCTAGTAATGCCCAACCTGGACTATGTTAATGCATTCCATTTGGGCTGCATTTAAATACAGTTTGGAAATCTGGCTGCCCAAGTAATGATGGGGTCAGGTGATCAGATCAAATGGACCCTATATTTCACCAGTTGCTGGTACATTTCTGTCCCATTTGAAAGTGCAGGTCCTAATAACCTTTGAATGGTGTGGAACTAAGTTGCCCACACTTTTCACCAGCTGAAGCCTTATTTATGTCTCTGCCAGGAGAAAAATTAAGCTTGAAGGCATATAGGACAGAGATTTTCTCAGTGGTGACCCTACATTTGTGGAACATACTGCCAATTAGAGAACGTCAGGACTCCATTGCTGCAGGCCTGAAGTCTTCTTTGTTCTTTGTCACATTTTCTTAAATGGGCTTTATTGGGCTGCTGAATTAAATAGTTCTTAACCATAATTACTGAACTGGATATTTAGGCATAATTACTGAGGTTGGTTTCATCAGTGGTTATTTTAGTTACTGTTTGGATGTTTTTGTTACTCATGTTATATATTTTATGGGAAGTTTCCTTAGAAGGCTTTTGACTCTTAAAGGCAGCATATAATAGTGTTAATAAAATTAATTAGGAGAGGTTTGGACAGTATTTAAAGCTCAGGTTAATAAAATGATGGCATCTCATCAGTGATAATAGTTACCTCACACAGAATGGGTAATCTTTAGGTGCCCTTTTTGAAGGACAAGAAATTAGTTTCATGAGAGTAATGTTCTTTCTTTCCCCTGTGACAGGGGTGGGGAAGCTTTTTGGCTCCATGTTCCATATCCTTAACGGGATTTCTGGTTTAAGACAGCAAACGCTGCTTTTTGCAAGCATCGTGGCAATCAAGAGAAACCCTCCTCCTTGCAGATCCACTAAAAGGGGGCTTCTCTAGTGAGCCGTGATATGTCCTGCAGTGCGCCTGTAAGAAGTGCAGCGATACCTGTAAAATACTGGGGGTAGTTTCTCCTCTCCCCTATTCTTCTTCTCATCTCAAGCCACCCTGTCCGGACCATGAGACAGCCTTCCTCAGGAAATAGGAGAGAAGGGGAAAGAAAGCATGCTGTTTGCAAAGGCCTCTGTAACTATGAGAAGAGAAGGAGGAGAGGGCCTAAAGCTGAACATTACTTGGACAGATTTGTGGACATTAATGCAGCAGCAAGAAGACGATTGGAATCCCCTTCGGAACTTGAAATATGGGTACCCCCAACAAAAAATTAAAATTCAGCTTTGTAATTCGGAATTTATGTGATGTGATTTGATTTGATTTGATTGGTTAATACAAATTATTAAAAAAAAAAAAAAGCTGATCTAGTCCCCTCAAGCTGGACAAGGGAAAACACAAGAGAACTGAAGGAGATAGGTGCAAGACCAGCAGAATGGAAGAGGGGAGGGAGTTTCAGACAGCCCTTGCCACACTTGTTTGAACTGAGGAGGATTTAACCCCTGCTCATCAGCTGATAAGCAGGGATTAAATCCCACTACTTTGTCTGTGCAGGCACTCAGACAATGCAGAATTTAATCCTGCCATCCCACCCATCATTCGGATGGGTGGGGGTGGTTTAGGGAAAATGAATTTTTTTCTACACCGAGGGATGTAGGATTTTTTCACTTTAAGCTTTCTAATATTTTTCTTCTTCACTTTTTGCAAGGGTGGACCAAGCTGGAGTGATTTGTAAGCAGGAAGGGATTTTCCGAGTTAACTGTATGGATTGCCTGGATCGAACCAACGTTGTCCAAGCTGCCGTGGCCCGTATAGTTATGGAACAGCAGGTATTGCAACTTCAGTTTACAAAAACCTTTATTAATGAGAACTATGTGAAATATAGTCAATTAGACTACTATGGAATGTGTGCATAGTCTATTCATACTTAAATTGCTTCAGAATAATTCTTCTAATGTGAAGCATGATCTTAGTGGAGAACAGTAGTTATTACCCTTGCCATGGTTGCACAAGTAATAGATGCAAATTCAAATTTTTGTCCGGTGTTTGGAGAACAAGGTTTCAGTGGTTAACAGACGAATGGAATAAACTTGCTTTCTGTAGCTTCAGAAGAAAGATAACAGCCCTATACTCCTAGAGTAAAAAAAGACGAAAGAATGGCACTTAGTAATAACAATAAAATTAAATTCCAGTTGAAGAAGTTGGGTGTGATGCCACCGGAACAACCACTGCCAATGAAATGCAATCGGATCTACCAGATTATATGGGCTAACAATGGTGATGCCATAAGCAGACAATATGCGGGAACAGCAGCTTTAAAGGTAAAAACATTTCACTTCAAGTAAAAATAACTCTTAGGGTAATTCTTTTCAGTTTTGTTAACTGAACTTATAGCAGGAATAGTTTACAAGGTTTATACAGGAGCTTATTGTTTTGGTTTAACACATCACATCTTTCTTAATGTACAGGACTTCTGCTGACTGGGCTGGTTAGGTGAATCCCGTCCATAGATTTCACTGTTCTAGAGTTAATACTATAGATCAGGGGTTCTCAAACTTTCTACCAATGTGGCCAGCTAGAGACAGCTGAAAATTGCTGAGGCCCAGCAGTCAAAAAAACTGCAGTGCAGGGGCAGAGCCTGTCACAAAATAGTGGCAGATTGAGGCAGAGGTTGGAATTAATCAGATGGAAGTTCCAGGCATTTTCTAGCGAGCCAGTCGATCTTTGAAATTGCTAAATTCTTTATTACAGCATTTTCTTTGTAGGAAAAAATTCCATAGCTCAGCTTTCCTCCAGCTAATTACAGGCATTTGCTCTTGAGGTATCATGAGTCAGCCTTCCAGTGTAAGGCAGAATTTGTTGATCCAGAGGGTTCTAAGTAGAAAGGTATTTCCCCTTCCCACCCACATAGGACTCTAAACATATTTTTACCTGTCTCCGGTGATTTCTTCTGCTATCCTCCCTTCACATTTAGTTTGCTTGCTATTCACCACCCACCCAGCTGCCTGTCTCATTCAGCCTTTTCCCTGATCTTCTTATGCTTTATTTTCTCCTATAAGAGCTTTCCTCCATTATCCTCTTTTCACTTTCCAGTTTGTTTAACAGTAATGATGATTGTGATAATAAATCATTAACCTTTTATCTTAAAAGTTTCCTGCAACACCTCTTCTGGCTTTCCCCCTCCCTCAGAAACCTTCCATTCCTCTTCCCCATCTCTCTTGAACTTCTGTGTCTCCCAAGCACTGTTACTCAGCATGCGAAGGGTCGCTGATGTTGGCATTGATCCAACCAGCTAGTGGGGTGGGATAGGCAAGTGAGGAGGGATTGTGCAGACTGAAACACTGAGGCCCACCTGAAAGCGATTCCTGGCCCACTTTTTGAGAAACCCCAATACAGATCTCGTGTTCAGAATCTGCAGATATGTTTTATAGAAAAGGGACATATTTCAAATGGTGACTCTTAAATAAGTGCTATTTAAACGTACAGGAGTACTTTAAAAAAAAATGAGATGTAACTCTCTGCTTCTGAAAGATGCGTTTCTTAAAGCAGTGGAAAGTTAATGTTACTTAAGATGTCTCTCATATGAATAACCAGTGCATTGAGTATTCAAAGATGTGTTTTGTGCAATAGGGCGACTTCACAAGAACTGGTGAAAGGAAGCTGGCAGGAGTCATGAAAGATGGTGTTAACTCTGCAAATAGATACTACTTAAACCGCTTCAGGGATGCTTATAGGCAGGCAGTCATTGGTAAGATAGTTTCAGTCAATTTCCGTACTGAATAATTGTCTACTATGTATCTGTTGAATTTTCTTTTCATGTTGGTTTCTTTGAAATGTTAAAGATGTTTGGGTCTGTGTTTTCTACTACTAAATAGGTCAAAATCTTGTTTTGTGTATTTTTAAAAGTATGAACAAGACTGACTCATTTTAGCTGAGCTTTCTAGAAGTTTTGGCAATAAAACTCTCTCCATTTGTAATCAGTGAATGGTTTTTTTAATACTTCAGTCTTGAATCATGGTGGAAAAGGCAGGGAAGACTCATAGCGAAATCCACTTCGCTCCTAAAGATAATGAAGGCATGCACCTTGTAACTTGAGCATTGCTTAGCTCTTGCTTAAGAATTAGGTCTTGGTTAAGAATTTCAAAATACCTAAATCCCAAGAGTCAGAGGTATAACTTAATCAAAGCAGTCCATTTAGTAACTTACCGCCAGCTTTATTCCTGTTATGCATTGATATTGTTATACATTCATTATGCATTCAGTGTTTTTTTTGTTTTGTTTTGTGTCTGTCTAGATTTAATGCAGGGCATTCCTGTGACAGAGGATCTTTATTCCATATTCACAAAAGAGAAAGAACATGAAGCGCTGCACAAGGAGAACTTGAGAAGTCATCAGGAACTGATTAGCCAGTTATTGCAAAGCTACATGAAGTTACTATTACCAGATGATGAAAAATTCCATGGTGGTTGGGCACTTATTGACTGTGACCCAAGGTATGCAGAATGTTCTATGGCTATATAGATCTGAAAGTACCATAGCATCTTTTACAGTGACCAAATGTGTAATAAGGTGGTGGAGGGATACAGTGGGGACTGGGGAAGAGTTGAGTCTTAAATATTTTTCAAGTACTGTATTTTTCTCTCTATAACACGCAGATTTTTTCTCCTAAAAAGTAAGGGGAAATGTCTGTGCGTGTTATTGAGCGAATGTGTGGTCCCTGGAGCCGACTGGCGCGAGCGCAGGGGCAAAAATCAGGCAAAAATCAAATTGCGCGTCATGGAGGAGGGAAGCCTGAAGAGAGGAAGCTGCTGCTTTCCTGCATTCTGCCTCAGGGTCTTACTGCCCACCCTCTTCTGTTTCGTTGCTGTGTTTGCTCAAACGGAACAAAGAGCAGGGAAATCCCCTGCCCTCCAGGCAAGCAGAGGGGAAAGGAAAGGATCGCGTCCTTTCTTCTAATTCGTCTCCGTGCTCTAATGCTTTCTAGGGACTTGCAGGCAGCCGGAAAACATGCAGGTGGGAGAGAGAGAGAGAAAGAGAGAGAGGGGGGGGGCTGGCTTGGGTGGGGGGAAACTTTTGCCTTCCTTTCCTCCCTCCCATTAAATCCCTCTCCTGCATTCTTAGCCAGCTGCTTCTCTTCACACCCCTCTCGTGCTCCTTGTCCCTTCTGTGTTTTTCCTTCCCTCCCCACTTAAAACGTGGTTACAAAGCACAGATCCATATGGATCCTCAGGATCTTTGCATTGGGTCACCCCAAATTCACCATCAGATCACATGTCTGTGGCCACAGCATGAAGTACAAAAATGATACATCCACTGTTTCATTCAGAATCCCCCCCCCCTGTTTTCCTCCTCTAAAAACGATGTGCGTGTTATGGTTAGGTGCGTGTTATAGAGCGAAAAATACGGTAATTAGAGGCCATATTTTCTGATTGTGCTCAACCTCTGGTACATGCCCTCCTAACAACAACAACAATTTATTATTTATATGCCACCCATCTGACTGGTTTACCTCAGCCACTCTGGGTGATTTCCAACAAATTAAAACACCAAACATTAAAAACTTCCCTGTACAGGGCTGCCTTCAAATGTCTTCTAAAAGCCAGAATGTTGTTTATTTCCTCCGCAAGGTGGGCATAGAAGGCCCTCTGCCTGTTCCCCTGTAACCTCACTTCTTACATTGAGGGAGCTTCTGCTTCTGTCATTATTCTGTATGTTTTGTTTTAAACTGGTTTGCTGCATTTGTTGTTGCATTTTCTGACTTGGAACTCCCCTGGGAACTTGTTTTGAAGGTGGGAAAAAATCCCTATAATAAATGCTGCCATGGTAATATCTAAAACTAGCCATGTGGGTGGTTGGATCATTCAGGATGTTACTACACCTATGCTACAACTCCCTGAGAGCGTTACTATGGTACCTCAGAACAGTAATTTACTTTGAAATATACAGCAAAACAAAATTTTGAAGAAGAGAAGGATTTCTAGGTTTTATTGACAGACTATATGAAGCAAGGCATTAGTAAACATGGTTGTTGTTGTCATTACTAATGATTGACTCCATACTAGTTGCAGGGTGTAAAAGGCTTCAGAAAAGTGCTGTGAAATTTTTCATGTCATCCTGTGTAAAATACTCTGTTCATTTTTGTTTAGCCTTGCGGATGCTACTCATAAAGATGTGGATGTCCTCCTTCTGCTTTCTAACTCAGCATACTATGTAGCCTAGTAAGTAAGATTCTTTCTATTTTACACATTGAAAACAAAGATATCAGAACATCTTTGCTACTTTTTTATTGCATTGTAATAGGTGTTGTGATTCAATCCAGATCTAACTCTGGGCATTGATGTCTTTTTGTCTAGTTATGATGATGAAGTAGATAAAGTAAATCAATACCAAAGGCTGAGCCTTGAAGATTTGGAAAGAATAGAAATAGGTAAGACCTCAAAGTTGTTGCATTTTAGCTGTTCTCTCCTCATTTCTTGCCTAAACTTAAGCTATTTGTCACAATCATTGAAAACACATGAATGAATAACAGTCTCTTCTATATGTTGAGCACCCAGGATTTGCTACATTTATATGCCCCCACATGTTGTCAACAATAGCAATGCAAGAAGCGCAATACAAAAGGCAAAACAAGCAAATCCATTGTACCAACTATGTCCTTATATGTAATGCATTTACATAATAGAACAGCAGAGGACCATTCTAGGAGGGCAGTTGATCTCAGCTAAGTCAGCAGAGGGTGGTCTCACTGTTACACTTCTCCCAGTGATGTAATAAAGTAGAATGGCTGCTTAGGAAAAGAGCTGAAAGGTTCAGAGGTGTTATTTAGAAAGTTATGTTCTTTATTTCTAAAAACATTCATTCTTTTTGTAAAGGTCCCGAACCAACTCTCTTTGGGAAGCCCAAGTTCTCGTGCATGAGGCTCCATTATAAATACAAAGACACAAGTGGATATTTCCATACTCTTAGAGCAGTGATGCGCAACCCTGAAGAGGATGGAAAAGGTAACACACTTCTACAAAGTTTTTAGAAGAGAGGTAAACCACTTTTCCCAAGTCTGACCACTGCATATAGAAAGTAGAACTTAATTATAAGAATTGAGCTGAACAATTGAGTTGAATTAAACAAAATAGGTTCACTGAGAACAAGAAGGAAAGGAAATTGCTATTTTTCAAGAACTTGAGCAGAAAAACTCAACACTCCACATTTCAGAGCCTGGTTTTTTAGTCAATCAATTGAATTAATCAACATGAATTATAGATGCCAACTCCTTTAAGGCCCAAGCTATGGTGTTCTCCCAGCTTCGCTCCCTTCAATATCTGGGGAAAAAGGAGGAGGAGGGACAGACTGCAGGGTGGAAGAGAAGCTTCCCTTGCATTTATGTTGCTCTCCTTTGGCTCTTTCAGTGACACCCACTCCACCTGCTTTGTATGTGAATGAAGCAGACCTGCATTTAAAGATACATTTAAGAGGGGATAATACTTTATCCAGTCAACAACTCGGAATATTCCTCATTCTTTTATGCTTGTGTTCAGCTATATGGCTGCATTAATGTGCCAGTTGCAGAATGATGGGCGTCTCTCATTTCACATTGCTTTATGCTAAATGGCTCACTTGCCAGGTTAAAAGTGAGACCAATAGAAAAGCTTCACCGAAGCATCTACACACTCAGTTTTCACAAAACGGAAGTAGTAAGAGAGAATATGCTCTATTCATGGCTTTAATGGACAAATAACGTGCATTTCAGATACTCTTCAGTGCATTGCGGAGATGCTGCGAATCACAAAACAAGCCATGGGGTTAGATGTAGCTATTATTGAGAAGAAACTGGAGAGGTGAGTTAATACTCTTCCCTTGGGGAGTCCCAAATCTCTTGAATCATAATACTTGTACTGGTTGCTTAAAGCAGCTGTCTACTGACAATTAGTAACTAAGAGCTTATTTGCACATGCATACAAGTATTACAGTACCCATCTACAAGTTTTTAATACTGTGCCCCTCGGGAGAGGGGTGTGTCATTAGGGTTTTTTTTAAAAAAACACACGTGCTGAATGAGGTTGGGGGAGCAAGTCCACAAGGAGTGTTCTCTCTTCAAGGGGCTTTGGGTGCAGGGAAGGAAGATGATGGTCAATGCCTAGCTATCTAGGAGAAAAGTATGCAGAAGTATGCTGTATTTATGTCTCACTAAACAAAAAAATATTCATTAGAACATGTCTGAATGTTAAGCAATGTGTTGAAAGTATATCTGAATGTACGTTTATCAGAGGAAGTTACTGATCTTCTTAATTCTGCAGGAAAAGCAGCAAACCCCATGAGGACATCATTGGTATTAGATCCCAAAACAGAGGCTCCCTAGCCCAAGGAAAAAACTACTTAATGAGCAAGTTCTCATCTCTTAATCAGAAAGTGAAGCAAACCAAATCCAATGTAAACATGAGCAACCTGAGAAAGTTGGGGAACTTTACGAAGCCTGAAATGAAAGTCAACTTCTTAAAGCCGAACTTGAAAGTGAATCTTTGGAAATCTGACAGTAGTCTTGAAACCATGGAAAATCCCATGGCAGATGCTAAAGCCAACGTAGAATCTGACATTGAGATCTCCTCAGATAATGATTCATTCCATTCTGATGAGTACCTTACAAATTCCAAATCTGATGATGACCAGCAGTTCATGGACTCCTTGGAGAACGTGGGACAGATAGATTATGTTCTGCCCAGTTGTGGTATCATCGCCTCTGCTCCTCGGCTAGGCAGTCGGTCCCAGTCTATAAGCAGCACTGACATCAACATTAGCATTCCTGTTCCTTCAGAAATCCACGTGACACACTATGAAGACCAAACTAACAAGTCTGAATCGGAAGGGAAAGGACCCCAGGAAACTCCTGCCACAGACAATGCTGTAATAGAGTTCACTAAGCCAATTGATGCCTACTGCCACAGATTTGTGCAGGATGCTCAAACTAAGATGACAAGTGTTTCAGAAACAGAGATGAATTCTCAAGAAGCTCAGCAAGAGTTGGATCGCATTAGCAATAACGCTTCTAAGAAAACTGAATCTTGCTTGGGAACAGCTGTTGAGGCTCCTTCCAGACCATCTAAATTGGATGTACCATTTTCAGAGTCAGGATCACAATTCTTAGCAGTAGAAAACACCAATGCTAAGTCTCATAATACTCCAGGCTCCTCATCCAGTGTACTGGAAGCTGGGTCAGGGTTTCATATGACACCTTCACCAGCAGAGAGTAATGGCAGTAGGGCAGTCTCTCCTTTTGCAAAGATTCGCAGCTCTATGGTTCAGGTGGCTAATATTACACAAGCTGGTTTGACCCAAGGAATCAGCTTTGCGGTGGCTAAAGTCCAGAAAAGCCCAGCTGAACCAGAATCCGTAAATGAAATTCAGCAAAATGAACTGAGAGAAATGTTCACGCAGTGTCAGACACGGATAATTCAGATCTAGAGAGCACACGCTTCAGATTTAAGTTGTACATATTGCTAAACAAATGGTTTGTAACGGCCCCTTGAGGGGAGGGGGTGAACCAACTGCCACTAAGTATTGGTATCAAAAAAATGCCAGTAACTATGTTTACAGAAAGGTTTGGGAGATGCTAATTGGGTTCTGAACAGGTTTCAGAATTATCCTCAGGCAGCTGAGCTGGTGAAGGTAAAACTACTAAACAGGTAGCTCATACACCAGTGGTTGATGTGCATGTTAAGATTGCGTGATCAATTGCACAGTTATTTTTGAGACCAGTTTCTATAGGCCTTCTGATTTATGTAGAAGGGGGTGGTCCTGAACACCTGTCAACCTTATTAATCTTGCACTGTACCAGTGAACTATTTTACTCACAGATGACATTCTATTTATTTTTCAGACTAACTTTTTTTATTTATATTTGTAAATTTGTTTTCTTGTCGTTCTAGTTGCATTCCTAAGGGAGGTGGTCTCTGCAGAGGAAGGACTTAAATACCTATGCCTGTGGGGGATGGTTTACTCTCCCTCCTCTCCCATCGATTCCTTGCTTCTTTCCTACCTCTGTTAATTTATAACTATGGTATCTAGGAGCAATCAATAATATAGTAATGAGTAAAAGCTTGCAGGGCAGCTGCTGAAAAGGTTTTTCTTACAACAATAAAAAAAACTTACGGTGTGTCTGCAAACTATTATGTGTCTTCTGTAGTGAAACTTGACACCCTACTCTTAGGCTACAGCCTTTTTTTCTTTTTGAGGAAAAACAAAGGTCTAACTTTAAAAAAAATGCTGAATGTCAGGTATGTGCTAGTGTGTTCATATGAGGAGACAATTGCCTAAATAAGCACGAAAGCACCAAAAAGGACATAATCTAAAACATACTCATCCATAAAATCATACTGCTGATATTTAAAATCCAATTAATGCAAAGTGTTTCGAAACAGTTGTAGTTGTAATCAGTTGTGAGACCAATTCTGGCTTTGTCACAGTACTGGTGGGGAATGAGGCTGCATCTAAACGTTTCCCCGGGAATCTGATTCCAAAAACCTGATGTGTAAGAAGTAATTTCCTATATAGCTCATTCTGTTATTTCCCGGAGGAGTCTTGTGACTGATGTTCTATAGTAGAATGTAGCAGCAGAAACAACATTGGATTCTGCTAAGCTTCATAGCCTCACTAGTCCTGATTCTAGAGCCAGGGTCTCTGTATGTTAGTACATGTGTACTATAGCTAGACTGCATGTACTGTTCTAAGCAGTTAACGAGTGTCATAATGGTGGTATGATGTCTTTGAATATCTCTGCTATAACAGAAGTGATCATCACCTTAACCTGATTGTCCTTGTCTAATACTTTTGATACTGTTTCCATTTTGTTATTTATTTCTTATTACTGTAAGGTGTATTCCTTTTTTTGGAGTGTCTGTATAAATTTGTGGGTATATTTAAAATAATATTGTATTGTTTTAACGTGGGAGACCTATATAAAATATTTTAATAAAAAATACTAATAGTATGCATTTTGGTGTAAGTGTTTTTAGTTCTTGAGTTGCTGAATATATATAGCCTCTCCCCATTGTTGGTCTGAAACTCCGTATTCAGTATATGCCTTTGGTTCGGTGTACACATTATGCTAAATCATGGTTTATGTAGACTATAGTTAAAGTTGAAGCATTTGACAGATGATCACGTAAACTATGCCAGAGAAGACACACAGGCCCCACTTTCTGAACACAATGTGTTCCTAGGAAATCATTTGCTAGGTGAGTAATAAGCCAATGATTTCCATTATTTCCAATGGGAACATTCCTAATTTGTGATTTGTCTGTTCCCTCCCTCTTTCCCTCCCTCCCTCCTGTGGTGTCTGCCTGAAATTGCTGCAGCAAATCAGCAAAAGTCAAAGGAAAAACTGATTTGTCTGATCTCTGCTGCTCCACAATTTGTTTTACCTCCCTCTCTTCCTCTGTGGTTTCTGCTGGAAATGGCTGCCACCGACCAGCAAAGTACAAACAAGTAAGGAAATGGGCAAACTTTGGCTGTTTGGATATCTGAATCAGCTGTTTGTGTAGCGAGGTTTGGGTATAATTCTTTGTGTTCAGATAGCTGAGATTTTGAATAAGCATTGTGATAGTGAGACCAGCACGTCATTAAAGACAGCAATAGCTTGCATATAACAGTAGGTTATGATTAACGTTAACATGGTTTATAAAGCTACAAACCCTGGTATACTAGTGACTTCAGTATAATTCAACCTTTAACGAGTTAAGGTGCTGGGCTGGGTTTGCACTTAATGCTATGCCATGCTTGAATAAACAGTAGTTTTGTGTTATATACATGAACCAGACTTTTGCATTGATTCCTCAGATGTTGTTTGAACAGTCAGTTTATATAGTCCACAGCCCTATTTTAATTCTATTCAGTCTAGGATTTTAAAAAGAAAAAACTTCAGTTTGAAGATGTTTTTATGAAAGTATCTTATCCCATTTCTTTTAAGGTCAGCTGCACTGATTTGCCTAGTCCTTCCAAGAAAAGGCATCATGTATGGTATCCAACCATACTGGTGCTAGATTGCAGGAATGCCCAAACACCTACCATGCATAAATGAAGATTTGCCACTACTTTTGCCTTAAGGGAGTCTACAAGATTGCAAACATGGAATATCCTCTGGTTAGACATTAGTTCATTATTCATGCATTGATTAAATCTGTAGCTTGTATGTTGTTAGTATTGGCTTCTATTCCACCCCCCACTTTTTTTTCTACAAATAAGGGCCTCCTCCATGAACAGGTATTCACCTCTGAGTGCCACAGTGGATATATTTGACCTGGATGTAGTGTCAACATTACAATGATGCAGCCAGATTGCACATCAGACGGATGTATTGGTGGCAGTGGACTTGTGACCTTAGATGCATGGCAGCTTGCCACATCTGCAACAAAGGCTGTAAATTATGCAAGGTGCACCAAAGCCCCATGCGTATTACCCTCAGTAGTGTTGTGTTCAGCCACAGGATGGAGGGGTGGGGAACTGATGTTGTAGAAGCTGCACAAATGAAGTCGACTGCAGCTCTGTGGGCTTTCTTCCAAGCTAATAATGCAGAACACCTTTCTCACCACAGGAACCTTGAAACTTTCCAAGGACTTTTTTTGGGGGACGGGCAAAATATAAAATTGTTGTCCTGCACAAGGGTGATGCCCATTCACCATTGGCAGCTGCCTCAATATAAACAGCTAATGTGGGGTCGACTGGGCTGGTTCACTCCAGCGGAGTTTGTGGGTTGGATCACGCACGCACAATTTCCAGCATCTGCATCTGTGCAGATGTGATTTCTGACATGAGTTCCGGCGCCCCGGAAATGAGCCCCTGCGCTGCGTCGGTTTAGTGCAGTGCGCAGGGACTCGCCAAGCGGGTGGCTCGGTTTGGGGGCGGCTCATGGGCCTTAGGTTGCCAAACCCTGAGCTAATGGGACCTCTGGGAGAGGACTTAGTTGCTGAGGAAACGGAAACCCTTCTGGATGTGGGCTGCCTCTTGGGTTCTACACCAAGGTATGATGGTATGTTGAAAAGCAGAGGCACAAAATCAGCATTGTACCAAGGAGCTGCCTTGGTTTGTCAGGTTTGTCTCATCAGGAGTGCTGTGAAGGAGGGGAGATGATTCTGGGGCTATACCAGAGCCTTGCCTGGAATAACCAGCCACTGGCTTAACTGAGAGAATTCTCAGTTAAGTCCTCTGAGGAATGGCCGAATGAAGCTCTCAAAGAACTTGGGAGACTCCATAGGCTTTTCTGATGTGCTTGGCCATGATTCAAGCCTCAAACTCCCACCCAAATAAGGCAGTAAGCTTAAACTCACTCAACTGTTAGTGTGAGGCAACGATCACTGCACTTTAGTAAAGAGAGACACATTTTTATAGTAAACTTTTAATATCAAACAATAATTGTTCCATTGTTTCTAGTTCAGTTACAAAACAAGCTCCAAAATTTTATCATCGGTGTTAAATCTGTTGAACACCATAAATTGTGTCCAAGTTTGAGAAAACAGCCGTAACATTCTGGTACAAATTATCTACAAAACCCAATATAAACATAAGCTAGCACCCTTTGTACTAGCTCCACAGATTAGGCAAAAGTTGCAGTCATCAAAGCAAAATGGGAGCTGTAGCTTTAGAGTTCATTTCCATTTACACACTTCTGCTGCTGTAGTCTCACTTTACGTTGTGCCTCCAACTGCTTTGCTCTGAGCCATCTCTCTCTTGACAACGTCGTCTGCCCAGCGCTCAGAGAAAGGAACCTGCAGGCAAGAAAGATACGTTGTAGAAACACGGGTTTTAACTTTGCAACTGTAATCTGTGTTCACTCTATATCCCTTAACTGTGCAAGAAAGCAGCCAGCTAAACAACTGTGCTTCTAGGTCAGGGGTCAGCAAACTTTTTCAGCAGGGGGCCGGTCCACTGTCCGTCAAACCTTGTGTGGGGGGCAGACTATAAGCCACACCCCCACACCTCTCCCCTCCCTTCTCCACAGCACTGGACAAGCCCCGGTAGCTTCTTACCTGTGTGTTGCGAGCCGAAGGGGCTGGCAGCAGAGAGACGATGAACAGCCCATGAAAGGGCTCTGGAGAGGCGCTGCTTAAAATGGCAGCCACTAAAGCGCTGCTGCTGCTGGCCCTTCCTCCTCTAGGCAGGGTGGGGAGAAGTCAGGACGAGGGAGGGAGGAGGCGCCGCCACCGCTGTGTGACGGAGGGAGAGGGAAAGAAGGTATGTGCTGGCGATCCACATAGCGATTCCTGGACTGTCCGCGGGCCGGATCCAGAAGGCAATTGGGCCTGATTTGGCCCGCGGGCCTTAGTTTGCTGACCCATGTTCTAGGTAGCCCCATAATCCTCCTTTGCATAATCTGGGTCAGCATATCATGTTCTACTTAAATAGATTATACTAATTATATAGTATAGGTTATTTGTAGGCTCCTATGAGTCTAGGTTACATTTCTTAGCAATCCAGGTCAAGAATTATCATAACCAGGACTTTTTTTCAGCAGCTTGCCATAAAGAAGAGATTTAGTGACTCTCCAAAAGGAAATGGAGGAAGATAAATGAGCAACGGTGGGGAAGGGCCAAGAAGAGAACTGAAGCAGTTAAATGGATAAGAAAGTCTTCAGCAAATTATGGCATCTTGCAGTTTGCTATTCTGCATTTGTACTCTCACCTTGCCACAAGCAGAGTTCTATGAAGATCATCAGCTGTGATACTCTCAGGGTCATTTTTACGCATTTCCACAAAATCATCTTCTACTGCCTGTAAGAGAAATTGTGTTTTGATTAAATGTAGTGATAAAATTATTGCACTTTTGAAGTATGTTTTAAATACGAGTTGGAACTACATAGCAAATTACCTTGCTTATAGCACTGCGCTTTTGAGGCATGTTGAATTCCAGGTGGGAAGGATTATTTACCCACTACACAAAATAAACATTACCCTTTTTGATGCTACTTTTAGCTACTGTAAGGTAGGAATGCAGTGCAGTATTGACAAAATATTCCATTGAAGGGAGGGACTATAGTTCCAAGCCTATATAATGGCAACCTGCTTTACTCCCAAGTATCCTGGTGTTACAACAGCTCCTAATGGGCCCCTACATGGTGCTGTTATCCCTTGAAGACAGTATTCTAAAATGAAGAGTGTGTTCTATCCCACCCATGAGAAGACGAGACCACATTTGGCTACTCCACTGCCAATACACACTCTCCGTTCATAGGATCATGTCCTCCTGCACTTTCTCCCCCTGATAATAGCAACTTAACTGATTCTAGGACAGTTCTTGACATTTTTCAGGAAGGAACAGGCTGAAGCAGTCATATCTGAGGTCCGACAAAATCCTCAATGGTAGATTCCCTTTCATAGTTAGGGCAAGGAGTACTGGGGATAAGGGAGGTGGCAGCCTAGATGGAATGACTGTCCCAAACTATATACTCTGCTCGACAAGAGATCCTGGTAAAGCGGAAAGTGCATTCTCTACCTTGGTCACTTCATCAGATATACTGTAATCCAGCAGTCTCAGCAAGCTTAGATAAATACGGAACTTGTTGAGGACAGATGGCAGCACTGCTGTGAGAAGGCTGCTCATGTACTCTTCCATGTTGGGGGGAATGAGCTGTGGCTGCAGGTGGACTTGGCAGTCGGACTGTGGAAAGACATTGCACAGCATTACTTCTTCACTGTTATCAGTTCCATACTATGAGTGATGTGGGCTGTGATATGGGCCAGATGGGCGGGGTAAAAAATATTATTATTAATATATTTTTTTATTAAACAATTTTAACAGAACAAATTATCAATCAATATAACCAATTACAATTTTATAACATGCAGAGAATAATATGTGCAAACAAATCAGAGAGGGGAGCTGAGCTTGGGGGTGGGGGAGGGGGGAAAAGGGGGGGGAAACAAAACACAAATATGATTTAGACTATTAACAAAATGTAGGCAACCCTAAATAGATGCATTTGCTACACAGCTCTAACTTGAGGAATGGGGGCTCAAGAACTAGCCTATCTGGTCTATTCTCTCCATCTACAAATGGAACACCACACATAATGTCTATGATGTGTGGCCATCATCTTCTAACTCTAAGATTTATGTTGTCCTATCGCTACAGCATCCCAGCATTTTCCTTTCATTTCAAAGTAAATGAGATCTTAATAGCAAATATAGCATATAATATAGCAAATATAGCATAGCAGTTGAAAGTGGCAAGTAGTGATAACACACAAAATTAGTTGGCCTAGGATAGTATGCTCTTGTTCTTCATTAAGAAGCTTTCAAATGCAGAGGAAAAGTGAAGTATTGCCATACCGGTAGGAGCGATCTGCCCTCTGAAGTGATAAGGACATTAATGTTGCATGGGAATTCCATCTGGTGGTAACTGAAGTCATAATCCACCTTCTGCCAAGTTATCAGGTGACCTAGTGCTGTCACATTGTGAACACCTACAGAAACAGGAAAAAAATGCTCTGAAATGTAGATACAAAGTCTTCAGTTTTAAACAAAACACAGTCTTTCAGTGATCAGCTGGAAGTTATTTTGTGCAGTATATTACTATCTGGGAATAAATGATCCACTTAAATCACAAGAATATGTGTTATATTACACACACACACTTCAGGATGTGGAGTCTACTCCAAGACGATGTAATATTACTGTATGTATCATGGCACTTTCCAGTTCGCAGGGATATTAGGTCAAGTCCTAGAGTAGATCCTGGAGTATATATTTGGAAGGAGACAGAATAGAGAATTATATTTTGCACAAGTATATAGCTTCTGCTGTTATAGCTTCTACTATTTATTCAGTATATCAGTTAAGAATTCCAGGTACTACAGTATCTGTTGAACTAAGTGGTAGAACAAAAAAGAGAGCAATTTCAGCTTTTCAACACCAGACACTAGTCATCTGAATAAGGAGGGTGCTGGAAAGGGAAAAAAATTAGTGAGAGTTTCAGGGTTCCATGAACTTCCATCTATAAGAAATAGCTTTTGTTTCCAGAAATCCCATCGTTCTTGCTTATTCATTCTTCCCCTGTGCCTGCTGAAGTTCTGCAGTGTCCATTTGCTAGGGTATATATCTCACCAGGTGCTATGGCACCCATCATGTCCAGCTGGAAAAGTGCTGTAGCAATCCCTGTGGCCCATGGAACAAGTACTAATATAGCATCAGTATGATTTCAAAAGAAGCTAAGAGACCAAATATGAAGCTCCAGATAGATGACATGTCTGTTCCCTGATCAGGGAAAGAAATTGAATTTTTCTTTGGCGATCATTCGTAGCCAAGTAAGATGGTCTTCCATGAAAACGGTCTTAACAGTAAGTCTGTAAGTGACTGTGGAGGCCAATTCTGGATCCACCCATCCTTCCACAGTGGGTACATAGGTTTCCAGGCGGACGTTGATCATGGTGAGGGTTTGCCAAACATACCTTGCTCTTAGCTTGTTTCTCCTTTTCGCCCTGAGTTTGTGCTTCTTCAAAGTCCATGACACCTTTGGTAAAGGCTGTTCTCCAATTGGAGCACTCAAAGGCCAGTGTTTCCCAGTTATCAGCACTTATACTAATTTTTAAAGATTTGCCTTTAAGAACCTCTTTAAACCTCTTTCGCTTTCCATTCTTAAGCTGGGAAAAGAGCAGTTGCTTTGGAAGAATAATCGGGCATCCGAACTTTAATAGAGTGGTAGCTCGGTCTATGAACGGTCCTATTAATGAACTATTCAGGCAACAAACTCCGCAAAACAGGAAGTAGGTGTTCCGGTTAGTGAACTTTGCCTCAAAGAGGAACGGAAGCCGAACGGTCGAAGGGCACCGGTGGCAGGAGGGAAAGTGTGCCTCGTTTAAGAACGTTTTGGTTTAAGAATGGACTTCTGGAACAAATTAAGTTTGTAAACCGAGGTACCACTGTATACAGTAGTAGACAAGAGGCACTACCACTTAGCTGGTGGCAACTACTATTCCATCCTACTGACCACGTTGTACCTACCAACACCTGCTTTTAAAGCAGAAATGCACTACTTGAGCATTCCTTCATTTACTATGTCCCAAAGAAAGGAAGGATCATGATAGCAACTCATGGCTGTGCGTGGCTCCTGTTTTTCACATTTGCAGCCTCTTCACCAGGTACAAACAAATGCAGACTAGGCCCTCATTACATGCTCTTTCAAGTGTAGCTAACATTAAGACAAAGTATGATAGCAATAGTTTATGATCCAACAGAAGTGGAAAACCTGTTAGTAGAAAAGTTTAAGATAGCCTGGGCGTTCTACACTGGAGTTATGAAAATAGCCCAAGAATATTATAAGGACACGTCACTGTTTTAAGCCAAGAAACATAACTAAATGACACCAGAAGCTCTATTCTGTCAAGAATGATCTACTGATACAGTGAATTGCAGATTTAAGTTTTAGTTTCCCTTAATACAGAGCTTTTCAATAGATGCCTGAGGCTAATACTGGTAATACTGAGTAAGGAAGCTAACCGGATGTTCAGAACTGGCTCGAGGCTGAGGCTCCCACGCTGGGAAAGGCAGCAGTGACTCAGCAAAGCTGGAAACAGCTGCCTTTAGAGCAGCGAACATTCATTCCACCAACGGGCAGAATGGAAGGAATTCCTTATTAAGCCTTCACAAAAGTACACTGTGAAGTGAAAACGGAGCAAATTCCCACCCGCCATATCAAACACAAGGTAACAAATCGACTGTTCCATGCACATGTCAGGTTGATCAGAACAAACAAGGCATGGAGTAACTAGAACAATGAATTAAAGTGTTAAGCAGATTTAAGTAATGGTTTCAAATTAAAAGACTTAAGATTTTGTTGGAGCACTGAGCCAAGTTTTTGTGAACTGCCCTGGAAACTCTCAGTGGTGGTACAAAAATCCCTTTACAACAAGCAAATTAAAAAAAAAAAATAGCGCTGATCCAGATTTGTCCTTCTGTGAATGGGAGGGCTTATTCCTTTTGCAGAAGTAACTCAAAATCAGTGGAAGTTCCTGCTGGAGGAAAGGAAAGCAATTTCTGTCACTTTTCCTTTCCTCCCAGGGCCACCTTTTATGCTGCAGAAATCAGCAAAAAAAATCTCTCTTTCCAGTTGAGCTGCCAGCTGGCACCTATTTATCAAACCCTCCATCTTGATACTAAGCATGGGATCTGAAAGGACTTTAATCCAAATTTTCTGCAGTACTTTAAGCACAGGTACTCTGCTCTAATCATGCTAATCTGTAAAAATTGGTTAGCTACATATAACATGGGCTGTCACGTATGAGAATTTCTTATACATTACAGAGACAATGGCTTGGATCCTAGGTTGCTGCTCTGTTGATGAAAAAGGGCAACTTCCATCAAATTCTCTGTCTGCAGCCCCCTGTGCCATATCTTTACAAAGGAGGTGGAAATCCCTGTTATGTGAACTCTGCTGTTTGTCAGAAGGGAAGTTATGATATAAGCCAACCAGTGGTTGAAAACCCTGATCTCACTGACATGTTAGATAAAATGTCCAATTATTTCAAGAATTAGGATTGTCAGCTTGAGAAAACACACATACATTTTGGGAGTAGACCACTAGGTTAACCAGCACGAAGGTCCTGCCTGTGGCTTTTGGAATTGGGAGTCTACCCCTGTTATAAAACAAGGATGCCAGCGGTATAAGGAGATGAAGTCAGCACTGTTTCCAAACAGAGCAAAATGATCAGACACAAAAGTAGGCGGCAGAAACACATATAAAGCTACCGTAGTGAAGTTCAGGTACTCTGCCCTAAGCAATAAAGTTACAGACTGGAGCCAGTTAGACACACTGTCCAATTAAACTGACACAGATGTGATGACAAAAATGGGTCAACTGAGAGATAACTCTGTAAAATAATGACAGTGCAACCTGAACAGCCAACATTATCCTTTCTAAATGCAGCGATCTGGTTTCTTCTTAATATTTCTGTTAATGCAAGAGAGCTTTGCATTGGGATAATGAATGGATGAATGAAACCCAAATACCAACCTCTAGTGTCAAGCTGTCCTTGCTCAAGCAGAGTCTCATCTATCACAAGGGAGGTATTGCTTGCGAGCTGTAGTACTCCACTGACTAAGCGGTTAGCTGTGTAGTCCTTGTGGGGGTTAAACTTTAAGCAGTTCATGTTCTCTATGGTCATGGGCAGGCGATAGGACTGTCAAGAAAAAAAAAGTTACGAGTTTTCTGCTAAGAAGTGTTTCTTTGACAGACAAAACAACACTAAAACAATAACAGAGATATAACAAGTGGGTCAATACACACACACCAGATTCCAAAGGAAGGATCAAACAGCAACCATGCAGACATCACAAGTTGAATGGGGAATACAAATGTTCATTCTCAATACACTTAGATATGTCATTAGCAAACTTTTTTTAAAAAAGAGAACTGTAGCGAGTTAAGTTTTTTGTGTATTAGTTTTAAAAGATGCAAGTCCTACGTGTTCACTGAGTTTCCTTAGAGCTCCAAATTATTATAGTACCCTTGAGTACTAAAGATGTTGCGTAAGGCAAAATAAACTCTATTCCAAAAAATATACCATAGAATTCCACATACAGATACTTCATTTCTCCATTTAGGTGTTGGCTACTACTATGACCAAGGAACTGAATGTACTGTTCCAATAGTAGTCTTCACAGCTATTGGAACAGAAATATTGTAGGAAAGTGTGCACCTGCTTTTTTTAGGTATACTTCTAACACCTCCAGTTCTGCAATGAAGCTTCTAGGTGGCTACTGTATCAGCATACTCATATAGGTGAACTATTGCACAATCAGTTGCTCCACAAAGCATTTATATATATAGAATTCTTACTGCAGGCACTAGCTGCTGAATAATATTGTATATGTGCTCCGTGTAGACATTATTTCTTGGACAGCCGCTTAAGTTGACTGTGAATTTTCCCAGAGGAAGAACATCTCTTCTTGCATAGCTAGAAAACACACAAAAGAGAAAGCAGACATTTTGAAATTGCTAGAGTGATTGCAAGAAGTTAGTGGCAAATTCATGATTCATGGGGTTTTTTTAAAATAAAAAAAGCAGATGTCTAGAAGGCTAATAGAAAGCTCAAAAATTGTTTCCCCTCCCCAGGCCCTGTAAAGTGAGCTTCAGTTTTATACATCTGAATACCAGAAAAGACCTCAGCTCCATATGTAGATGGTGAATGATGATTGGGAGCACAGTTTAGGATATCAATGGTTCAGGTGGTAAATTATTCAGAACCTCCAAATTCTCCTCCACAATTATTTCAATCATCAGGAAAGGCTGAGGTAGTTACAAATATTGACTCAACCTTCCCCTTTTTGACCTCTTAAGAAGGAGAGAAGCCCTGAAGGAGTTTATTTCTGGATGGTTTTGTTATAATTGTTCATTGGGTGAGAAGAAGGACAGCTTATGTGTCCAGTTAACTGCTCCTCTCCCAATAGACACTGGAAGGTGAGAAACAAAACATCCAAACTCAAATGCCCAGGTAGAGAAGTTGCCAAGAATGAGAATGAGATGCAAATAACATATGGAACACATAAGACAATCAGGTCCGTAACTTCCTGATGCTATAGGAGCCCAGTCTGGAGGTGAGCTGAAGGCCCAACTTTAGATGATGAAAATAGGGTACAATTTAATGGAAGTAAATTTGGAGAATTTTTGTCCAAAATGTACCACCCTTGAGCAAATTCTCACTCGCTCTTACAAGAATTAGCTGCAGTGAGCCTTGGGCTCAAGCGCTTTCCCACCCTCCTCTGGTGTAGTCAGGAGTAGTAAGTTGGCAGTTAAGCATTGTGCTCAAACTTGGTCAAACTGTGTTTAGTATTAAATATGGTTAGTTGAAACTACCATTGAGCCAAAGCTTATGAAGCTAGTCTGTTTGAATTACCTATAGGTAGGGCTAACCACAGTTTAGGATTCAGAGCCAACACTGAGCTGTGGTTTATTGAAACTGAGAGCTGTACTGGTGGAGGAAGGAGAACACGACCCTGAAGTTGGTGCACATAATGAACCATGGTTTATTACACACATGCGCTGCCCCCATTGTTTGAAAGCTTCCCAGAGTTCTTGCTTAAGGGAAGCACCATCTTCAATTTCTTGGGCAATGATATACCCAAGGCTATTCCTGTGTATTTGGGTTCAATACATTAAAACATCTGCTCTGGTTATTAGTTTATAGATGTTATTTTATCTCTTTGAGCCCCTGACAGAACACTTAAGAATCTGCTGAGCTGCATGCTAAATCCTAAATTTAAAAAGGGTTGTATGGGAAAAATGAAATGTTCTAAATAGCTGACCAGGTTACTTACACTGTGGAAATGAGATGCAATATAAGGTACTCAGCAGCCAGGCTGTCTCCCAAGAAGGCATGAGTGAGGAAGCCAAGAAGCTCTGCTCTGACTGGTGACAGTTCAGACATAAAACTAGAAACAACTAACAGAGAACAGTAGGGAGTAGACAGAAATACCATTGCCTAACAGTCATATAAAATACAGTTCTTTTTATATGAATGAGTATCAACTGGGGAAAAGACTGGACAACATACAGCTCTATATCCAGCAAAAGAGCAAATTTTGTATCTTGCTGTAAAACTTTGCCCACCTAAGTTTCACACCATGCTACTTTGTCCGACAGTTGGGGCAAAGTTTCTCAGCATAGGCCCTTACTATTATTATTATTATTGGTTTAACGTAACGTCTTTCTTATTATATACTTTCATACGACACTAACTAATACTATACGAAATCTGGTCTGCAAAAGCAGTACATAATTACACAAGCCAGAACACTATATGTGTGTGTGTGTGTGTGTGTGTTTAAAGAATATAGACTACACAAAAACACAGGGAGGTGTCTGTCATTACAAATACTACCACCAAGAGGTAAGAAGAGCATGGTTGGATTTGGATCTTTCATGAAGAGAAGGAGGTGACTCTAACCCTGAAGGAGGATACTGTGCTATAGACTGGCCTCCGTGAGCCAGTCTAAGCAGAGAGGTCTGCTGCTTAGCTTCTGGTCTGTGGGTGCCCTCTGCAGGACATGACCAATGAACACATTGGCGTACATGCAGCAGCATCACTAAATGTTTGGGGAGGCCACTTGTTGGTCACATTTTCATTTAACGCTAAAGCATAGTTTAGCACAATATGAATGTGCAGGACAGGCACTGGGCTGCATGTCTCCCCTTATCTTTGCACACACAGCTGGGAGGAGCTGTTTGCAAGCTTCTGCTCTTGATTTAAGGTGCAGCTTGCAGATTCATCTGGATCTAGAAATGTGCTTAGCCTTAACTATAGTTTGTTCAGCAAGCCACTGTCAGTAACTATGGTTTGAAGTTGGCTTGTTTGAAAATCAACCATGGTTAATATTAACCACAGTGTAAATGAAACAGCAGCTGTGGTTATGTAAAAGCAGAAGCTGCATGCGAAAAAGGATGGGAGCCTAAGATGCAATGTAGCTGATTCATACAGCACTCAACTATGGCTCAGTGGAACATGCAGATGCAGACATTAAAACAGCATGTTGTATATGGATTATATGGAGGGTTATTTTAATAATGTCTCCTTTTTGATCTTAATTTGTAAACTACAGAGAATATAAAATTGAAAGGTGGTATATAAACGTTTTCTAATCTTGCAGTCCTTGGGAGAGTGTGCCAGGGGCCAAATAATGTTTCAAATCTACCTCTGAGTGGGCAGGCCTCCCTCTGCAAGGCCTCCCTCTGTAGCCTGCACCTTACAGAATTCAGTAAAGGAAAAGGGGTATGCCATGGGAGAGCAGGGAAAAGTAATACATCCGAAAAAGTCCCAGTCTCCTGACATTATGCCCCCCAAATGAGTAAACATATGCAAGTCCCGAAGAAAAAGAAAGAGCAGGTGGCAACAGATCCCCCCCCCAAAACCCCCCACTGCGTTATGCTCCCTTTTGTCCTGCAGGGCACCAAAAAAGGTGTTTGCCCTTCAGTTCTCCCTCTCCCACACTGTTTGGATTGCTCTGCAAATAAATAACAATTAAGAAAGTAGTACTGATTATATTGTAATATTTTATCTTTACTCATTACTGTCTACTTTCAAACACAGGAATGAATGGTAACTTGAATTTGGACAGAATTGAAGCTAATAAAGCAATTTATTTATTAATTTTCTTCCCCTTTTATGTAAACATTTCTCTAGCGAATGGAGTGCTCACATAATAGATGGCATAACCCACATAATAGCTGGCATAACCCACACTTTTAATTAACACTTGTGCTTAAGTGAGAAAATTCAATGTATAAAAAACCCCACCCAATTTTCCTTAAAAAAAGTTGGGAAATACATAATCATTAATATGAGCTTTGATTTTTTAGGAGGCTGGCTTCTGCCTCAGAGCAGTATCTAGCAGGGCAACAGCTGTTGTGGGGGGAGGGGGGAGAGACTTTTACTCAATATTGTAATTAAGAGCTTTTTCCTCAGCTTCCGTTCCTTTGCTGAAAAACAGCCAATTTGGATTCGTGAATCCTGTTCACAGTGAATCCCTCATTAAAGAAAACTGAATGGTTTTTGAGCCAAGGGTCTTAAATATGCTGTAGGATGCATAACTACCAGCTATGTTTACAAAAGGATTCAATATGCTCTGTCTCCACCAAGGATCTTATAGTAAAACTTGTAGCCAAAATATAAACAACTTGCGTAAGGAAGAGAAACTACTAAAAAAAATACAAGTGCCACGAAGCAAAATCAAGCTCAGTTAAAAACCAAAGAGATCAGTGTTGATAGCAACCTTCTTTAACTATTTGGAGTATGGATCTTTGTAACATACACACTATAATCCCATATTTGCATATTTCATATGCATTTGTTCACCAGCTAAAAGTACAAAATGTACACCAGAGCCTTAACTGTTGCTACAGGGGGTGAGCAATGGTTACTTAGGACTGGCATGGGGGGCCTTTTTCCAGGAATAAGCTTATTTCAAGTCACATTTCTCAAATAAAAACCCCCTGACAATGCCAATGTATTTGTGGAAAATCTAGAAAAACCTTAAAATCAAAGGCTTAAAAGATGTTTAGTAGAATACCTTTGTGATCTGAATACGTAGGACTCTGGGAACAAGCTTATTTCTTTGTGAATGAGGAAGTGGAAACAATAAAGTCCAGTGCAGACATTCATCAGTAATGAGGTAATCTTTCTTTTAATAGCTTAACTACTTACAGCTCTTGCTTTCCTCTTCATTAAGGCAGGCAGGCAATAATGGATTTATGTGTTGAAGTTTTTGTGCTAAAATCACATGGATTCTGGGAACTAATGAGGCTGGGGGACTATGAACCCTCTGTTCTTCCATTGTGTCCATACATTCCATAGACTCCACTGGAGAGGATGAATTCTCCCTAGTAAATAAAAACAGCCAAGGTTAAGACACATTTTGTGCAGTTATACAGGTGCTATCAATGAATACAATGACATATAAAACAGATAGAGTGGGACTAAAAAATCGTACACCAAAAAAATTGGGAGGGGCAAGTCTACTGGGAAGGACAGCTACTACAAGGTTTCAACCCCACTTAGAATCAAAACCTGCCACCATGTACTTCTGTGGGAGGAAGCTATAAGCTCTACAGGGGAAGGTATTACACATAATAGGCCTCTTTGCTATGGTGCTTGAGGCCGAAAGGAAAATGGCAACATGGCTAGAAACCCTTCCCAATGTTGCATACACAGAACACTTCCAGGATTCTAACAGAGCAATCCTAAGTGGTGTCTGGAGTGGTGCCAGCGTGGTGATTGGCATGAATGTGGCAGCCAACTAGGTCAAGAAGTGTGTGTATGCCTTGTAACTTTCCACAACATCAACTTCAGACTGAAGGACCCATAGATTGGTCTGGGGGGTGGGGGCTTCCTGCTTGCTACACTGTCAACAACATAGATGAGCTTGATTAACGAATGAAGAGGTCTTCCTTCTGACATTGCCTGTCACCCTCATAGCGAGACAGCAGGGCATAAAGAGACAGCAGGGCATGTGCAACTATGCTGTCAGCACCATAGTAAAAGCTGAGCTTAGCTTCTTATTGCAAAAACTGCATCATACTTCTGCTTATTTATACAGAAATAAGTGGTACCTCGGGTTAAGAACTTAATTCGTTCTGGAAGTCAGTTCTTAACCCGAAACCATTCTTAACCTGAGGTACCACTTTAGCTAATGGGGCCTCCTGTTGCCGCTGCACCGCTGCTGCGTGATTTCTGTTCTCACCCAGAAGCAAAGTTCTTAACCCGAGGTACTATTTCTGGGTTAGCGGAGTCTGTAACCTGAAGCGTCTGTAACCCGAGGTACTACTGCGCTGTGAATTTGGTTTAAAGAACATTTCATCATCTTTATGGTGTTCATAAACACCTTCCCCATAATTCTATGAAGTGGGAAACTGAGGCTGAGAGACATACAACAAATACATGGAAGAGGTGGGACTCTAACCCAATTTCCCCCCACTCTTGTCCCACCCTGTCCACTGAATTGCACTGGAAACAAAGCAGGATTGTGGACTGCCAGCAATCTTCAAAAGAAAGATACTGATATAAATTTCCTCTCTGTTTCAGTTCTGAAGCACACTGACCAAAGGGTTAGGGACACACTGCCATTATTATACTGATAAATTACAAATAAAATACTTAAATATTGTTTGTAGCTCAAATCTGTGTGCCTTCATCATTATTATCATTAATAACTGTAAATGTGGATCCTATTAACATTAAAATGTTACCTATCTTCGTTGTTCACCATGTTCAGGACTGGATCGACAGATAAAATCCCATACACCTCAAGAACATCATTCACTTTGAAACTATCCCCGTTTTCATATATCTGTCACAAAGAGTATTTTTAAGAGAAGAGACAGATTATAGCAACATAATGCATAGAGCTGAATATTAAGCCAGGACTTATCTTTGCAGGAATGAGCAACAGCAAGTAGGAATGGATGAATCCTTCAATTTCAGTTTCTTCCAGATGCTCATTCCTCCAATATCAAGTTCACTTATCTGCATCAGTTTGTGAATTTCTTTTTAAAACGGTCTCCCAAAAATTCACCAACATTTTAGTGCTTATTTCTCCTAATACACACATTTCTGTAAACCTTTTCTTCCAATGTGTATATTACTTATGTTATTTTCACTAATATATGCATGTTTTATGTATATTGTCCCCTAATTATACACATTTATGCATACTGTACATAATTTGGGTTGAGAACTGCACAGCAAAATTCAGAGAAGCGAGATAGCTGCATTTCAGCTCACGTATTGTTTTGGGTACTGCGAATTAGGTAGGTTCACATTTGCAGTGTGAACTGAATTTCTGCAGCATTCCTCACAACAAGTCTCATACTCTTGCACTTTCCCTTCTTTCTTTTCGTATGGCTGCAAGGAGGACTCTGGAAGTGTTTGCTTCTGTTCTGGATTAACTGCAGCTTGTCACAGTGTCTGAACGCAGACAAAATGTGGTTAATCTTAACTATATTGTACTGGGGAAAAAAGCAGATTTTGAACTCTGGATTATGAAACTGGTTTGTTTCAACAAACCATAATTAAGATTAATTGCAGTTTAGGACTTTGAGTAAACTACAGTTACTCAAAAATAAGCAACAGCTTTAGATCTTTTCTTCGTGACCACAGTGGATGAGAAGAGAGGGAAGGGAGTGCACAAACCTGAGGCTTGCTGCAGCTCATTCCTGTAACAATAAACCATCCATATACAATCGGTATCTGAAGAAGTGTGCATGCACACAAAAGCTCATACCAATAACAAATTAGTTGGCCTCTAAGGTGCTACTGAAAGGATTTTTTTTATTTTGTTTCATCCAAATACAGCCAGTGTGTTTCTCTAGCAAAATCATAAAGTAGATTTCAACATAACTGTAGAGACTTAAGAGAGCAAGTAGAAGGTTTCTTGCACATTTCATTGTATCTGCCACTTCTTGGTTGCAGACATCTGTAATAACTAGCTGCATTTTACCCATTTCCATGAGTTTAGCACTGAGCTTTACTCTTTACAGAGAATATATTAATCATTTCAGAAATACGCAGCAGTAATGGCCAGAGCTGCATAACACACAACCCGTTACTAATCAACATGCACAACCCCCAGCACAGACACTACTGTTGGTCTACTTCTTAACTCACATTCCAGTTTTTGGAGACCTACTTTGGAGATTTACGTATTGCCATTTATTGTGTGAGATATGAGTATCCTGCTGTTTCACCTATGTCAACTCACATAAAATATATGATCATGGTTTTTTTTAAGAATGCACATATAAATTCATCTGAATAAATAGGATTAAAGGAATATGACATCTCAAGTGTCTGCTTATGTGAGTACAACTGCAGCTACACATACTTCTGTGTTCTGAATTATAATAATATACCCTAGGTCAACAGTGCATTTAATGGCAGGATTTATTTTAAGGATTACATTATTTTGGTTTTCTTAAGAACAGAAGAGCCCTGCTGTATCAGGCCAGAGGCTCTCTAGCCCAGTATCCTGTTCTCATAATAGCCACACAGTGGCCAACCCAGATGTCTATGAGAAGCCTGCAAAAAGCACCTGACTGCAGCCACATGCTCACTCTTATGACTCCCCAGTAATGGGCATTCAGAAGCTTATTATCTTCATCAGTGGAGGTTGAATTTAGCCTCCATATTTCATCCATGGATTTAAAATGTAAATGAGGTAACGCTTAATACCGCTTGATAGGCTTATTACCTTCACAAGACATGCAGGGCCTTTCTCTCCTGGAAGTGGAAAGTTTAGATCTAGCGGAGGTGAGCAATTTAAGGAGATTGTCTGATGTCTTGCAGATGCTTCTGTTTCTAATCGCTTTGGCTCTCCACTCCCATGGATATCAGGCACACTTCCTGCAAGTTAGAAGAAGCAGTTTCTAATCAAAGTCCAATCAAAGTTGAAATTAAAACTTCCAGTTTTTCAAAGAAGCTTTACAAGGCCAGAGGTTTAGGGTAAAAAAAGTAAATGTTGTAATGGGGTGCATCCAATGTAGTGCAAAACTAGAAGCATACAGTACTTGTTTTGCTGGTGAAATATTTTGCACCGGTAGAATATTGTTGTGCAAGAGAATGCATAAGCAAGATGCTGGTAACTTTGTTGCACAACAGATTGCACAATCAGTTGCACAAGTTTCCACTAGCACAGCTGCTGCGATGGATTCCTCTGTTATGCAACATTTAAAACTCATCAGTCCATTAGTGCAAGAGCACTTGATCTAGTGGAGAGAGAATCATAGATGCAGCCCAATAAGTGAAGCACAAAAAAATATGTGCTTCAATAAAACAACTATTCAGCCATACGACTTTAGTGTGTTTTGGGTGTAAGAAGAACTTAAAATAAAACCATGAATGTCTAATTAGCTGATACCCAGATGTTGCTCTCTCTGTTTAGATGGATGCAACTCCATATCTTCATCTTCCTCATAACTCCTCTTGTGGCGACTTGGTGTATAGGATGTCGAAGGGCAAACTCGAGCTTGGCTTGCACTGGTATAGGCTTAAATCTCTAGTTAAGGACAATAGCATTTACTGATATGATCTACCCAGCATAATTTGATCTGGTATTTCAATTGCATGGAATGATTTAAAACAAAAGAAGACAGGGAAACAAGGCACCATCCTCTCATGGGATGTATACAACAACAGAACATATTCCACATGTTGTCTTAGGCTATAGAGAATTGTGAAAATAACTTGCATCTACTTGCATATGAAACTCCTTAGGAACATTTTCTATCTAATCTAACAGACTCCACTGAAGTGACATAATTCAGCCTCAGTTACAGGCTTAACCACAGCTAATTAGTAATTACCCAACATACTTCCACTAGCTGAGTAATTTTACTGGTCTTAAAGCTGTATTCAAGCTTGCCTTTCTCCCTCAAAAAGTTAATCTACAATGTATACTAGATTTGATAGATTTGTTATTTTTGGATTAACCACCAGAGGGAGTCATATTTTTCCGAAGACTTCAATTTAATAGTATTCTAAAATTTTAAAAATGTACAAAGCTACTCATCTGCTTGTGTAGATATGCCTGGAAAAACCGACCCTACATTTTTATGGAATAATTAAAAAAACCAAAGCACTTCAATTTTCTTTGTAGGACAGTACAGCACCTTTTCTTCAAATTTCAAGGCACTTTAATCAGATAGCTCAGTTGGTAGATCATAAGGCTCTTAATCTCAGGGTTGTGGGTTATGTTGAGCAAAAGATTCCTGCATTGCAGAGGTTGGACTAGATGACTCTTGTGGTTTCTTCCAACTCTACATTTTTTTTCCTCCACCCCACATTGCATATATATTTTTCTATATATCAGCATACAGCACAGTCAAAGAACTGCAAAGGATATTTCTTTCACCCATGCCGACTCTCCAGGCACTGGAACACAGTATAAAGTCTGTCTGTCTCCCGTTACTATTTGTTTAGGGTTTAAGTCTATTTCTTGGTGAGGCTAGAAATGAATCAAGTGACATTACACAACATTAGAATACGAGATATCCAATAATATTTGGCCACATTTACTTCAAATAATTCTATCCTACTTGGTCAGTTGTAACAGAAGTTAATCTACTAGAATATTGAGAGTACCGAAGTATTTTTGTTTCAAAAAGGGTTGCAGATTCATATAGCGGTACTCCTTTTCACACTAATATACAATATATTCTGTTCTTCCAACAACCATGTTCATGATGCAGCTGGTGCTTTAAACCATTTTAAATGCAAGAACAAAACATCTGCAAATAGTTTTCCTATTATGGAACAAAAATCATGCAGGTTTTATTCTTAGAAACTGGAATAACTGCTTCATCATAATTACAGTCACAAAAATAAATAAATAAAATAGGCTTATTTAACAATTTGATATTATATGCCATAATGACTCATCAATGCTTGCATCACTCAGACAAAACCCGCAGTATAATGTAAGAATCAAAGCTCAAATTAAATTAAAATGTTGAATCAATCAATATACTTTAATAAAAGCCTCATTCTCTGGATGCCAAATCTTTATGTAGCCAAAACGGCAACATCCATGTGCAAGAAGGATATATCAGCAGATGTGGAGGAATCCGAAAGTTTGCAGGAGTACCAATCAAAATATTTAGGGGGAAATCTAAAAATGGGAGGGGGGGTTTGACCTAAAATGACCCATGGAAGACTGAACATGCTCACTAGCCATAAAATGCTGACTGGGTTGGAAGAACAACATAGAGTGAAAACAAGGATCTTGAAGAAGGGCATGGCTGGTTTGTTGGAAGCCTGTAAATGAGACTTCACACTGCAATGTTTTATTACAGATCCTATGTGTTTATAACTAAATCTCAAAGTTCAAAGAACCATGAATTTTCAGATAACTATCTTAATAAGAAAAAGAAACATTCTGTGGCAACAGCATCATTGCAGCACGAGCTTTCATAATCAAAAGCCTATTTCATGCATCTGATGAAGATCTTGTCTTGTTCATGAAAGCTCATGTCACAAGACTTGTTTTTACAGCAGCAGACGACCAATGTGGCTACTCTCCTAGAATGTAGGCATAAATGAGACTTTCTATATTTTTTAAAAATGGAATTGAATTCAGCACTAGATGCACCAAAAGGATCAGATCATCAAAACCTTCTACATTTGGATAGTCTGTTCTATTTCCACTTCACTGTCTTGTTTGTGTAATACAGGACAGAGGCATTATCAAGTACACCACTAAATACATTCTTAGTTGTAGTGCTGGAATCAACGTTTTGCCAATACAGAAAAATATCCCTGCATGCATATCCTTGTGGAAATAAACTTCTTTGAAGTACTATTTTTTTCTTTAGAGAGAGGTGCAAGAGAAGCATGGCAGAGGCACATATATATGGGACGGCTTATTGCACAGAAGTAAGAAACATCACTCACAAGGTTCAGGTTTATCACTTTAAAACCTACACTTAAAAACCCCAAACTGCTAGATGTTTTATTCAAAGGGAGGAATTCAGTGTCACTCTTCTAATCGTTCTGTCAGTGCAAGCATTACAGCTTGCCCAACCAAACCATCTCCCCTATGGATTCTGGGGATTATTCAAATCCAAAACCGAAAATGGGCGGGGGGACGGACGGACAGGGAGCTATATTTGCCATGTTATCACTCACCCCACATTCTGCTACATCTCTGTATTTTCCAAAATGCAAAACCTATTAAAAAGAAGACAATGTGAGATTACTGTTGTATCCTACATCAGTTCACATTCATTTCTATGCATAACAGAAATCTCTTCAGTTGTGGTTATGCTTTGCACTACATATTTCAAAGTAAAGATCAAAATAAATCTGACAAAGAATTGAATACGGGGAAAATTCTGGCCTATAGCCCCCTTCTGAAAGCAGCTACAAAATACTCCTACAGATGAAGAGCTAAATCATGATGGCTTGTGGCTATGCCTGACACAGATGTTCAGCATTTATCGGGAGGCTAATATTCAAAATATGATTATGTAAATTTCATATTAAAAAGGGCACACCCCTTCAGTTATACCAATAATTGATGTGGTGGCCTTGCTTCCCAAAAGGCACTGCTGAACCTTCTGCCATGGTAATTAATATGCAAAGCAGTTCAGCTGAGAACAAGTCCAAGATAGTACTTTTATGCCGCAGACATGCCTGTTTCTTTAAAGAGACTGAGACCTGAAAGTTGTCCATCTAAGTAGGGTCTGCTCAGTCTTGGCAGGAATATCTGTAGGTCTCAGTCCTTCATCGTCACTGCATATGCCCAACACAAGAAATGCCAGGGTTTGGAGCATGATAATGATGCACCTATCCAGAGTTAAAACAGAAGGAAGAATCCTCTTTCTTAAGGGGGAAGACTGATTACTCATCATCCCTGCACACACTCCTAATTTCAGATTACTCAAGCATGGGGTGCTCTTCATTGATGAACTGTTGAGGGATTTTTAAAAGCATGGATTGGTTGCTAATACCCTGTGTGTCAGGAGGACTTGTGGAAAGGGAAGTGGCTGGTTTTTTCTTCTCTTTCACCCTCTGTCGAACTTCTGCAAAAGCCCCATGTGACATGGAACAATAAGCAGAAGATTTGCGAGAGGAGGTGGATGATGGCCACCATAAATCATGGCTGATTAGTAAGGCAAGCACACACAGAGAGAGCACGTATTTGTGCATGTGATAAAGCAATAAGGACCATAATAAAGAAGAACCACTTACACATGATTTAGTATGTACGTCAATTGTTTCATAAACATTCATATAAAATTCAGGATCAAACATATCTTGAACCATACAGCGAAATTTCACTAAACTGTTTGGCTTCAGATAATGTAGAGGGACATCATTCAATGAAGGCACCTGCAGAAGAAAATAATATTCTTGAATTACTACTACTTTCACATGACATATACAGAATTTTACTCTCTAACGAAACCTTAATTTATATAGTAATTAGGAATCATGAGGAAATCAATCTATAAAAAAATTATAATGTATATTCTTTGGTAATCTAGCAGCAGCCTTATTGTTTGTTTACATCAGCCAGTGGAAAAAACAGTTATCAAGTTCACAATAGTTTTACTACTGTGTATAATAGATAATCGGTATAATAGATAATACAGATGTGTTTTCTAAGATAGGTCAAGCTTTTTAGAAGTCTTTTACTGCTAGATTTTGACCTGGGAAATGCTGTGGCTCTTTGGTTAAACCACTTCTGCTAACATCTACTTTTCTTTTTGTTAAATGTAGGTGCTAAGAGCCATGAACAGATCCATAGCATTTTGAATAACAATGATAAGCAGTAAAACTGTATTAATACAGCACGGTACTGTCATCATTCAAACCTTCATTTTCTGAATTCACTGTATGCCCTTCATTACAAGGCTTAATTGCCAATTATCCAGTCTCTCAGGCTATCAGGATGTTGAGCTATAATCACACTTCAGTTTACTCTTTTGTACTTTGGGGATGGGAATGAATTTACCAGAGAACACTGATGTTCAAATATTTAATCTCAACTAAGCCAACACCGAGTGTCATTCAAACAACTTGTCATCAGAAATAGTGCTCTTTCTGGAATGCTTATTACAGTGGTACCTCGCAAGACGAATGCCTCGCAAGACAAAAAACTCGCTAGACGAAAGGGTTTTTTGTTTTTTGAGCTGCTTCGCAAGACGATTTTCGCTATGGGCTTGCTTCGCAAGACGGAAACGTCTTGCAAGTTTGTTTCCTTTTTCTTAACACCGTTAATACAGTTGCGACTTGACTTTGAGGAGCAACTGGTAGCCTTTTTTGAGGTTTTTAAAGACTTCAGTGATTTTTGAAGCTTTTCCAAAACTTTCCCGACACCGTGCTTCGCAAGACGAAAAAAATTGCAAGACAACAAAACTCGCGGAACAAATTAATTTCGTCTTGCGAGGCACCACTGTATTCTAATCTGGTATGCTCATGTGACTTCCCCTTTGTGTTCATGTCTAATTCTACCTACAGCATGTTTTTACCCTGAACTCCCAGGTAGGTGGGTACAGGTTGGCAGCCTAGGTGTTAAAGCTGGCACAGGGGAAAAGCAAGGTTGTGCCTTTAACAGCTATAAGGAAGAAGTTTGACAGGTTAAGCTTTTCCTAGTATGGAAATACATTTGTGGGAAAAGCTTCGCTATGATCATATTGACTCTAATTTTGTGTTATGACATGTCCATCTCCCATGGCAGCCATGTTGTGACTGGCACCCACAATACTCTCTCAAAATCCAAAATTTGCCCAGTAGTCCAAAAGGGTTTGTGGCCCCCTCTTCTACAGTATGCCACTGCAAAGACTTATCCTACAGCAGGCATCCCCAAACTCGGCTCTCCAGCTGTTTTGGGACTACAACGCCCATCATCCCTAGCTAACAGGACCTGTGGTCAGGGATGATGGGAATTGTAGTCCCAAAACAGCTGGAGGGCCAAGTTTGGGGATGCTTGTCCTAGAGGCTAAGACACACTGCTGCCAATGCAATGAAATTAAACAGACAGAGTAGGCAATTCTGCATCCTGACCATTCCTGCTCAAAATCTCTCTAGTAGACCAGCCTCCACCAGCCACTTCCTTTTTATATTTTTGTGTCTTATCATTAGGTTAACAATACCTGCAAGTCCCAGTTATACTTGAGGTATCTAATTACAGGTGCATTCAACTTACTGTCTTTTCAATGAAGTTATAGTCTGTTAACTTTGCTCTTCTCTAATAAAGATTTTCAGTTCCTATTGCAGTTACAGTGCAATCCTAAACATCAGATATGCCAAGTGGGAGAAGTTAGGATGTGGTATGTCGTCCCACTCCCAAAATGAGGTGCCCTTACGCCGGCTGAGGGAAAGTCCTGGTGGCGTAAATTAAATTGGCTTAAGTTATGCTGGTGTAAAGGGCAAAAAGGCGGAATGTCAAGAGTGGGAAATGTGTGCAGGGAGAGGGATAAAGAACCTTATGCTGCATCACAACTCCCTTAATTCATTGGTTTTACCCACAGAGCTTGGAGTAATTTACATCACCTAAAATGCAGGTGTAACTAAATTCCCTCAATAAGAGTCAACGAAAGGACAGAAAATGAAGGTTTGCATTTCCCCTACACCCCATCAACCAGGAGCAGTTAGAATACAATTTAACTTACAGAGATACGCCTTTGTATCTGCTTGGTTAGGACTGCTCTGCCCATCTGCTTGGAGCCTTACAATCCTTTTAGTAGTTTTTCTCAGTTCAGTTCGCAAATTTATTTAAAGCAATGTTACAGGAAGATATTGTGTAAAACACAAGAGTACTGCCACCAAAGCAAAAGGGTATGACCTAGATATGTAAATAAGTAAGCCCATTTTTACCCAGTTAGTAGCATTATTTTCTTTCAGCTTCTCTCTGAAGTATTCCGTTACTTTTCTCTCCCATTCAGGATTCAGACTATTTTGAGCTAGGAAAAACCAAATGAAATTGAACTATTTCAGAACATTCAACAATCCAATGTATTTGGGCAATCAAATAGAATCCTGACTTAACTGCAAACACAATTTTTGCAAGAATATTGTCAGATAGCATTAGTTATTGGAAAAAATAAAGAGCTTGATTCAACTAGTAAGGCTAACATTTATTAGTATTGGAGACAGCATGCCTCTGAATACCAATTGCTGGAGTTCATGAACAAGAAAAATGCTACTGCATTTAATTAAACAAACTGAATATTTAGACTAGAGATAGGGAATGTGTGGCCTTCCAGATGCAGCTGAACTCCAACTCCCATCAACCTATTGATTCCCATCAACTCTAGGCAGTATGGCCAGTCTTCAGGGATGATGGGAGTTGTGTTCCAGCAACACATGGGGAGCCACAGGTTCTGAATCCTTGATTTAGTCTGTCAACCAAATGTGGGGTGAAAAATTTTCCAGTGTTTTATTTTTCAGGAGAAAAATAATCAATTTCACAAGTTCACTCTTAACATTGAATGGATGCCAATTGCAAATAAAATATTAGGGAATCACAATATCACATAAATGACAAGTGGCCACGTCTTATTTCTTGTGTGAGGTTTCCAAGTACCGGGCAGCCTGTTGGCTATCAGGCACTTAGGAACTTACAGCAGCTTCAAAACCATTTTGCTGTTTGAAAGGGCTTTAAGGCAGCTCCCACGCTCCTGTTTGAGCCTCTTTGAAATATCGCTCTTTGAAGCAGCTCCACACTTCTCCTTTAAGCAAACAAGTGGTAGAGAGATGGTGGAAGAGCAGAAAGATCTGAATCAATGAACAGTGTTCAAAACTCCCATTGTTGAAGACGCATTTTGCGACGGGGAATTTCATTAGCGTGAACAGTTTCTGAGCTCTGGGCACAATACTGTGCCTAAGATTTCAGATTAAAACTGCAGAGTGGAAGGAAAGGAGGACCTTTTTCTGCCTCCCCACTTCCAGCTACTTTCTGAAGATTGGAGAAGAGACCCTCTTAGAATGTTAGGGGGGTGGGCAGGAGAAGGACGAGACCATGTGAAAAACAAACATAATATTTTAGCTGCAGTTCATTCATTTTCAGCTTTGTGTTCTTGTTATAAAAAAGTGCACCTAGACATTCTGTTGTTGCGCATATAACCTAGGTTTAAGGTACCATTTAGTGCCTAGCTTTCATATCTCAGTTTTTTTTCAGCTGATGAGTGGGGATTAAATCCTGCTGCCTTGGCTGAACGATCTGGTTTGCTTCTAGGAACAGGGCATGCAGCCAATGCAGGGTTTGACCCTGTTCTCCTGCCCTCCATGCATGATGTGGTTTGGGGGAAATGGCCATGGGGCCAAATTGGATTCCATGGAGGCCCAGGATTGACCCATGGGCAGGAAGTTATCCACCCCTGCTATGTAGCATCAGAAAAGTCTCCCAAAATTTCCCAAATATCCCACATCACCATCAAAAAGGACTGATATATACTTTCCATGTCATGAAGAACAAACTGTCCTTGCCAATTAACTAAGTAGCTGTTGCCTCTGAAAAATTCTAGACAATAGAAAGACAACCCAAACCCTAGTTGGGTAGCAGTGATGTGTGATGGAGGCACCACTGCATCTGTCACTCATGCTGGTCAGAGAAGAAGGCCAGCAAGATGAGGGGTGGGGGGTGGTGGAGGTAAATTCTTGCCTGGTGTGAAGGGCGGGGTGGGTAGGACAGCCAACTTAGTCGCTATGTACCGTAACTAATCTTGCTTAGTGCCCATGCATGTACATAGAGAAAGCCAAGCAGAAACCATTCAATTTTACTACCTGCTCACAATGTATTGTGTCCCCTTCTAAGTTTGCAAAGGCTTTGTGCCCCCACTTTCAACTCGCTGGTAGTTACAAAGACCAGAAGTTATTATGTGAGCTAGAAGCTGGCAGACTGGAGGCTAGGCAGCTGGGAGACAGAGCTGTGTGTTATTTCTGCTGGAATCCAAGGATGGGGCTATGGGAGAAGCAAGACCATCTTAGGGTGTGTTAATGCCACAAACCTCTCCATTATAGACTTGGGTCATATATACATGTAAATAAACCAGATACACTAAAGACAGCAGAGTCTCTGCTATACTTCATTCTGAAGGAACATGACCTGGAAAAGCCTGGAACCCCTTGAATCTCACACTGCTCGGAGATCGTGGTGGTGTGCGACACTATAAATTCTGTACTGCATAAGATATTAGGCATTTGTTTCCTTAAAACATATGTTTACAAGTTAATTGTTACTATAGCAGGCTGTCGTTATTCATACCAATCAATAAGCTACTTGATTTTAGTGGCTCTCTTTTGGTTGTTTAAATCAATGGTCATTTATTTCAATTGCCTTGGTTTAAACCCACACATCCTGGGAGACACAGACACCCTAGTTAAATACCCCAGCAACTGATACGGGTAAGGAACAAAACATGTAGAAGCCGGACAGCGTGGTATTTACCTGCCTAACTGGGCTTTGACATGCACCAGCCTAATACCACGTCCTCACTTTATTCTGACAGAGGGCTCTGATCTGGCAATTACCCTCGAGGGGAAAAGTGATGCTGAAGGCTCCTTGGAACCTCCCGATTCTTTAGCACGCGAAAAGGCATACTACACATGCTCAGAGGCACTCTTATCCCCGTTTCTGGTCTGCTTTCAGGGCGCTTCACAACCACAACAGCCGAGCTCTGCCATGCGATCCCGCCGAAGAGTGGGAGCCAGGCGTCCGCTGCCCTCTCGCTGGGCAAGGCCGAGCTCCCCACTAACGCCTTCCAGCTCTGCCCAGCTAGGCCCACTTTGCCCTGCCGCCCCCTCCATGCGCAGCCGACCCCTTCTTCCGGGTTGATCCCGGCCCAGCTGGCCTGTCTCAGCCCCGGCTCCTCGTCCTCCTCCCTCGCTTCTCTTTCCCGAAGCCTTCTCGGCGTTGCTTGTTTGCCTCGCCGCCCTCCCAAGTCCCCCCCTCCGGTTCCCCCTTCGCTTACCGAAGATGCCTTGCACGATACTGAGGGGGCAGTTCAGCCAGTCCGCCACACACGGCATGTCGTCGGCTCTCGGACCGGGAGGCACACGCGGCTTTTCACCGACGGTCGCTCAGTATCCCTCCGACGGCGGGCAATGGCGCGCTTCGGCGGGCTGGTGCTTCGCGAAGAGGCGTTGTCGTCGTCGATAGCGGCGCGCCCGAGGCCGAGCTGACTCTCCTTCTCTCCGCCTCACTTCCCCCTTCTCCTCAGCGCGGGCTCGGGTTGGCGGGAGACGAGGGGGAGGCGCCGGCGCCGCCATCTTAGAGGCGGGCGGAAGGGGCCGGCCCGGCCGCCAGAGGAACCCGAGAGGCAGCCCGGAGACGTGGAAGCGCCACAGCCATGGCTACCCCGAAAGCCTCCGTGGCGGCTGGCGGCTCCTCCTCGGCTGGCGGCGGCACGAACTTGCTCTTCTCCTCGTCGGCCACCGAGTTCAATTTCACGGTTCCCTTCATCCCCGTCAGCCAAGCCCCTGCCCCTCCGCCTCCTCCAGCCGCTGCTGCTGCCGCCGCCGCCTCGGGGCCTGGTCTCCTGCCCGCAGGTAACTCGGCTTGGACATCTTCGTAGGTCCCCCCACCCCACCCCGCCACACACACCAGGGTTGCTTTTCTGTGGGTGGCCCGCGCCCGAGGGGCTCGTGGGCAGGTGAAAAGGCGCGCCCCTTTGTTTGCAGGTGGTGTCGCCCATCTCCCCGTTCCTCTCGCGGAGGACTCGCCAACTGGGCAGATAGGCACGGGAAGCTTGTTTGTGTGAAAGTGCTGCCTTTGGAGGGACTTGGGAGGGAAGAGGCTTGCGTGCCTCCGAAAGGAAGCCCGTGATCGAGAAGGTGTCGTGGCTTAATTCGTGCCAGACGTCGGATCCGCTAGTGGCGTCTGTGAGCCGGAAGCCTCACCGGCCAAGAGCCGCCCGCAGGTCTTTCACCAGTTGCTCTTGATGTGAATGGTCGCCTCTCAGCCTTTCCATAGAGATGTCACACAGGCTCTGGTCCTGTTCTCCCCTTCCCTATAAGCAGTGCTTTTTAATTATTATTTTTTAAAAAAATGTTTAGGGGTATTCTCATTCTGACTCAAGAAAATCACCATTTTTATAGTTCACATCGGGAAAAATAAATACAGTAAATGGACAAAAGTACAAAGATTCACAAAATGTTTAGGGGTATGTGTCCCCCTGTGTCTGCCCCAGAAAAAAGCACTTCCTATAAGTTGCCAGATTCGAGCATTCCCATCATCCAATGACTGCAGCTCATAAAAGTTTACATAACAATGAACCGGTAGGTCTTTTAAGGAGCCACTCTGCTTCCCATTGTGTGATTACAATGAATTTGGGGGTGAGGTGGAGGAAGGGCATTCCCAGTTAATAAGTATTGTTTCCAGATTGAGTTGGGCATTTGTATATACTTTTTATTGAAACAAAGGATTGGAAGGCACAGGCATGTTATGGTGGTGATTCGTGGCTGGGAGAACTTGTTGATGATGGGGCTTTGGGGAAGGGAGTAGATTATGGAGGGTCTGTAACACTGTGAAGCATGGGAGAATAGCACAGGGATGTATGGAGATTAGCCTCCAAATCTGATGCCTGGGAAGTTGTTAATGTAACATCAGGTTTGTTTTTTTTAAAAAGGACCCAAGAGGGATCCTGGAAATTATAGGCTATAGCATCGCAAACTAGTATTGCTAAAGATGAAATAACTAAGTATATAAAAGAAAAAGCCTTGCTGAAGCAGAACTAACGTGGCTTCTGCAAGGGTAAGTCCTGGCTCACTTGTCAACCTTGGCCCTTGGGGAATGGGAGTGGGGAAAGGATCCAGTCTGTTGGCTGGATTCAGTTCCCTATCCCTATCTTACAGTGGTGAGGCATTTCCTAGGGGCAACATTTTTGGAGAGAATACTAGGTAGATCTTGAATTAGGCTAGCTACATCCTTAATGACTCTGCTGTACTAACAGGCGGGTTAGAGGATAACACTCTTAACACTGATTGTGGCCACTGTTACTTGGTGCATGGCTGCTGAGTGTATACTGTGTTGTCCTGTAATATTTAGTTTTAGGACTACGTTTTTTGCTGATAACTATGCATGATAAATGCAGATACTGAACACACATGGTAACAGGCAAACTTGCCTGTTTACACGTGCAGATCAAGTTCATGCTAAAAGAGCATTAAAGAGAATATAATTACTTATGCTGAATTTTGGGGAAAGTTTGTCACTGGGTGTTTTCAAACTCCTCCAGAGAGTTGTAGTTCTTTGTAAAAACAATAACAAGCTCTGTGCTTCGTTAATCCCTCAGGCTGGATTCTTGATTATCTTGTCAGTGTGGGAGCCCTGGCATTCACTTTCATTTTGCCTATTCCACTGGATTACAGGTAGATTTTATGCTGTGGCTGCCTTCCATTTTGGCAGCGTTCTAAAATCCAGCAGCTCATGCTACACAGCCAGTCCTCACTACTTTTTGTTTGTACTTAATAGCTTTTTAGAGTAGGGTTTGTTTATTTGCATGTTTTGTTCTTTTCATCTTGTGCTTATTGAAGATGATGTGACTACCTTTGATGATAAAACATTTGCTGGTGTGAACTAGGCAGAAGTCCTACCTTTTCTGTTCTTCTAATAGGGTGAAAATGTGGATTGTGATTTCCCCCCAAACCTCTTAGGAAAAGCAAAATGCTTCATCTTACACATTGCTACAGTGGTTCCTTGGTTTAAGAACAGTTTAGTTTAGGAACAACTCGGATTAAGAACGCTGCAAACCCAGAAGTAGGTGTTTTGGTTTGTGAACTTTGCCTTGGAATAAGAACATGTTTTGCTTCCTGTTGAGTGTAAATTGAGTCCCCACCCCTATGGGGAAGCATGCCTTGGTTTAAGAACGGACTTCCGGAACTGGTTAAGTTCGTAAACCAAGGTTCCACTGTATAGACATTGATATGTGCATTTCAGAGGCCTTTGGAAGCTTGGATTCCCTTTTGGGTAGTGCGAGAGATTGCAAATGAAGGTTATGTTATAGCTAATTATGTTTGGGAATAATCTGCATTTTATGCTAGCAATGTCATTTGAAAATTCTAGGCTTATGTAAGAGGAAGTAGTTCAAAAATAGTATTTGCTCTAAATGTGTTCATGTCTAAATGTGACAGTAGTGTAAAAGACAGAATAGCAAGACATATTAAAGAGCGGAAATAAAATAACAACACTGCAATGTTTGACAACCTGCTTTGAAGTCTCTCATTATTTGTTACTATTTGAAGTAATTTTCAAAAGAAAAGTATACAATTTATCCAGGGGGAAGGATGAAAGCACAGTTCTAAAGAACTGAGTTAAATGTCTGGGCAATTAAAATCCATCTGCAGGTACAGGCAATACATATATATATATATATATATATATATATGGGGATGCACATTGACAGTGTGCATTCCTGCATGTATCCCAAATTGGCAGGCTCTCTGAATCACACCACACTGTTAACAAACACCTGTGAGAAATGTTAAAAGCACAATGCACTCAGAATGTGTTATTTAAAAAAATGTATATATTCCTATTCAGTAAACATGTATCTAAATAAAGTGTTTTCACAGTGCTTCCAAAAAATGTTGACTCATGATTTGTAAATATCAGAATGGAAAGAGTCCAGGGGCTGGAATGTCACCACTGAGAATACATCTCTTAGTGTGGTATGCAGACCACTTGAAAGCGTGTCTCAGAAGGTTCTTTTAAGTAATGATGTATGCATAAGCCTTACACACATTAAAACCACTAGTGAGTTAGTTGGCCAAGTGATTTTGTCAATTTAATAGGTGATTCAAAACTCTGCTTTTGGAACTGAAACCAGAAAACCTTCATACAAGGAAAAGTCTCAGTTCTCCAAGATAATGTGCTGCAGTGAACAAGAAAGGAACGGGACTGGATAAATTTTCCTATTTGGGGGGAAATGTTTAAAACAGGCAGTACTACCAATAGTTTCTCCACATAAGCTTCCCTTTCTTTCAATAATCCTTGTATCCTTTGTTGTAGACGATACGACTGATGTTGGTGAAGAAGACAGCTTCCTGGGGCAGACCTCTGCAAATCCTAACCCCCCGCCAACTTTCAGTTATTTCTCCCAAGTTCCTAGCAGCAGTGATCCCTTTGGAAGCATTGGGCAGCCACCCTTAGGCGCAACATCCCCACCCCAAGCTGGAACATCTGTTTTCTCTAAGACTTCAGCTTCTCTCCCACTTCTGCCTGGATCACAAGATGGGCCAAATGCTTTCTCAGCTCCTCTTTCCAAATCACAGCCTTTTAATGCGCCACCTGCTTCAGGAATTGGTTCATACACTGGTCCCCCACCAGCTGGCTTCTCAACTCCTCCTCATGCCATATCGCAGCAAGGCTACAACCCATATCGCCATACTACTTTAAGCAGTAGAGCTAATCCTTACATCACTCCACCGCAACTTCAACAGACACAAACACCCACCCAGAACGTTCAGCCTCCAGCCTCTGTACCACCTATGCACATGTATGCGACTCCAGGGACATTGCCACCGGTACGGAAAGTGATTTTTAGCTTTTGGAATTGGTATAAAACTTTTAAGGGTCTTCTCGTGACCTAGCTTGCCCTGTCCTGCATCTTCCAGCACCTCCATTAGTTCAAAGTAGTAATTACTAAATTCAGGGGGAGGGAAAGAGAATTGGAAAATATTGAACAGTTGATAGACAAAACAAGAAATGGCAGTATTTTAAAGCATTAATTTAGTATGATGAACAATGAGAGTTATGCTACAAAAGCTTCCTTTTGGAACCCTCTAGAGTCTAGACATTCCCTGAAACTTTACAGAACACTGCCAGATCCCAGGGCAAAGATAAAATAGGTAAATAAGATTGTTCTTGATTATATGGAATATTCTTAATTTTTGTTAATAAAATCACTTCTAGACTGCTTTTCATTGAAAAAGTAGAAATAAAGTACCGTATTTTTTGCTCTATAGGATGCACCAGACCATAGGATGCACCGGACCATAGGAGGGGGAGAACAGGCCAAAAAAAAAATTAATTCTTGTTCTACCCCTCTAAAACAAGGTGCGTTCAAGATGCATTCACCCAAAGCCTCCGGAGTTACTGCTGTGCTCTGGAGGCTTCAGGTTCCTTTTGACCTGCTCTTTGGGGCTGGCGGGGGGAAGCGCTGCTTTCCCCCACCACCTGCCCCAAAGAGCAGGTCGGGGAACAGTGCAAAGGCTGCGGCAGCCTTGCCACTGCCCCCCGAGCTTGTGGGGCTGCTTTCCCCCACCGCTAGCCCCAAAGAGCAGGTCAGGGAACAGTGCAAAGGCTGCGCGCAGCCTTGCTGCTGCCCCCCGAGCCGGTGGGGCTGGCGGTGGGGGGAAGCGCTGCTTTCCCCCACTGCCAGCCTCAAAGATCCCTGAAGCCTTTGGAGCGCAGCGGGATCTTGTGCTGCGCTCCAAAGGCTTCGGGTTCCTTTCGCTGACCCAAAGCCTTTGGAGCGCAGCGCGAGTTCCCGCTGCACTCCAAAGGTTTGACGCTTTGGGGCAGTGTTTGTAGCCTCCGCAGGGCAGCGGAGTGAAGGCACCCCACTGCCCTGTGGAGGCTTTGCACAGCCAACCCCAAGCTAGAACAGCGAGACGGAGCGCTGCGCATCGCTCCGTCTCCCTGTTCTGGCTTTGGGCTTAGCTCCGCAGCCTGCATTCGCTCTATAGGACGCACACACATTTCCCCTTAATTTTTGGAGGGGGAAAAGTGCATCCTATAGAGCGAAAAATATGGTAATGTATCTATAAAACAGCACCACTATAGTACCAGAATAATTGTGAACTGGCATCAGCCATCAGGGACGAGAGTACTGATGATATTTAAGCAAATCAAATGATAGACATTAGAAAATATTTGACCCAAATATTTGACCCAAACATGCGCACACATACAGACACAAATTAGGTTTTGCATTAAACTTGATAACTTGGAAACCTACACTGAATTGGATGCTGATAGAGGGCTTTGGAGAAGGAACCTCACTCTGAATCAAGCTTGTGTTTAATGACATAGTAATCAAATGTATGGAATGAAGAATCTCAGGATCATTTTGTTGGATCTGACCAATTCTAGAATTTAATAAATGTATGATAATAATGTACATGATCAATGTAATCTGGAGGGCAGTGAATGTTGTGTTTATAATAACCTTTTAAAATTGAGAATTGTATATATTTAAACTGGTTTCATTTTCAGTTTTCTTCGCCTCAGTCAGCATTGCCGCCTGTGGCTCCCATGTCAGCAGGCCCTTTGGTGAAAGCACCTCCCATCTTACTACATAACCAATACGAGCCAGTTCAGCCCCATTGGTTTTATTGCAAGGAGGTGGAAAACAAGGAGCTATGGATGCCATTCAGTGTCCTAGATTCTACAACACTAGAGGAAGTTTATAACTCTGGTAAGGCCTCTGCGCTTTTCATTTATGTGATGGCTTTTTGGCTTTGAAAATAAAGACGACTAACAAATTGCTGATGATTTACAATGAGAAGGCAGAAATACTAACCCGTCCCAATCTAGTACCCTCCAGACATTTTGGTCTGCAACTCCAATCAGCTGCAGACAGCATTACCAATGTTCAGTCCAAAACATCTGGAAGGCACCAGGCTGAAGAAGACTTCTGTATACATTTGCATATATTTGCATATTCTTATGCTGGTGTTTCTTAAATGGGAACGTGATATATGTTCAGTTCCACATTCAGATTTCAGATTGACTTTTGTGTATAAATCCCATGTCCTGATTTTGTTTTCATAGGCAGCTCTTTGTTTCAGTCATCTTGGCAACTTCTATGTGAGCAATTAGAAAGGCATAGTTTGCTGGTAGCCAGTTCACAGAATTGTAGAAATGGAAGATACCCCAACTAGGGTAATCTAGTCCAAACCCCTGGGATGCAAGAATCACAACTAAATAATCCCTGAGAGATTGTCATCCAATCTCCTTTTAAAAAACCTCCAATGAAGGAGAGTCCCCCACCTCCTGATGGGAGTCCATTCCATTGCCATACAGCTCTTAACTGTCATAAAGTCATTCCTAATGTTGAATCAGAATCTTGTTTCTTGTAACTGTAATCCATTGGTTTGGGTCTTCCCTCTGGGAGTAGCAGAAAACAAGCTTGCTCCATCTTCCAGGTGGCAGCCCTTCAGATATTTGAAGATGACAATCATATCACAGAATTATTGCCTGTGAGAATGCTTGTGTATGTTGTATACTGCCTACATTCAGATCCACACCAGTGAACATAGTGAAACAACTGGAGAAAGAGACATGCAGTGACAAGTCTAGAAATCTTTCAAAAGTGCCAAGATTCCCAGTAACACATTTGGTTTGACCTCTCTGTTTCATTGTTCTAATATAAAATTTGAAGAGAAGGAAAAGTGAATATTTCCTTCTTGTTTCTAAATATGCGTAAGTTTATCAGTTGAAGGATTCCAAGCTAATAAAACATTTTTTAATGCTTCTAGTGCAACCTGATCCAGAGAATGTTGTCCTGAGTACTGACGGAGGACGTTATGATGTTTATCTCTATGACCGAGTGAGGAAAGCTGTATATTGGGAAGAAGAGCCATCTGAAGTGAGAAGATGTACTTGGTTTTATAAGGGAGATCAAGACAGCAGGTTTATTCCTTACACTGAGGATTTCAGCGAAAAGCTAGAGGTGAGTGTTCTTAAATTGGCTGAATAATAAATGTGTGTGATGTCTTACTGAAAATTGGAATTTGAAAGGGCTCAGATTTTATGGGAAGATAAAAAATACTCACTGTGGAGTGTTGATAAAATGTGGAAGAAATCCTGGTCTGTATTATTGCTATTGTTACTGCTGGTGGCGGTGTACAATGACCAACATTATTATTATTATTTTGCATCTGAAATACTGTTGTAAGATCAGTGAAGTGTGCTTCATCCACATGGTCCTGGTTATTCACTGATATTTCTAATAAACATAAAGGAGGTTAGGGTGTTCTGCACTACCGCGATTTGTCTTTAAATGGGGTAAATTGAACTTTATGTTGATGCTCAACCTACTCTGAGATTCAGCTTCAGAGTAGCAGAATATCTATGGCCGGTGGGGGAAACATATATATATATTCCTTTTGCTCCTACTCTGTATTTTAAAATGCAGGCCAACTTGGGATTTTGGGTTAGCAGGCAGGCTAGAAAAACACTGAATAAGTACATGGAAACAGTAATGTACACAGTGACATACAGCATTGTTTGAATAGATTTCTGCTCATGTGTTATGACTTCCATCTCCTCCCCTCCCCTCTGTGCCCCTACCACATGCCCCACCCCAAAATCTGTACTGGCAGCAAGCTGGAGGGATCCTCCAGAGGAGGTTTCAAGGACATGAGGGACTACAGAGGGGATCAGAGGATGGGGAAGTTCTGTTGTGCAAGCTAAATTCAAAATATTGGAGTTTTGATACTACAGGATTGTCAATAAATGAATGTGGTATAAGCTGTTTATGGCACTGTCCTTTGACATGACATCTTGATTTTATGATTTTGCAAAACTGTTTTTCCCCCCAGGCAGAGTATAAGAAAGCTGTTACCACAAATCAGTGGCATCGGCGACTGGAATTTCCAGGTGGAGAAACTATTGTTATGCATAATCCTAAGGTAATAAGAATTTTTATTGCACAATAGCATTGCATGTGTGGTTAGAGCAGTATGTGAAACTCAGCGTAACTTGAGCTTCTGTTCACGGAAGGTGCCTGCCTCCACTTCCAATTTCTCACAGTCTCTTCCTCAGTGCCACAACTGATCCCACTCTGCAGGATCTCCTGACCCTTGGGGGCTAGAGATGCAGAAGAGTCATTCTCCACCCACCCTGTTCCTTGAATGCACCTTTGGTTGTAACCCCAAGGGTTTAAATGTAGTGTGTTGCCACTGATTTTTTTCAGGTTATAGTTCAGTTCCAGCCTTCTGCAATACCAGATGAATGGGGCACCATACAAGATGGGCAGACTAGGCCAAGAGTGGTAAAACGTGGAATTGATGAGGATCATGAGGAAATTCCAGATGGTGAGTGGTTTAGGACAGAGGGCTCTCATATTAGCTTATTCCCCCCCCCCTTAATAAATAATGGCGTAGAATGCGGGCCATACGTTTTCCATGCCCTAAGTGTAGCAGAGTTTGTTGGACTTTTCTGATTTGGTTGACTTTGCCAGCAAGGGGCCTAATGAGGTAGTTCCATGGAGATAAATTCAGGTTTATTTGGGGGAGGAGAACCCTCCCATCTATTCCTTACTTCATTAATATTACAAGTTTTAAATTGCTTCCTCATCCCAAATGGCCCTCCAAGCGGTGAACAACAACAACAAAAATATGGAAATAGACAAATGCACCTTTAGAGATATGATCTGATTGCAATAAATATTTATATAAAAATCTGTCACTTTCCTAAGCTTGTTCCTTTTTTTAATTTAGCTGTGGGTCCCTGCTACCAACCTCTTTGTGTCTGTTGTGTGGGGGTGAAGAGGGAACATGGGAATCTTCCGCCTCTATGCAGTTAACAGTGTAGTTTGCTGGCAAGTTGTGCTGTAGTTCAGGTCCTGCTCTGGAAGCCAATTGGCCATGCTGGTTGGTTTCTTGTGGCAAGGCCTCAGACTGGATTGGAGGGAAAGCATTTAATACATGGTTAGGAAGCCTTAGGCTCTTCAGATGTTGCTTAAGTCCAAGTCCCATCAAACCCATTTGGCATGGTCAGAAATGATGGGAGTTCTATTCCAGAAACAAAAAGAGGGCGAGAGATTCCCAATTGCTATTTAATGAAAGCTGTTGCTATTTCTTTTCACTTTTATAGGTGAGGTGTCTCAAATCGATCATCTAGTATTCATGGTCCACGGCATTGGCCCTGTCTGTGATCTGCGATTCAGAAGCATCGTTGAATGTGGTGTGTGTTTAGACCGTGTGTACGCAGGAGTTTCTTTTGCTGATATCTTATTGTGTCCTACTTGCTTACTCTTGTCAGCATTTATATATTATTGATAAGTTACGTTATTGTTGATTAATGCAGGAGTGGGGAACATCAACCATGGGGGTTCAATACAGGCCTCCAGGTTTCTCTGTCTGGCCCTAGGAGTACCCAACCCCGTTCTGCCACCTCCCCAACCTGCTCCTCAGCAGCTGTGTTCCACACCATTCTGCAGTGTGTCCTTGAACTGATAATACCTATTGCTTTGCTTGGATATGGGTATGGAGATGTTAGGATTAGAGTCCCCCAGAGTTTCCTGGCTCAATGGTTAATTAGCAGAGTCGCAGACCTCTTGCTGTAGCTTGCACTCCAATAAAAAACAGAAGAGTCATTAGTAATAATTTGCTAAAAATAATTTACTAATGCATGAATCTTGTAGTTCTTTGTCAAAGCCTTGACAAGGTGCATCTTGAGCAAAAAGAGCAGTTCATATAAAATCCAACACTATACAAGAATACACTGAGAGTGAGAAGGAAAGAATCCAGGCAGAGAGATAGAGAATCGAAAGTAAAATGAAACTGCTCGCTGGGTAGCTGATGTTTGTTCCCAGTGACCTTGAAGTGAGATGTAGTCAAAACAATATCCAGCTTGCTTCTTCGCAGAAATGAAAAGTGCCGACCAGCTAGAATTCCGTACAGAATGTTCCAGCTTCAGCTTCTGCACATACAAAGAATATGCTAGAAAAAAACTTCTGTTTACTTTGATAAACTGGAAATAGTTTCTGTACCTGAGAAACGCCATTAACCCTGGCAGGAGATATATGTGTGTAGAAACTTTTATGTGGCAGGAATGTAGCCTACTGTTCAAAGGCAAGTGTTGCCTTCACTTTCCTACACACCTTGTGCCATTCACCCCACCTATTTTTGCCCCTCACCTTGCCCACCTTTGGCATGTGCCCCCTAGAAGGGGGGGTGTCTAGAAGGGAATGTGTCTGTTATCCTGAAAAAGATTCCCCACCTTTGCCATAGGAGCATATAATCATGGGTCCATAGGCTTTTATGGCACACCACCTATTAGATATCATGTGTCAAGGGTGCTTCCCAGCTGCAGAATGCACATGGCAGGTAGTGAAGTATTTATGTCAAAGGTAACACTTCCAGTCACTTCTACAGCTCTGAATATCTATACACATCAGTCTAATGGTTAGGCAGTTATTCCCCTGCCAAATTGCAGCAACCCTCCACCAGTTTATGTACCTCCCTTTGATAGGCTATGTGCACTTAGCTTAGGACTGCGCCTGCGTGGAAACTTTCTCAGTTTCCTCAAGGTTCTGGGAGACAGTGGTGCAGGAGAAGGCAGAGAAGCACCCAGCTCTTCTCTTGCCTCTTCCTCCTCTTCTGACTCATCCTGTTCTCTACCCTCCAGCTCTGAAGCTTCCTCTGCCTCTGATTCTTGCCTCCTGGCCAGTACAGGCCCCCACAAAACACTGCCCCCCCTCTCCTGAGTCAGACTCCAGCCCCCTGCCCGCATTGCATCAGTGGCTTGCCAGTCCCTGACATCATTTGGAAACAGCTTTCAATCACTCCAATGGATGCCGCATCAAAATATCCTTTTAAAACTGAATTAAAAATATATTTGGATGGAAGGGGAAATGAAAAGATGTACTGTTGTTTTCTTTCTGAAGGGAAGGACATGTTTACTATATAGGTAGATTAGCCAGTGGTCAGTGAGGGGAAAACAGCATTATTTAGTTTTGTTGATGTAATTATTTTGTAAATAGAAGGCATGACAACCCCTTCGTCAGAAGGAAAGAATACAAGAATTGCTTCTGCAGCCTTTTCCCAGTGTGGCTTTCTAATGTTTAAATGGGTATCACTTCAAAGTCATATGAGATTTTAAAAGCAAAATCAGACTGAAACAATGTGAAACTTTAGCTCTGTCTAATTAATGACTTAGTTTTTGATTTGTACTGTAGTTATTGTTTTACAAATTTACACTTATTTATACAGTTTATGAAATGGAAAGTTTTGATTAGATTAGCAAGACTTCAAAAGTGTAAAGAAGTGTTGGAAAATATATTTGAACACACGTAATGGGTATCAATTTGTGCAGTTACCATTAACCTCTTCTTTTCTTCCATTTTTAAAGTTGATGATTTTCGGACAGTGTCTCTGAAATTGTTGCAGTCGCATTTTAGAAAGTCAGTAGAAGAGCTTAAAGTGAGCAGGGTCGAGTTCCTGCCAGTTCACTGGCATAGTACTCTTCATGGAGATGCAACCGGAGTGGATAGGTAGGTCTAAAATACTGAAGTACCAAAACACAGTTATTCTCCAAACTTCTAATCTGTTTCAGCAGGGCTAGCTTGTTGTTTGATCATTGATCACTGTCCCAGAGATGAGCTGCTGAGACAATAATGTGATAGAATGTTTTAACTGAAAACTGCTCAAATGTGTATTGCAGGTTGAGAATGAATTGCCACAAGCTGAATAGTCCTATAACCCTCACTATAACTTGTCTCATTAAATTAAAAGAGATCATTGAATCTGGTTTAGCGGATGCTATTAAAAGTGATCATAACGTAATTGTGTTAAGAGTTATGTGGCTTATCATAATGGAAACAAGCCAAAGGCAGCCTTGGACTTGCACTCTTTTTTGGTGCAGCTACAATAAGATCAGAAGCATTTGGTTCTGTTAATGATTAGTCGCAGTTTAATGTTACACCCAACGGCAGCGTCATGAGGGGCGGTGCTCTCTGGCCAACCGGCTGGCTGGCTGGAGCGCAACTTCCTTCGATGCTGCTGCATGAGGGAAACACTCCCTACCTGCACGCAGGAACTGATCTAGGGAGTGTTTCCTGCCTGCAGCTGCGTGGGGGAAGGGGCTCAACAACTTTGGGCCATCTCCCCTCATTAAAATTGAGTCCCCCAAAATAGGGGGGGGGATCTTATACACGAAGGCATCTAGTAGAGTGAAAAGTACAGTACTATATAGTGCAGACTCTATATAAATGGTAGGGCCTGTATCCAGCAGTGTTGCTCAGCGGACTGTAAGGCTTATGTTAGTGGAACAGGGAGGGAAGCACTGCACCCCAAATCTGCTCTGGAGGTTGGAGGACCTTGACTGTAACTAATAGCTATTGGGATCATCCTGTTTTTAGCTAAGCTCTTTAGTCATGTAATGAAAATGACTTGGCTATTAATCTATTAATTTTGTGTTCCCAGGAATATTAAAAAAATAACTTTGCCGACCATTGGACGTCTTCGTCATTTCACCAACGAGACTCTGCTTGACATACTGTTTTACAGTAGCCCCACCTACTGTCAAACGATTGTGGATAAAGTAGGACTGGAAATGAACCGTCTCTATGCACTTTTCAAGAGCAGAAACCCTGAATTTAAAGGAGGAATCTCTGTTGCTGGTCATAGTTTGGGTAATGCTACAACTTAAAAATGATAAGCTTTTTCAACAAAAAGCTATTTTTAAAAATTCCACAGTTCTTGAGAGATGTTGTCCAATGTTTGGTTTTGTGACTGCTTGGGCACACCATTGCTGTAATCTGGTTTGCATGCACGAAACACCTCTAGGTCATCTGAAACTCTAAATATGTTTGAGAGAACAGATCAAGAGGTCAGCATACGTCTTTCTATTTAAGTTTGGACAAGATTAATGCTATCCTGAAACATCTTGTTTTGCTTCTCCAGGTTCGTTAATATTATTTGATATCCTGTCCAACCAGAAAGATTGGACTTCCACGGTTAATTCTGTGGCTTCTGTCGCTGCCAATGGTATTGGGAAGGATGCGGCTGAATATGATCAGCAGGTATTTGTGCTAAAAAGCAATTGTTCGTTAAGACTTGTGTGGCTGGCTCTTTTAACTGTTTAAACCATCTTCAAAACACTGGAAATATACAGCCTAGTCAATTCTCTGTCTACATACTTTACGGGCTGCCTTTTGCATGTGGCAGCTGCCTGCAAAATAAAGATCCCTGGAAGATCGGGGGTTTTGGGTAGGGTATCTGCTGCAGAAGTTACTCTGCCCAGGGAAGCTGTTAAGAGTGATGTATAACGGGCAGGCCTCTTATTCACTGCAATAACCTGAATAAGGCTATTGCTTAGTTACATTTCCCTGGATATACGTTTGACTTCCACATACTGTTAGGAATTGGTTTTTTTATCACAAATATTTTTCTTTCTTTCAAGATGACAGTAGAGTCTAATTCTGCTGGTTCTGTACATTCTCTTTCCAACGATGAGCATGATGTGGAGGACGATATTCCAACCTTGCAAAGAACCCTGGAAATGCTTAGCTTGTCTGAGTACATCAGCACATTTGAAAAGGAGAAGATTGACACAGAATCTCTGGTATTTACATTAGCACGGGGAGGTAGCAAGTTAAAATGGACTGCCGACTAATTTTACAAAAGATGGAAATGTGTAATCTAGGGGTGGGCAACCTTAACCTTATTTCATGTGGTCCTTTCCCTAATTTCATGCGGGTGGTAAGGATGTAGTGGCAGAAAGAGGGGGGGAGAGCACCCTACTTTTAGCTCTCCCTGGCCACTACTAGCATGTGGCAACCAATAAATTATTCCTGAGGGAATGCAGCCCTTGACAGAAGAAAGGTTCCCCATCCTGATATAATGGTTTTAGCATAACACACCCACCCCAGATACGTAAAAAAAAAATACATTGTGTCAGAAGACGGGGTCACACACCCATACCTATACATGCATTGCAAGAAAGGGTGGAGGGGTTTGCAACATAAACCTGTACCTTAGAAAAAATTACCAGCATCCAGTCTAAACTATAGGTCTGTAGCGATTTTTATTTTTATATAATAACTTACATGTGTATGGCACTTTCAGGGATCATTTCTATAGTTTGTAACTATAGGAGAATGTGAGATTAGAAGCCTGCCGTACTTACAGTCTGGAATTAAGATCAAGGGAGGGAAATGGAGGCATATCTAAATGAATGAACTATATGCTATTATTTAAGTTACAGATATTTAGGCTTAGTTAAATGAGTATATTTGGACATGTATTGCACTATTTACTTTGCCTGAAATAGTTAGAATTTGTGGTTCCAGAATTTTGTTTGTTGGAGATCTCTCTTTTACTAAAATATGCAAATATAAACTGTGTTCTTAAAAAGTGAGTAAGTAAACCTTGATATATTTATATATATTTACAAAACAGCTGATGTGTACGATTGATGATCTGAAGGAAATGGGAATACCTCTTGGGCCGCGAAAGAAGATAGCAAACTTTGTAAAAGACAGAGCGGCCAAACAGGTAGGGAATGATTGCTTTGCAAGCCAGAACTATGGCAGTAACATTTCAGTGTAATAGAGCTGCTCAAAGAATTACAAAATAGGCATGGTGAGAGTTGGATAAGAAAGAGTTGGTCAAAGTAGAATAATACAGACAGGCACGTTGTACTTCCCAGAAAGCTTAATACGTACATAATATGTACACAATGCAAAAGGAAATAGCAGTTGAAAGGAAAGAGTAACAAGAGTTGCAAAGTTTTATTTTACAAAACTATTAGAAAAGAATACAATGTAAGCTTGATACTGTAGCATCTCCAAAATACTCCACAATCAATACCTGATTCACACATTAAATACTTCCATTGAGAAGTACACATACTTATTTAAAACTGACTACAATTTAAATACTATGAATTTTAGTACTGGTCGCATCCAGCTGAATAACTACCATGTATCGTACCGTATTGGCCCAAATATAAGCCGTACTTTTTTTCCAAATTTCAACCGTGAAAAGTTAAAGTGCTGCTTAGATTCTCCACCTTACAAAAATTGGCTTTTACGATATCGCTGCTGAAACAGACATAAGGTAAAATTGAACGGGTGTGAGTGCCTGCAGAATTTTAAGGAAGTGGCTTATATTCAGGTATTGTCTCCCCCCCCCCCCATGAATTTTAAAGGTGAGGCTTATATTTGGGTGTGGCTTATATTCGGGCCAATATGGTAGTTCTTTAATGTGAAATGTTAAGATGTGTTGAGTCAAGAGAGCCATACAGGGCATGAGATCTAGCCTCATGACTTGCTTTTCCTGAATTGTGTAGAGTGGCTTGAGCCATAGATTAGCTGATTTTTAAAAAAGCAGAATCTAGTGCAAATGGATCATATTATTTCAGCGCTTAAAGATCTTACTAGGCTGTTAGTTTGTTTCTGAATGCAGTCCAAAGTGTTTGTTGTGAACCATCAAGTGCTGTATTCTCTGAGTGCCAGAAGATCTGAAGAACGTTCTGCTCCTATGTGGCTATGAAGGCAGGGCCTCCTGTGTTGCAGCACCCAGACTGTGATACTCCCTCCGCATGGCTGTTTGTTTTTGCTTCCTGTTAAGCACCATTTGAACACTGTGCCAAGCTTTTAGTGGGATTTGACTGATATGGACCTAATTGACTTGTAATGTTATATAGACTTCTTGAGGTTTATTTCTTATTTTGCCTTGTATGCTGCCTCGGGCACTAAAGTTGGAATATAAATATTTTAAAATGAATGAATGTTAAAAGGTGATTTGAGTGAGTTAAGACTTGGTTGAATACAATAATACAATACAATAATTAAACTAAATAGAACATAGCAGGGGGGTGGTTTCTTCCCCCCTCCTCCAAAGCTCCTCCAAAGCTTTTGAAATCTTTGCATCAATAGGAACAGAGAAAAGCAGCATTGGAGAAAAAGGCAGCAGTTGAAGCCATGATGCGGACCCAGGAAGAAGCTGCGCAGGCAGCAAAGAAAGTGGTCAGTTTTGCTTCACCTTCAGAATCTGGTATGCTCCAGGATCCATCCAAGAAAAGGCTTCCAGTTGGAGCTTCAGTTTCCTCTGCCAACATAGATTATGAATATTTTGAAGTGGGCACTGGTCAGGTAAGTTTTATGCAAGTTAAAATAGTCCTCACTGATGGAACTGTCTTTTTTTGACACATACCCCATTCACAGAACTGGTGCTATGATGATGGGGTCATATGTTGTGGAAGCGGTGGGATCCTGGCCCAGAGAATGGAGTAAGGGCACATGATTCACTTCAGTTGTGGAAGTATACAAGTGCATACACTTTGTATACCATCCATTCCTCAGAAACACTGTTTTTTAAAAAATATGTTTTTGCTAGGCTTGTCTTGTTAGTATCAGATGAGACCTTTGTATCTGTCTTGTGGGATACACCTGTGGCTTTCAAGTGGGCTGACTGACATATGAAGGAGGTATTAATCATCTCTTTTTTAATTCTTTGTCTTCTAGGTGTCTGTGGTATATAGTGCACTTGACTTTGAGCCAGACAATTTCTTTGCTCTGGGTTCGCCAATTGGTGTATTTCTCACTGTAAGAGGAGTGGAAAAAATCGATGAAAACTACAGGCTCCCCACTTGCAAGGGATTTTTCAACATCTATCATCCGGTTAGTGAGAAGCACAGGTTTTCAATCACTTTCAGCGAAAGGACTATAGACTGACTATCCATTTAACACCTAATTGGATCTTTTTAAAAGCTCAGGAAAACAATTTGTTAGGCTGAAACTGATTTTTAGCACACCTTCAGGTACTTCTGTACCAATGTATATTTAGTTAAGATAATTACTTAAGCCCCATAACATACAGTGGGCCTGCAAACCAGTGGAATAGCAGTGCAGTACATATACATATCTGCTCAGTGGGGCTTACAGGCAAGTAGGTATATGACTGCAGTTTTAAGTTTGTTGCACCTCTGCACTGGATTATGGTCACACTTTTTTATTGCATCATTAAATTTTATTTAAGTATTCGTTTTAGAAATAGGTCTCCTGTGGAAAGAGCTTTTTAAGTCCCCTTCCTTAACTGGCTTTGGGGAAGGTCATGTGAGGCTCCCACAAGACTGATGTTTAGATTGATCACTGCTTTCTTTCTTGTTTCCAGCTCGATCCAGTTGCTTATAGGCTAGAACCTATGATTATTCCTGACTTGGACGTAAAACCAGTTCTTGTTCCACATCATAAAGGCAGAAAAAGGCTTCATCTTGGTAAATAAAGTGTATTCATATATTTTCTAATATAGGGATCTAGTCAGAAGGCTGGATCCAGAACTGGCTCACTACTTCACAGGTCATTTTGAGAAGGTGGGCAGGACCACTCAACTGTCCATCACCTGATGTCAGGTGATTCAGTGTTCACGCTGTGTCTGCAAAGGAAGGGTAGTGAAATATTGAAGGTAGTGAAAATGCTGCCTTTTATGGTCAGAGAGCTGGCAGCATTTTTCTTATCTTTAGTCATACTTCTGTGTGACCACTAAGACTGAAGAGAAGCAGCTGCTTGCTTTTTGACAGTAAAAGGTGGTGGCAGAGACAGCACAGGAACCAGCAGAGGCATCAGCTCCAACCTTTGAGATGCTTGGATCAGATAACAGATCTCCACACCTGTTGTCATATGATGTCAGGTGACTATGGTTTGCCCCAAATGGCCCCACAGGCTAATGGCCCCACAGGCCATGGGCTGGAAGTTTTCCACCATTGTTATAGATTATAATACACAAACAGAAGAAGGTTCATTCTCAGAAATAAAATTTTGCATAATTTCACTGACCATTCTGAAAGAGCAGATGTGTCATAAGGCTTTCCCCATTCACAATTTTCCCTCTCAGTTTACCATTTCCCTCTACACTGGGCCTTGCAGAACAAAAATATTTTGGGGTCTTCACATCTCTTAATATAATGGTTAAGGAGACATGGTGATCATATTCTGTTATATCTCTTTATGAATGCTTTTGCAGTGCTGTGCATGTGGTGGCAGCTGTATAATCCCTATTGTTTGTAGTGAGATAATTCTCTTAATTTCTACACATGGAAAAAGTTTCAGCTGTAAAATAGTATCAACTACAGTGGTACCTCGCAAGACGAATGCCTCGCAAGACGAAAAACGCGCAAGACGAAAGAGTTTTTCATTTTTTGAGTTGCTTCGCAAGACGAATTTCCCTATGGGCTTGCTTCGCAAGACGAAAAACGAAAACGTCTTGCAAGTTTGTTTCCTTTTTCTTAAAACCGTTAATACCCTATGGGAAACCGTGCTTCGCAAGACGAAAAAACTTGCAGAACGAATTAATTTCGTCTTGCGAGGCACCACTGTACTATATTGGCCAATAAAGCGAGATGAGTGCCGCAAACCCAGAGTCGGCCATGACTGGACCTTTAATGGTCAGGGGTCCCTTTACCTTTACTGAATTGTGATAACATGGGATGCTTGAGGATATTGTCCTTGCATTTTTAATGCATTTCATTTTTTTGGTATCGGCTGCCCAAAGTACTAGTTGTCTCAAGTTCCTTTTAGAACTTCAGTACCTCTACAACCCAAATCTGTCCTGAAGGTGGCAGAATAGCTCATTTCATAGAAGCTATATTCAGCTTTTCCTCCTAAATGCGCTCTAAATAAGTTGGTGCCTGTGGAATAATGCTTGTCTTACAATTCATCATTTCTGTGGCATTTCTAATTATTGGAGAATGGTTCTTGTTTCAGAATTGAAGGACTCTCTTTCTCGAATGGGATCAGACCTGAAACAGGGTTTCATCAGCTCGTTGAAAAGTGCTTGGCAAACCCTGAATGACTTTGCACGTGCTCATACATCTTCCATTCAGCTCCAAGCAGAACTGGAGAAGGTAGCTCATCAGATAAAACAGGAAGAAGAAAAAGATGAGACAGACGGTTAGTTGTTGCATGGCTATTATATTTTCAGAAATTACTGTAAATGTTAAGTGACTGGGACGTGCCCCAGTTTTATTACCTTTGTATTAGGAAGTTAAGCTTGATGCCTTTAGGCTTGATTCAGATTCTTACCTATCATTCTGAATATCTAACCCTGTAGCCTCTGGGTAACTCCCCCAACATATAATCTTTAAATTTATTTTTACTTTGAACACTTTCTCTGAATGAGAGTTTTGTCAATAACATTTTTCACTTTGTGTCTTTTGAACTTTTGTTGGCCAAATTGCAAGCATCCCCTTGCTAGCTGTACAAACTTCATGTACAGACCACATGAAAGTGGGGTATATCTCTTGAAATGAATTGCCCTTGTAATACTGTCTCTAGATGATACTCTTCTGAGTGACCAGCAGTTTGCCAGCTTCATCCTGTCTGTGATTAATATGGCTTACCACTGTTTTCCTTGCTTTTGTCAAAGCCGCAAAAGCTTTTTGGTAACATCAGAATTTGTGCTAGAGTAATCAGATGGAAATAATATATTAATATTGACAAGTACTGAAGGCCTTGATGGGTCCCGGAAACCTGATGGGAGTTTTGGCTTTTTTCTTTGATTAACAGTCCCTACTGTTCCTTGCCACAAACTGTTTTTGAACCTCCCCTCAGTTTTTAAGTGTAGTTTGTAAAATAGTATGAAGGCCTGCAGTTTGAGAAACACAACCACAGAATCCCTTTTGGTAACTGAAACAAGCCACAGAATTTAATTTGTATTTGGGAAGCTTTTTGCTTTGGCTTTTATGGCAGAATATTCTGACTGTTACTTTATTTGAGCTAATATGATGAAACACCACACAAATATTGGCTGTTGTTCTGTTATTAAATACTTTGAAAGTTTGACCTCCCGTAACTTATGCTTCTGTTTTTTACTATTAGGAATGCATAGGAGCTGCCTCGTAGTGACATACCATTGGGCCATCTTGCTGAGCAAGACCAGTGGTCAGGGATGATGGGATGCAGTTCTGTAGGGACTCAGTCAGGAGACTCTGCCAGCCCTACCTGGAGATATCGGGGGGTTGAATCCGACCTGCTTCTAAGGCAGATGCTCTACTGAGCTTACAGCCCTTCCCACATTGTGTAGATAATAGGAGGAACCCACAGCTGTAACAACCCAGACAATATTCCAACAAGCTTAAAATGGATAAAGTGTAATAGGGACTGCAGAAAGGCAGAACCAGGAATTCATCAAAGATTCAATTTACCATGTACTTTTCATGCTCTGTTTCCTTCTGCTGCCACAGAAAAGATCGTTGAAAGCCCAGATCTTTCAAAAGATGAAGACTTGGCTGTAAAAGTTGGTTTGCTAAATGGAGGACGACGTATTGATTATGTGCTACAAGAAAAACCCATAGAAAGTTTCAACGAGTATTTGTTTGCTCTACAGAGTCACTTGTGCTACTGGTAATAATATTTTATTCTAATATGACACACAGCTTCACGTTCTTTCCTGCATTTATTTTAGCTGTTTCTTTGCTAGCCTTTTTGGGACTTATATGCAGGAGCAGTGCAGGAGCGGGTGGCAAGAAGCCATCACTGGCATTGCTGCTTACCTGGGCAGGGTGGGGGTGAGGTCGGGGCCATGTGGTTGCACCGCTGAACATGCCGGATTGACAGGGTCACTCTTGCTGGTGCAACCACACGTCCCTGATCTTGCCCCCACCCTGCCTCAGCCCTATCTAGATAAGCAACAGTGATGCTGGTGTTGGGAGGGCAGCTACTTGTATTTTTGTTCAGACTGTTGCACCTGCCACACTGAGGATCAGAACATTACAGCAAATATACAACGCGGTTTGCTGCGTGTGAATACCCACACATTGGTTGCATCTTATTTTGTTCATAAGATCAGTTTTTGCACCAGATAAAAGAGTTTTTCACTATAATGTTTTTAGTCTGGCTTGAGTTTCTTAGGGCTAGAATAAATTTATGTACAACAGAGTTTTCTGGTCTGTGGCATAGGGCAGAAAGTGGATAGACTGGTCATTGTACCAATGTGGTCTTGTTGGTAAACCTACAAGAGTTCCCTCTGCTTGTACCAGTGCAGTGTTTGCAGTCACAAAAGGTTAATGTGAAATGCCACATACTGCAGTCCAGACAAAGCACAGAATTTGCACTCTCCAGTGGAATGCTGCCCTTTGCAGGCACACCACAGGATCAGAGCTGCCTACAGCAGTGGGGTTTGGTGGAGAAAATAAGGACAAGGACTTGGTATTACTACTACTACTACTACTACTACTACTGTGATTGTGCTAATATTTAACTGAAAGTCTTGTGTGCATGAGAAATATGCCTGATGTGTACCAGTAAAAGGTGCTTTTCTGGAGACAAACAAATTGTTTTTAATGGTGTGTGTGTGTCCAAAATATAAAGATAGTGATGGGAGTGTTTTTAAGTATGGGTTTATGTTTCTTGAGAAACAGTGCATGAGGATACTTCCTATTGAGCAGTTAGTCATTTAAAATAACCATCCAAACAGTATATTAAAGTTTGCTCCGGAATTTTAATTGACTAGCTGGTGCAATAAAACGTATTATCCTGCTTGTTCTGCATCTGTGCGGGTTTGCTGTGGGACTAATGCTGGAATCTGTTTTGTTTGGTGTATGCCAAAAACATAGCTGTATATTGTTCTCCGTAAGGTGGCACTCTTTGGCTACTTTTAATTTAAAAAAAATCTATTGATCAATAAATTATAACATTAGTAGGCTTCTTAAAAGTAGTTTGGTAGGAAGGGGGCAAATGATTACTTACATATAGAGCTCCACTTGTTATCCAGGTAGTAGACAAATATAACCCTTTTGTATTTGTGCAATATTTACTCTTGTTCCCTGTGATTTGCAGCATATGGTTGAACATATGCAAGGATTAATGTAGCAGACCTTTACTTTTCCTGCCCATCCCAACCTTCTCCCCCCCTTTTTGTAGGGTGTCTTATTAGGCATCAGCTCTCTAGTTTTTTTTCTTCTGAGCACAGTGCCTAGACAATTTTATAAATAACTGTAAAAGCAATAAATTAGTGAGACTTCTGTGGAGAGATAATCTAGCATTAAATGCACTGCTTTAAAGATTGCTGCTAACTCTCTTTGGAGATGTTCTTAACAACTTCTAAAAATGATATAAATCTTGAATTTTGTTTTTTTTAATAAAATATTTATTGAAATTTCCAAAGTGTTACAACATAACATAAAAGCAGAAGAAAATACAAAATAAAAATAGTTAACAAAGTAGAGAAGGAAGGAAAAAAAAACCCTTCCAACCATACAAATACAAATTCAAGAAAAAGAAAAAAAGACAGAAGAAAAAACAAAAATACAATTTAAGAACATTTAAAAACAAATTCATTATTCTCGAATCCTCAACTGTCATTACCTTCTTTCTTTGACCTCCTCCTCCTCCCTTTCTTTGTATCCTAGTTATTAATTATCCCAGCAAATCCTTTCCATATTTCATAATATTCTGTCATTACATTACCCTAAACAGTTTTGATCTTATCTTTCTATAAGAAATAAACCTTAAAGCTTATAACTTAAATCTTATCCTTACCAACTTCTCATAACCATAATATTCTTTCATAATTCTTTAACCATCTTTACTAAAGCCGAGTAATTTCATTCCAACATTTTTCTGACATTCATCAATTTTATAAAACAGTTCTAATGGTAGAAAAAAGAAATACAAACAGATCCAATCTTCATCCAACGTCCCTTCCTCCTGGTTCCGGGTTTAGTCAGTCCTTATTATCCCATCGATCTGGCCCATTAACCTGGCAACCTTATATCCAAGGCCCTCAAGTCTCTTCCATGTCCCTTTCGCAGCTCTTCTTCATATTTGTAACTGTATTTTCCCTTGTCTCCTGCTCGTGGTAACTCCAGCTTGGCAATATTTTTAACCCTTCTCGACAGATCAGCCCCTTTTCCATATTCAGCACTGAATTCCATATGGTATTTAAAAGCATGTTTCAAAGACCCTCCAAAATTAAGAGCCCCCACAATCCCAAACATCTCACGGCCCATTGCCAGATTTGAAAAGTCCAAACATCCCAGCATAGGGGGGTCAATCCAGCCCCCCATTTCCAAGCCAAACCAAACTTTTTCTTTCCAAATCTGGCTTTTTCCAAGTTCATTTGTCAAATCCGAAAACTCATATTCCTGTTGGGCCTGTTCTGTCAGGACACACTCCTGATTTAATTCCTGGGTGGGCTCCACATATTTTCCCACTGTCTGTTCAAAATTTCTAGTCGAAGTCGTCATCAAATTCACCTTCTCATGTAACTGTTCCAGTAGGGCATTTGTTTTGTAGAAAGCACACAACAAAGCTTCAGAATACATTGCCCTGCAAGGTCAAATGCCTATTCCCACGATTGTAGTCTGTAAACGGCTGCCAGCTCCCTGGAGTTGGTTACAGTTTCACAGTCTCCCTCTAGGGGGAAAACTTCTATTTGATCTTGCAACAAAGTTTCCCTTTTTGAGATACCTTGTCAATATTTGTTCCTTTGAAATGCGAAGGGAAACAGTGGAATCACTATGTTTCTCTTCTTTTAGCTATCTGTCAAAAATGTTTGTCTCTGGTCAATGAACTTCAAACGTCAGTCCTGACACCCCGCTCCAGGATCAGGACGGAGGAAAGTTGCTTTACTTTAAACTCACTTTAAACAGTCCAAAAAAAGATCCCCCCTTCTTCTCCTGCTGTCGAAGGGGGGTTCCACAATTTTAAATGATGAAATCCAATCCTTTAAAAGCGATTTTCTGAGCTCTAGTTTACGTTGTCTTTGCTTTATTCTATCTACAGAAGAACGGAAGGCTGACTTCCTGTTTAGACCTTCCCGTTCCGTACCAAATTGAAATAGATTTTTAAAATCCAATTCCTTTCTGCTCGCAAGTCCCCATCTAATGTCCAGTTGTTCAAAGTCTAAGTACTCACGGGTGCTTATTTTAGAGTCCAAATTGTCCCAGGAAAAAGGCAGCGCTCTCCGGCAACGGCTATGCGGCTTCGCTCCACGGAAATAGCAGTTGACTCACAGCACCGCGCCACTTTCCCCTCTTCACTTCGGAGCCCGTTAGTGGGTTCCTTAGCGAGTTGGGGGGCGCTGAAGGTGCCCGCCGAGTCCCATGGTCACAGGCTTCATCCGCCTGTGATTTTTGAAAGGGTCCCCGCTTCGCCGTAGCGGAGAAGACCCGTTTCCCGCGGAGCTAGTCCCTCCAGTTCAGAGGGAGTCCGCCATTGCCGATGGCGCCACCCCGGAAGTCCTAAATCTTGAATTTTGTAATACAGCTGCTCAGTACAGTAATCTGGGTTGTGTAGAACAGGTAGATCGATTTAAATCAATGCTATTTAGGCTATGCTCATCTGAGGGTGGAAAAGACCTGCTTCACCCACAGAGCTCAATGAGTGTGCTAAAGGAATCTATATTTTTATTGCACTTGTGACAGTACAGTGTTAGGCACTGATGGATGATGTGTTGGAATGTAAAGTAACATGCAGGTTGTTGAGGAAACCAGGCTGCCAGCAACAGATTGCTTGTGAGGTATGGGAGGAAAGGTGTTGAGAAGCAATAAAAGGGACAAATGAAAGCATCACAGTGGCAAACTTTCAGTCAGCAAGATTACATATTTAGGTATTTGTGTCTGCTGCACTTGGAAAAAAAAATGCTGAATAGCAAAAAGGTTTCAAGCAGGCAATTATTTGGCAATCAGCAAGTATTTTTATTTGCAGGGAATCAGAAGACACCGCTTTGCTTCTCCTGAAAGAAATATATAGAACTATGAATGTTTGTCCTGAACAGCCGCAACATTGATGTATGGATACCCATCATTCAGAATTTGTAAGTAATCCTCAATATAAACGCAGCACAGGTTGTCCCTACTTGAGAGTACAACTCTCCTTTTGTAGAATAGGGAAGTGATGAGAGCTCCTATTGATGGGAGAATGTTAAATGGCTGAAACTTAGAGACTTTGTTCCCTTGTGTGCAGGTGACAATATCTTAGGTGGTTAGCTTATGCATTTGCAATGAAAAGTGCACCTGGAGTAGACTTCTTTGTCCCATCCAGTTGCATAAGGCCATTTCCCTTATCCCAGCCTTCCAGGTGACTTCAGTAGGCAGGATACTAGAAGTCATTTTCTTCCTTTCTCCATGATTGTGGCTTGGACTATGAAGCAGTTAGACTACTACTTACCCTGCAAATCCACAATGTGCTTTGGATATTTGAGAGAGTGGTGAAAAGAAAAAGTGCGAATGCTTCAGGCTTCCAGTTTCCTGTGCTGCTTTGCAGTATTGAAATCAGAACTTCTGCATCTTTTTATGACTGGATGCATAAGCTGCACTGAAGCAACACCTAAAGCCCTTGTCAAAGGAATTTCAAGCTTATGACAGTTCTGGTATCTGTTTAGCATTGCATTGTTAAAATATGACAGTGTGATCCCCCCCAGCAACTATGAGAGCATAAGTAAATCAAAGGGATCTGTTTAAAAGATGGAAGTCACTGTATTGCAGTGGGCAAAAGTAATTTTGTGGTGCTCATATTTTAGTGACTTGCAAGTTCATACTAGCCAGGAATGAGATTAACTTCTGTTATTTGTGCCAGCATCTGTGCTAGCAAGGAGCTAGATATCGTCTCTCTTTCGAAATTAGTTCTTCACAGCTTCAGGTTAGAGAGGGAGGCAGGGAAACGCAACAGAAAATAAATCCTAAATGTATACATACCCTTGCAGAATTAAATTCTGAAACACTGAACTTAGTTTTAATTATTATTCAATGGGTTATGAAGTATTCCAGCTCATTTAACTCATCTGTTATGTTCAGTTGACATAGTAGTATTGTTTAGCAAGGGAAATGTCTCAGTTTGTGTGCATTTGTGTGTAGATTTAAATGATTTGAACTGTGCTTGGTGTTTGTTTTATACTTTGTAATTGGGTGGCTCTGTTAGGTTCCCTAAACACACTATGGAACCAGGGTATCAAATATTAAGCATCATTTGTTTAATATCTTAATATTTTCTTTTAACTGCACTTGTTGCAGCTCTGGTAAACAAATAAAACATAGCTCTAGAAATTATTCCCAGGACTCAGTGAAATATACTCAGTTTGGCTCATCCCATGCTGCTTCATGACATATTCATGCTTTGCTTGCTAAGTGAAGCTACATCTAAAATATGCAGATAAATGTCTCTGATCTTATGCATAACTTAAATGTAAACTCATCCAATGTACACAAATAATAACTTTTTGGAGGGTTTGGCAGATCCTGTGCTATCTCCTTGTGAGAGAGCTCATAGGTAAAAATATAAATGCCATCAGGTTGGGGGGCGGAGAGAGAGGCTTTCCAGCTGTCTACAATTATTGGGCTGCTTCAAAAAGGACAGCACACTTCTTTAAAAGTTTCTTTACTGGCTGTTCAATAAGAGTGCATTTTGACAGTGTTTTTCCCCCTTATTGCTATACTGCATCAGGATGCAACATACCCAGCTCACCAGATGCGCACAGTGTCTGTACAGGATTCTCAAAGGTTCCCTATGGGCCCTACATTCTACAAGTAGTGCAGTTGGCCATTTGAAGCACAGGGCAGCCCGCGCCTCTCCCCATTTGCCCATACAGCCTTTCCTCTTGCCTCAATACATGTTCATGTTAACTTGATAGTCGTAGCCCTTTACATAAGCTGTGAAACTAACCAAGTTTGCCATAGCTTACAACTTCTTCTTTTCTTTTTACTCTTCCTTCCAGCCTTTCTAATCTTTCTGCTGGCCTGCCAACAACCTTTTGAAGAGGCAACACCAATTCCCTCGTCACAGATGACAGAAGTGGTTTCAATCTACAGCCCTCAGCCATCATTTTTTACTTTTGTTTTCTTTCTTTTTTTATTAACTGGGGTGGAGGAAAAGAAAATGAAGCCTACTGTTCAGAGTACACATACCTTTTTTTTTTTTTTAAACCAGCCTTGAATCATTTGTGGAAGAGTTGCCAAACATAAATGACCCTTCAAGAAATGTGTGGCATGCAAATTAATCTTTATAATCTGATTTATCAGACTTGTATTTTCTATAAGGGCTGTGGTTTGTTTTTTTTTATAAAAAAAATATTATTGGTAAACAGCAATAACAACCTTTTTGTTTAATAAAAAGACCACTTGTCCCACTTCTGCAAGAACTGTGAAGTTCAAACTACTTTAATACAAATCTACATCCATCCATTTGTATTTGTTGAAATAAAGCAATTCCTTGCACCTGGTAAGTCTACCACTAAGATTTTATAATGAAATACCTTCTGAGCCTCTGAGGGAGAGTGTTTTCAAATGCTTGCGACATGAAAGTCAACTCTGTATCATAGAGAGCAGCTACAAACTGCTTGATCTTGCTGTATGGCTTTTTTTTTTTTTTTTTTTGCAGAGGGAGAGTAGAAAAGGATGAGCCAAGTAAAATTTTAGTTTGACAGTAGTGACCAGCCTGAGATGCGGAAGTCTCCATACAACTTGGGAGACTGGATTTGCAGAAATCAAATACAGTTATGGCCCTGCAGCAGAAGAGGTGTGTTTTGATTATTAGATTTAAAGGGAGTTTTGGTATGCCAAGAACAGTCCCCGTGTTGCTTAGTGGAGTATGAGAAGGTTAGAGAAGTTTCTTAAACACTGGACTCCTATCACTTTTTTGCTGCTGCTTCTGATTCCCCCTCTGTATACTTTCAATTTTTTCATTAAAAATAAAACTGTGATAGCTTCTATTTGCTGGTCTTCTACATAGTGGCTTGTCATGGATGAGTAGCCTTTTTGGAAAAAAAGTGGTTTGTGTTGTGTGTTTTTTTGGTGGTAATGTCCACATTATTTTTGATATTTGCTTTGTTGCAGCATTGTGTCTTGAAGAGGGAGGTAATAGACCAGGTGATGCTCCAGTTGGATCAGCTTCTGCCTGCTGTAAAGTCTATGCAGTTTAAAACCTTCATATTCTTAGGTTGAGAGAACTTTCCATTGCAGTCTATTAACCTGTAGCTATTTTATATCTCTTTATAAATATAATATTGTGGCTAATACTAAAAGATACTGTGATGCCAGCAAGCTTCTGTGCTTGCCTGCCCCCCCCCAGTAATCTTCACTTTATCTCAGAAAGCAACAGGATGTTTTCTGTCTTCCTTTTTCCTCTCTTTCTAAATATTCGGTGCTCCATTCATCACAATGAAATTTCCCTTCAGTCATTTGTTAAACCAGAACAAATGTCTGTCAGAGGAATGCGGGATGAAGCAACAGCTTGTCAGAGAGCATAACAAGTGGGAAAGCCCTTTAATAAATCCTGGATTAAAGTTGTCTCTGAACAGGTTTCAGAACTGTACATTTGGTATTCAGAATGTGTTTTCAGTCCTCCTCGATAAAATACCAAAGAACAAAAGAAATGCAAAGGTTTTCAATAATCGACAACAGTATTGAGTGTGTGGTGTGTACTGAAGTGAAATGTGTAAAGGTAGACCAAATAAATGTAATGTTAGCAAATATGAAAAATAAAAAAGGTGTTTATTGAAACTTTTAATTTTAAGGAAAAAAACTTAGTAATTTCCTTTGCTTTTCACTTTTCGCTCAATATTGTTTAGTGCTCTGGCAGGAAATGGCTTCTGAGTTGGTGGCATAGAACATACATTGTGTTTCAACTTGAAAATTTTAAATTCATTAAGAAATTCTATTTTTTTTAGCAAACGTTCTTTGTGTCATCTGAATTGATGGATAAATATTTTCCCCCCTGTTTAAGATATTTATCTGGGTGTTGATGTGGTTATCTAAAACAGTCTGAATATTGCCTATTAAACTTGACATTCGTTGATAGGAACATTACACCTGTCCTCTGCGCAAATTGCTACCTTTTATTCCTGTTGGCTCTATTCAGCAGCTGAATTCTGTCACATTCTACAAATATTTGAGGTTCCAGTGATATGAGCACTAAAATGCCAAGTTCTTGTGATGGGATAAGGATAGAACTTTGTACAAAGGAGACATAATGCTGGATTTCCATGCAAACAATATGGAATAAAACATAAATTGTTTTAAACTGTGTTTAAATTTGTGTTTTTAAAGTATCTAACCAACCCTGGGACCTCAGCATAAAGGGTACGCAATAAATAATAATAGCAATAATAGCCCCAGTCCCACAACAGCAATTTGGGGGAACCTTCCTCTTCCACTAGAGCTGGGATGTCACAACAGGTCAGTCATGATCTATCGGACTATCGTGGGGCGTCCCTGGTTGATCGCGTGACCCCCTCCCCCAAAAACAAGCTCAACAACTTTGGTCAATTCAATCCAATGGGTAGATCACTGCCAGTTTTCTTGGGAGTTGGAACCATATTTTTTAAAAAAATCCTTCCAGTAGCACCTTAGAGACCAACTAAGTTAGTTATTGGTATGAGCTTTTGTGTGCATGCACACTTTTCAGATACCTGGTGAGGTTGATGGACTTCCATTTATGTGGCTCAATGTGGTGCCTTCCATAGTTCTAGTTACAGGTAGGTAGCCGTGTTGGTTTGCCGTAGTCGAAACAAAACATAATAAAAAAAATTCCTTCCAGTAGCACCTTAGAGACCAACTAAGTTATTGGTATGACCTTTCGTGTGCATGCACGCTGGACATTCCTGCACTAGAGGATAGAGAACACATGCATACAGGAGCAGCCATAGCTCTGCTATAGTTCACCAGCTTGGGAAATGTAGCTGTGCCCTTTGGCAGCTGCATCTAAGGATTTTCTCTCTCTCCTCCCTCTTAAACTGATGAGAGACAAGACAACAGCAGCAATAGGGCTCTTCTGGACTGAGCTGTCGTGTGTGTTCTCTCTCCTGCTTTGCTACTCCCCTCCCCTTTACTGGCAGAAGAGAGAGAAGGATCGGTCATTGGTTGCCAGCCAAGAGAGGGAGAGAGTAGACCGGGCAGCCAAACATGATCCAGCATCAGTACTTGGCACCCTCAGGCAGCTGGCAGGACACACTGACGCCTACGATTGACCCCCAGCTGTAGCTTACCTGGTAGCAGCAGCTGTTCTAATTTCCCACAAGGCTTTGGAGCAGCACTGTTTGAAAAGCATTGTGGGAAATGAAAAAAGGCCACAGCCATCAAGGGCACTTTGCCAAGGGCCATGTGAAGCTTGATCTTCCAAATCTTTCTGTGATTGTTTTCTTTCATTTTAATCCTTTCTAGTGTTTTGCTTCAGTCAATACTGACAGTTGTTTCTCCTGGGTTTGAGAACTTGACTTTAGGTTTCAGTCCTCCCATCACTACAGTAAGCAGAACACTAGTCAAAGAAGGGGAAACAGAGGATGCATTTAGATTCTATTAAACAGAAGCAAAGAGTACCAGCCAAACATTAGGATTAGTGATTAGTCTTTCCTTTTGTTCATTAGAATCTAGATTGATCCTCTATACTGCTCCCCTTAACTAGCATTTTGCTTACTGTTCTGATGGGAAGACTGGAATCTAAAGTCAAGTTCTCTAATTTGACTTGGTTTTCTGCTGCCTATCATGTTTATGCCTTTTTTGATGTTGCTGTAACAGCAAAATGATTTGCATCTCAGTGAAGTTTCTTGTCACTGAAACAACTGAATGTTTTAAGGAATACTTCAGTAGGTTATGATAAAAGTGTCTCTTGTTAAAGTGGTGAAACTTTAATATCGAGAGAAACAATTCGCCATGTTCTTTTCAGTTTAGCCTTGTTTTGTTTCTCCTGTGCCTTTATGATGTATGTCACTGTGCTTAGGAAGAGTCTGTACACAACTCCATTGAGCCCAGCAGCAAGGGCCTATTAAATAGATACGGAAGACTTCATAAAAGGTGCTTTGTTATCACCACTCTTGGAACCATAGACTACATCAAAATTGGAAGAGTTCTACCATGGAAGGGTGTATCGTGTTTCTTACATACTTACTTTTTCCGTATCAGTAGGTTTGAGCATTTGACTTCAGAAAAGGGCAACCAAAATTATCAAGGGATTGGAGCAACTCCCCTATGAGGAAAGGTACAAAATTTGGGACTTTATGGTTTAGAGAACAGGTAAGAGGCAACATGATAGAAATGTATAAAATTATGGGAAAGTGAACAAAGATTCCCCCGCCCCCCCGCCTCACAACATCAGAATGACCTTTCTTGGGATGGCTTGCAAACCTTTGGTAACAACTACAGTGGTACCTCAGGTTAAGTACTTAATTTGTTCTGGAGGTCCGTACTTAACCTGAAACTGTTCTTAACCTGAAGCACCACTTTAGCTAATGGGGCCTCCTGCTGCCACCTCGCTGCCGGAGCACGCATTCTGTTCTCATTCTGAAGCAAAATTCTTAACCTGAAGCACTATTTCTGGGTTAACGGAGTCTGTAACCTGAAGCGTATGTAACCCGAGGTACCACTGTATGCCGTAGACTGGTAAGCACAATCTCCAGGTTTAAGACTACAATATTCAGAATGGAGACTGAGAAGCTCATTGTGATATTTTGTGTGTTTTCTGGGTGGTAGCAAATGGTGGTGTTGAGTGGGGAAAGGTAGGAAATTGCTTTTATTAGTGCCCTGTTGCTTGAAAATTGTGGACTTGTAGAGCTGGGTCTGCTTTGCACATACTCTGGTCTGTCCAATACAGTTTCAGAGTTCTTTCCTGCCTGCATTTTCCTCACATAAAAACCATAGATTTGAGTATGCTGCTTTTGAGTATGCCTCTGATGAGGCCATCCAACCTAATTAGAGGGGAGATTTTCCTCTTCAGAGCTACAGGCTACAAACTCTTCCATCATGCTTTCACCTGCCTTTTGGTGCTTAACCAGCCTGATGATTGAGTTCTGATATACTTTGAAGTTTGCTCACTATTTTGTAATGTTTAGTTGACCACAATAAAGACGTGCTGCTGTTGCTTTTCATATTTTTTTCCTAATGAACTCACACTGCTACCTAAAATTTTTGGTGTTTCCATAGCATTCTGAGTTTTCCCTAACTTGTGTCAACCAGCATTTTAATTATCTGGAAAAAAATACATTTTAAATCTGACAGCAGCATTTTCTGCACGTTGGCAAGTTTTGATAGTTAATTGATTTCTAACTTTTTTTTATTCCATCAGCACCATACTAATAAATCCATCTTCCTGTTTGCACTTTGAAACAAGAACTGCAAATATTCTCATATTGTTGTCTTAACATTTTTAAAAATAATTGACCTTGAGATTGTTCATGTTGGTAGAGCACTGTCTAGGAGAAAAAAACTTCGATTCTCCAGCCTATGTGAATGTTTACAAATATGAGAAAATCTTTTTACAAACACACAATTCAGACCCTTAAACTCGAGTTTTGAAAGCAAGCCACTCTCGCTTCAAGAGTTTTGGAAAGAAGTTTTGAAAATTCTTAAATTATTTAATTTTTCATCATGTAATTAACTAGCTGCTTCTGTTATGATCTCTTAGGAGGCAGAAACCACAGAAGTGGGTTAATTTCAGTTCACATTGATGGTGTTATATAAATGAATTATAAGCACTTGCATTATGTCCCATAGACTATAGGGGGAATTCAAATGATTAACTTTCTCTAGTTACGGTAATTTGTTGCTAGGCTTATACAACTAAGCAGAGAAAGGAGAAAACCCTATCATTTCCATGCTGCCATTTCCATACTACAGGTGTACAAGCCTGGAAAGTAAACACTGACATGTGATGTAATAATCACACATCCAGCAACGGGAGAGTGAAATGCTGACAATAAGTGCAGGGGTTTTAGTGCTAGCTGCACTTAAAGTTGGAGGTTTGAAACTGGTGAATCACCTATAACTACATGCTTAGCAGAACTGTATGAAATTCAAGCATGGAAGCCCCTAATGTGGGTATGGATCCTGCCAAGTTTCAAACAGATAGATGCAGGAGTTTCTTTTCTAGTTGCCTTTTAAAGTTGACTTTTGGATAGAAGGACCAATGAAAGAACTTGCTTCTCTCCCCCTGTGCTTTTGTATGCTAAGGGCATGCACCACAGAGGTGACCCTGGGTAAGTAACTCGTAATATTTCAGAAGAAGGTTGGACAGTATTCCTTTCCACATGATTTTCTATGCAGTTTGCTGTATTCTATCTGTGTGACCTGTGAGTCACACATTCTCTCTCCCTGCCTCCACCCACAAGTGTGTGTGTTGGGAGTAGCGCATACTGCATAACTGCTTGCTCCTAAAGCCCACACAGCACCAGCTCCTTGCTCTTTCAGGCAAAGAACAAGTTGTCCTTGTGCCACAACAAGAGACTACTGTGCCCTGCCTTTCTCCCTCTGCATTGAGGTTTTTCTCTGAGATGGTCCATTGGGGTTTCCATTAAGAGCAATGGGAGAGGAGGCACGACCAATTCTTGTCCCCATCCCCAGCTACTCCCCCTAGCTGCCTGAAGCTTATGGTCATCTAGCTGGCTGGTGCCACCTATAACCAAATTATGGCACCATCCCCTCTTTGTACCAGCAATTGGGGAGAAAGTGCTGGGTGAGTTTGACACATATTATTGAGATTCAGTGGAACTCAACAAATCTGATTGACTTGTGGGACTGGTGTCAGCCACTCACTGAACATGCAGTGAGCAACCTGTCATGGACAATAGTAGAGGGGTAATAACGTCACTCCTCAAATCTTTATAAAGAGTGCACCACTGACTCAATACTGCCATCTCCACATGAACATAGCCATTTTTCCAGGATAATTTTTTTGAAATCGACCCTCAAGTACAGCCAAAGCCAGTATATTCAATCTTGTGGAAGTGAAAGTGCGTCTGTATTTTGGAATTGTTAAATTTTGCAAATAGGGTGCCAGAGTTTCAAAATGACTAGGTGGAAAATTATCATACCGTGGACGAACAAGTTCCTTATTGTGGCCAAATTATTCTGTCACTCAATATCATATAGGTAAAGATAAAGGTACCCCTGCCCGTACGGGCCAGTCTTGACAGACTCTAGGGTTGTGCGCTCATCTCACTCTAGAGGCCGGGAGCCAGCGCTGTCCGCTGACACTTCCGGGTCACGTGGCCAGCGTGACAAGCTGCATCTGGCAAGCCAGCGCAGCACACGGAAACGCTGTTTACCTTCCCGCTAGTAAGCGGTCCCTATTTATCTACTTGCACCTGGGGGTGCTTTCAAACTGCTAGGTTGGCAGGCGCTGGGACCGAACGACGGGAGCGCGCTCAGCCACGGGGATTCGAACCGCCGACCATGCAATCGGCAAGTCCTAGGCGCTGAGGTTTTACCCACAGCGCCACCTGCGTCCCTCAATATCATATAGGCGCTGTCTAATTAAATTATTTGCTTTATTGAAGCCCAGTTTTAAAGAATCTGTTCAAATCTTCTTGTTCTGTACAGCTACTAAAGGCATGAAAGCCTTAATATGGCAACCCTAACATCAAGACCTACACAACTCTCCCAGATCAATGAAACAAACTGGACAGAGTAGCTTATGTTTGGAAGAGTGCACTTGTAGGTGGTGTGTCGATAACAACACAGCACCTCTCTGACATCCTGTTTCTCTGATAGAGCAGTGCTGTTTAAGAGCCATTATAAAAGTGACAAAATATTGAGCCATCAATTCGAAACCTGTGGTTTTGCTAAACACAAGATCTATATTGGTGTTTCTGAAACCTGTGGTTTTTAATGTAGTAAACACATATGACCATATAGCTTCCCCAATGAAATCGATAAGAATAGTCAGACAGAAAGGAAACCAACTGGAAACTGCAGTGCTCATTTCTTATTTGGCACAGAAGCATTTTCTTAAATAGATTTTGCAGGTTTTGATAAAACCCTCTTGCAGTTTTGTCGAGCTCATTTTTTTTTACTCTGTGTAGGCAAATCATTCAGCTGGATATCAACTTATTTTAATAATCAGGAAGGATCAGCAGTTGAAAAAGTAGAAATTGCCTTGAAAAAGTTTTTTAAACTAGCATTTTCTTTCTTATATGGCTCTGTGCAGTCTAACAAATATCTTTCACCAGTATGAACATTTCATCTTCAATTTGTAATCAGTGCTACAAGGCAATAGAGTTGGAATAAACACCTGTGGGTGTACTAAGTGCAATGGAATTTCTTAAAATAGCTCACTTTTTGGATAGCAATTGTCATTGAAGACTTGCTGTATAAATACACTTCCTTATGTCTGGAAGCCTCCTATACAGGGCTTTCGATGCACAGAAGTATGGGCTATATAAGCATAAGGCAATTATATGAATTCATGGATGCTACTGGTGACTATTATTCATGTTCTGTCTCCACTGTTAGAGGCAATGTGCCTCTGAATATCAGTTGCTGGGAATCATAGAGCTATGAGAAAGTCACAGAATCATAGAACTGTAGAGTTGGAAGGGACCCTGAGGATCATCTAGTCCAACCCCCTGCAATGCAGGAATATGCAGCTGGCCCATACAGGGATCGAACCTGCAACCTTGGTGTTATCAGCACCATGGTCTAACCAACTGAGCTATCCAGAATCAACAGAGGGAAGAACACATTTGCATTCAATTCCTGCTTGCATGTTTAATGGAGGTATCTAATGGGCTATTGTGAGAACAGCATTCTGGACTATATGGGCAAGAAAGTAGGTTTATAATCAGGCCTCTATCACAAGATGTTTAAGAAAAGCCTTATGGAATGTCATTTACAGGTGAACATTGCAGGTAAAGGGGATTACACATAGACTGGTTTCAATTCTGATGCCATGATTTTTACTCAAAGGTTTGGATCCTAAAATGTGCTAACTTTCATGGAAGGAATCTCTCCTGAACTACCCTTGCCCAAGTCACCTGGGACCCATGAAAATCCCCCAAGGGTGAGTGCACCTTGCCATCCTGTAACGTGGATGGGACATAGGGGCTTCAGGGAGAGGAGAGGGCATGAAAATTTCCTTCCATGAATTTATTTAACTTATCTTGGGATCCAGTCCCATATGCACAATAAAAGAAATAGCATTTCGGTGCTCATGTATAACTGCATTTTTAAATAAAAACTTGATAACTGTATTTGGGCATGCAAATTAGCATGCGGTGTTCCGCCACAAGCACAATGTGAACTTGCAATTCATACAGAACAGCCTTTCAGGATACTAGTAGTGCCTTTTCTTTGAGAAGACAGCTTCTGTCTAGACTTCTAGACAGCATAATTTTTACCATCCCTTGTATTAATGTCTATAAAATTTATAGAACAAATTAAAATTTTAGCAGATGGCTTCCCAGAGACAGTTGTATATGATTCTTAGTTTAGATCTGATTTTTCTTCCTCCCAGAAAGGTTGACATTGCACATATATTTCTTGTTTCAACATTTTCGGAAAGCAGATGATATCTAGTTGCTTTTCATCAGTCTGTGACAGATTGTACTGATGTGCTGATGCCCAGCTGCCTCTGGCCTTGACAATCTGAGAATGCCATTTATAATCAAGCAAAATATGGTGACTTGATATTTCAAACCTGTAATGAAACAGCAGGTCACAGAATGTGTAGAATTAGATATAATTTTATGCACCTTTCAAGTATATTTAGTGTTGCTCAGATATGCCAAGTTTCCATTATCTGATTTTGTTTTCTCTATGCCCTAGGAGGTTTTGTCTGTCGAAGAGAAGGGGAGTGTCTGGTGAGAGCGATCCTCATTGTTTATATCTAATTTTTCACAAAATATGTTAACACAGCTTGCTTTCCATCTTCCTTAAAAATTGACTTGCAAAATGTCTAAGCCTAAGCCCATTTGAAACAATTCCAATAGTTTATAAAAATCATAGCATGTTGTTTACTGTGTAGTGACCTCCTTTAGAAGGATTTGGTACTCCAGGTGTCTGGTATGCTCAACAAATCACTTTTCAGCTGATACATAAAGCAACTGGAAGGCCAGTATAATAAACGGACTCAAGGACATTTCATGTCATTATCTTTCTTTTTATAGCTTGAGGATGTGGACATGGCTTGGATCAGTCAGGTGACCACCTGCACTCTGGACAATTGCACTTCTTGGTTGATAAAAACTAGCGGGGAGGGGGAAACTGGCTGGGCCAGAAAGGTGATTAATGCCTCCTTGCAGGAGGGGATGGTCTCTGCCTGTTTGAAGGAAGCAGTGGTAAAACCACTCCTCAAGAAACCCTCATTGGATTAGGAAAATCTAAGTAACTGTTGGCCAGTTGCCAGTCTCCCTTCCTGACTGATGGTTGTAGGCCAGTTCCAGGTGCTCTTGAAAGAAATTGATTTTCTAGATCCATTTCAATCGGGGTTTTAGGCCCAGTTTTGGCACAGAAACTGCTTGGGTCACCCTGTATGATAACTTCTGTCTGGAGAGGGACAGGAGAAATGTGTCCCTGTTAGTTGGCCTTGACCTCTCAACTGGTATCCTTCTGGAGTGGTTATCCAAGTTGGGGGTGTGCGACACTGCATTGCAGTGGTTCCAGTCCTACTTAGTTTCCAGAGAGCGATGCTTCTGGCCCTGTGTGGGGTTCCTCAGGGTTCAATATTATCCCCCATGCTGTTTGACACCTACATGAAACTTCTGAGTGGGTTCATCCAGTGGAGTACGTTGTCACCAATATGCTAATGGCACATAGCTCAACTTCTCTTTTACACCTGCAGGTGAGGCAGTGGATGTGCTGCGCCATCATCTTGCTTTGGCAATGGACTGGATGAGAGCCAACAAAATGAAGCTTAATCCAGAAAAGTTTGGAGGCCAGAATTCAGAATTCAGAGGCCAGGTTGCTCACTGGGACCAGATGGTCTGAGCATATAACACCGATTCTGACCAAACTGCACTGGCTGCCAGTCAGTTTCCAGGTCTAATTCAACATGCTTGTTTTGAGTTACAAAGCTTCAAACGGCTCAGAACCACAATACCTCTCCCCATATGAACCGATTAGGACTCTGTGGTCATCATCTGAGGCCCTTCTTCAGTCTCCCTCGCTACAAGAGGTCTGGAAGCGGGTATCATGAGAATGGGCCTTTTCTATAGTGTCTCCCCATTTGTGGAATGCTTGCCTGGTGCCTTTGCTACATATCTTTAGGCTCCAGGCAAAAACATTCCCATTCTCCTAGGATTTTGGCTAATTAAACAATGTATGGTCCTGTACACTGGGGTGGGTGCAGGAGTAATTGTTGTTGTTACCATATTATGAACTTCTGCGTTTTTATATTGTAAAACAGATGAATGGTGGTATAGAAACGTAATAAAAAATAAAAATAAAAAGCATATTGTCAAAATAAAGTTTCTGTATAGTTCCCGCCCCTCCCAATTGTGCTATAAATACAAACACAGAAATTCTCTACAATTACTGTTGTACATTATATACACCCGTCACTATGATTTATGCCTGGAGCATGTGTTACAACTTTATCTTTATATTATACTGTCATTTTAGCCTCTGCATTCCCAGTATGATTCCACTTCAGCATAAAACATCACTTTCCCCCTCTGTTTAGTCTTTTAATATTGGATCTCTTATGAGAAAGTGCAGTGGCCTCCAATGTGTTTGTATGTGGCAGGTCTAAATTCAGTTACGGTAATTGTTGTCTTACTTTCTTCTTGCAGTACTCTTCTCATTCACATCACAATGACTAGTGAGCATAAGAAGTGCATCTCCTTGAATGTTTCAAGTCTGCCTCGGGTTGTAGCTCTTGAACAGGAGTGGCCGGCATCATAGGATGGTATTGCGGAACTGCCCTCTCAGTAATGCCACCGCTGTTACTTACAAGGATTATATGTGGTCAAGGCAAGGCATGGTAGGCCAGGAAAATCAGACTGGCTCTGCCAGTGCCCCCGTGCAGCCCTGCCCCTGCTGCCACCCTGGCCCATTCAGGTACAGGAGGTGTGGTATACAAATTTTAATATTATTATTAATATTTAAGTTTATTATTAATTCAGTGGGGCTATCTCCTAGGTAAGTGGTGCTATGATTGCAGCCTAAATGCAAAAGAAAATGTAATATTCGGCAGTCTTTAGCAAAAAAGAAAAGAAAAGTTGACCAAATAGTATGAAACATCCTGCAAGAACAATGTTAAATGACTTTCTCATACTTTACACTAAAAATATTACAAGTGGAAAGGGTATAAAATAAGTCTCCCATCTCTGAACTATAACTAGCTCTTTATGCGAACAAGTTGTTTAAATGCACATCCCTGAGTGCCTCACTTGTTCGGTCTTATAGGCAAAATGGCCAGTTCTTAACACGGCTATTCTAAGGAAACAAATTTCAGTTCTTTATCCTCCTCCCTAGCAGCATAAATGAAGGTTGAGTTTGGTATTACTTTTATAAATACACACACATCTGAGAGTCTTGTGACCTAAGAGGCACACAGGTAGTGCTTAAAAATGATCAGTTTTTGTGGCATTGTTCCACAGCTTGGGCCAACTCAATGCAGGTTGTAGCAACAAAACAAGCATCTATCTAAGGTGACAGTTGCTTGCAGACTGAGTGTGATTCTCTCTTCTCCATTTTAAAGTGATTCTAGAAGCCGGTCTAACATGAATGAATGCACATGTAATGGTCTGCAGCCACATGGCCACTGAACATATATTTACTCTGTGTCACTGTTTGATTTTGCAAAACCAGCAGCCCTGAAGAAGTGACTTCTCCTCGTGTAGTGAATGAATTTCAGTGCACCTAGAAATCCCTACAACTGAATGTTGCAAAAATCAGGAATCTAGGCTTAACACATGGAGCAACTTAACACATGGAGCAACGCCTAAAGTTAGACTTGTGTACATGACGACACGGCAGCTGACTCCACGTGGGAGCTATTTTCACATGCCAAGTCCTTTTTATCAAACCACTTCCCCCTCCCGCAAACCACTGCAAAACAGCCCACACAATTTTACTTCAAGGATTTTTGTTAATGTCCAGAGATTCCATGGCAGCTTACGTAATGTTAACAATATAAATTATAAAATGCAGTGTAGCATATGGTGAGCTCTGTACCTTGAGAAGCCTAGTGGAGTGCTTGCCAAAAAAATATAGTAGAGTGATTTCAAACCACTGGCAGCTGCAACTGTTTAAACTTGCCTAGAGTATTCAGAGCCTGGTTGTGTAGAAGGGGTGTCCATGGTCCCCCAACTCCACTGAATGTACATAGTATGGAGAATGGAACTGACCGATGACTCTTGTGGTGTCTTCAAAAGATGTGAATACATCACCCTAATTGTCTAGATCCTTGAGTGTGCAGACTTTATACCATTCCATAATAATTAACTTACTAATTTGGTTATACCTAATCAGAAAATAGAGACAGGGCACTTGCAGAATTAGAAATGCACCCAGTTAGATTTTAGGAGTGATCATGGAGGGCTACATCACATCCAAACAGATGCCATTGAACATTCTTACGTGACGGCTTGACTCCCATTATAGCAATGGGAACATTTTATAATATACTGACATGGATCAGGGTTCAGTTCATGAAGCTTATCACACCTGATAACTCATTAAAATATGAACAAGGGCACAGAACTCTTGGGAGTCAAATAGTTCTTTGCAGAGTTCTGGTTGACCTCATAACATGTAGCTTCCATAGGCAAAAATTAGAGCCGGTATAAGAAAAACGAAAGTAGGTAACACATCCTCCAGGGAAGCTCAGTTCCTTGTCTTTCAAGTCCATTCGGTCCTCCTGGACCTAATGCTGTCCATTACTCTTTCCTCCTTTTCTATTCACTAATATTACCCATGTAAAATTATATTATGTAAATCTCATCCATTTATGCTCAAATGTCTGATTTGCATTAAGTTAGTTTAAGTGTTGAAATTGAATTTTCTGCTTGGCAGATATGACTTCTAAAAAAAAAAGGAAGAGTGTTCTCAGATGCCCTGGCAGATTTATTGGACAGTAACTAAGAGCAAATAACCCAGTGATTATACTTTGTGTCTGTGTGAAAACCAGGCTCCTTTCCAGTTCAGAGCGCGAATTAAACAAAAAACTACTCTGCCAACTAATACCAATTAAATCCTGTGATTTAATTACAATGCTCAACATTCCCATTTTTTTGTGTTCACCTTATTTTCATAATCGCTTTCCCCAAGTAAATACTTTAAACTATGCAAAGCTACTTATAGCCCCTGCAGACACCAAATCCTGACCCTCTTGAAATTAGTTGAAGGACATGAACACCAGTCAATGCCGAATCCGGTCCTTAGAGGATATATTGCTACTAAATGTTTAAAAAGTCTTCCATTAATGTATCTTGCAGCAGATGGATTTCCTCTGTCTCAAAACACTATTAAGCATATTCACAACCAGAGCTGAGTGTTGTTGAATATGCATGGCAAAACGATATGTGGCAACAGAAAATGGCTGGTCGGCATTCCCGTCTTGAAGGCCATGTAACCAAATTTGCATGTTATTAAAGGGAGGAATGAAAAAGGTTAGGAGTGGAGGAGAGTTGAGCAAGTCTTTGCAGAGAATGAAAATATATACTCTTGATTATTTATGAGAAAAAAACATTTCAAATGAGAAGGGACTGTTTGGAAGTTACACTGATGCACTATAAAGCTTTGATAATTCACCCGCCCACCAAATTTTATCATTTATTGTATGGACTGCCAGGGCATAACAATATAAAGCAATGCAGTATTCGTCTATTGGGTCCCATCCCCCACCACACTTTAAAGCATTTTTGCTTTGATCTTCAGCTGAAAAAACTTCCAGAGTGGTTTAAAAAGATCAATAGTCCCTGCCCTCATAATTAAAAGGTTTGATACAAAAGTAAAAGGAATTATGAAGGAGGAAGGGAAATGCACATTCGGACATTCATAGAGGAAAAGACTACTAGTGGCTACTGGTCATGAAACCTGTATGTAACCTGCAAGTTTAAAGTGAAGAACCAGCTGCTGAGGAGTGATGGCTTTTAGGTGGAGTTTTTTTTTAATGGCTTTATTCTGCTCAGCTTTTTATTGATGTTTTCATGCTGGCTCCATGTTTCAGCTGATCTTCCATTGTTAATTTATCGCCTTGCTTAAAATGCTTTTCATCTTGTAAATTACTCTATGAGGCTTGCATCCTATTAAGGTGCATACCCTCCAACATTTCTCCAAGGAAAATAGGGACATCCCATTCCATAATGATAGTTTTACTATTTATACCCCACACATCTTACTGGGTTGCCCCAGCCGCTTTGGGCAGCTTCCAACATATATGAAAACATAATTCAACATTAAACAAAACCTTCCCTATGCAGGATTGCCTTCAGACGGCTTTTTTTTTGGGGGGGGTGTCAGATAACTCCATACCCTCCAACATTTTTCCATTGAAAATAGGGACATTCTAAGGAAAAGTGGGACATTCTGGGATCTGAAGATGGGCTGTATATGATGAGACAAATAAATAAAATGGGATGCTGGATCTGGTGGATCTTTTGGTCTGATTCCACATGGTTATTTTTTATTATCTTTGCAGCTAGGGTTATCCTAGGTGTGCATGAGCCTGCAAGATTCTTAACCACATACAGTGGTACCTCGGGTTACATACGCTTCAGGTTACAGACTCAGCCAACCCAGAAATAGTACCTCGGGTTAAGAACTTTGCTTCAGGATGAGAACAGAAATCGTGCTCTGGTGGCACGGCAGCAGCAGGAGGCCCCATTAGCTAAAGTGGTGCTTCAGGTTAAGAACAGTTTCAGGTTAAGAACGGACCTCCAGAACGAATTAAGTTCTTAACCCGAGGTAGCACTGTATTGCAAGCTGGGATGCAAGTTGTCCCCCCCACCCCCTGACCTTGTATATGAATTTTTTATGGCCGTGCATCAACAAAATACATCTTAGGAATGTGTCATAGCAGGTATTATGTCATGATGTGTCAGGGCGTCATGCGTAGCTATGTTTCTTTTTATGATCGTCTGTTTCCTTGTGTCATGTATGTTTCCAGTCAGTTTGGCATAACGCCACTGGAGCCAGAGGGAGCGACTGTCGTGTGAGCTGAATGGATATAATTAACAGGATTTATGCAGTTCCTCTTAAAATGTGGTTGGGAAACTGTGATGCTCCAAATGTTGCTGGATGGTATTTCCCATCACACTCGGCCATGCCCAGTGGTTAGGGATGATGCGAGTTGTTGTTCAGCAATACCTGGAGGGCCACAGCTCCCTTCTCCCTTCTTCTAAAGATGAGATTGTTGAAGGATTTCAGGTTCAAACTTGGTTGGGCAAAGAAGTCACAAAAATGGAGGGGGA